AGCATTTGAAGCATGCTTGGTGCATCCATTGTTATATCCTTTCCAGCATACAATTTCGAATATCAGGATACAACGATAGTGTGGCAATGAGCCGTTTAGCTTAGTGGCTAAAGCGTCAGGCCGCGAATGCCGAAGACATGGGTTCGATTCCCACAGCGGCGACAATCGTTTCGTACTTTTTCTACAAATTTTAATGTTTAATTTTAACAGCAGAGATTCGACTTTAAAAAAAAATCTAACAAATAATTGGATTAAAATTTAATATTATTTTCCTACTAACTAATAAACCTACATATAGAATTGAATTAATGTATAAAAAATTAATAAGGTAAAAGATCCGTCAAAAATGTAACGGATACGGATCTTTTTTCTCCGGCGGCTATCCGGATACGGATACGGATATCCAGCCATCACTAGTTCCGAGTAGTGTTGCACAACCATCGATAGTTGACCTCGAAAACTATTCAGGATATTGATTGTACTACCGATAGTATCGTCTAAGTCAATTCTGTCGATACTACTAATAGTATCGATGGCTCTCCAAGTGCCAATAATATTGATGGTAATGCATGCGATAGTATCGATAGTATTGCAATTGTCATTAGTTTTGACAAAAACTATCGATAGGCTCGATAGGTTTGTACTATCGATAGCCAGTAAAAGGCTATTGATAGTACAAAATCATCGGTATTATCCATAGGTTTTCGTTAAGACATTACTATCGATAGTATTGCTGTTATCAATAGTATTGGCATTTGGAGAGCCATCGATACTATCGGTAGTATCGACAGTATTGACACGTTATAATACTATCGATAGACTACCATATTGCTTTTACCTTAGCTATCGATAGCAGACTATCGATATCCAAAACTAGTTCCGAGTATGAGAATTTGGCAATAGTGGTAAATTAATAGATACCATGGTTATTAAAATTAAACTCAGCAAGGTAAATAATATATCTCTTGCTATTGTATCTCTTGTAATCTCTTGCTATTGTAGCGCCATTCTGAAGATATTTGGAATTGTTATTTAGTGCAGTAGTACGCCTTTGAAGCTGTTCTCCCATACTAGTTTCCATCTACTCCTCTTAAAAAAAAAAAGATTACCTGGGGGACCGGACCGGTTTGTTTTTTTTGTTGTAAATCGTGTATTTTGGAAATTACATTTAGATACAAATTACTGAGTAATGAAATATGCATAATATTTTTCGATCTTACCGACCTAATAATAAGAAAATATGAAGTGGTGTTTTTCACAAAAGAAACAAATAGAAAAATAAAAGAAAAAAATAGCAAAATCACCTGGATCAACAAAAAATAAAGAATAAATGAAATTAAGAAAGAATAAAGAAGATCTGGAATCGAAAAAGAAGTAAAAAAAAGAGTGTGTAAATGATTGTGACACGAACCACGGTCGTCTGTTTTGGGGCCGCCCGATTACCGACCGAGCTATTATAACATTTTTTTTGCGACGAAATTTACCGTCATATTCGAATGATATTTTTCATTCCCTGAAAACAGGGATAAAAGGACATTTTCTAAAAATGAAACCTAGCGAGATCGATTTTTCGCCCCCGAATCTAAAGGCACATACTAAATTTCATGAAAATCGCTGGACCCGTTTCCGAAATTCCGATGATATATATATATATATATATATACACATACAAGAATTGCTCGTTTAAAGGATAAGAATATATTTTCATCGACGTTTTTGTTATGCTTTGCTTTATTGCTTGCATTATGGTTTGTATACGGTGATATGTAGCCGTGACAATAGAATTAAAAACAACTAAGAAAAGAAGGAGATAGATTTCCAACAAACTGAGAAAAAGAAGCGGTTCTTCGTCATTTATGAAAAAAAACATTTTTGCATTGGGTTTGGTTTAGCTCCCGTGCCCATGTGGTTCCACAATAATTTAGTACTGTTAGACCTTAGATTCCGGAGAAACATAATCAAATAGAAAATGTAAAGCGAGTGAGATATTCGTCGGTGATGTTTTTATTCATAAAAACCGGCAAGTGCGAGTGGAACACGTACGCCGAGGGTTGCGTACCTCCCCGTTATACCACCATAATAAAATTGGTAAATAATCATTACCGGGAACCGGAACGGGTGGACCTAGCAAGTTGAAATTTATACCAGATACTGAGGTCTGTAGTCCCTATTAGGTGTATAAAATCAAGGTCTCGAGTCATCACGATAAAAATATATGGGAAAATTTAGATCTTCACGAAAACTTGTTAGTATCAAAATTTACGTTAATTTTTCAGAATGTTTCCTTTATCTGTGCTATAAGACCTTGATTAAGTACCATATAGGTTTTCGACCCAAAACCTATTGGGTACCAAGTCAAGGGAAGAAGAAGAGGCCCATTTAGAAGAGGAGGCCCAAAAAGGGCATAGTCGCGCCGGGCTCGCGGAAGATTGCGTCTACGTGTTCCCCCACCCCAGCCGATGTGAAAGAGACAGATGCAACCTTGGTTTTTTAGTGGGTACCCGTCTTCGCAAGGGATGCATTTTGAATGGTCTCCCGCGAGATACTACATTTTCGCAGTATCTTGTATCTTAGGCAAATAGGAGTCTCATGTTTAAATGGTACTCTAACTGGAAATTAATTCAAGTTATAAAGGGAAAGCATTATGCTTCATTCCACCCTCTTTCCCACAAAGCCATGGTTTTTCAATTTGTATTCGTTTAACTGATGTTTACGCTTTCAGTCCTTAGACTATTAAAGCTTCTTCGAACGCAGAACCTGCCTACCCAGAACCCCCGGGCTTGAGGCCCCTTTCAGCGGGTAGGGCGGTGGACTCATGCGTGCGGTTATTATGGCATGGCATTATTATCGCCTACGGGCCATCGAGGTACGGTGAGGACAGTAACCCCGATGGCCGTTGTCTGTGCTTGGTTACTCGGTGGCTGGGGGCGGTGAGAACCGCCCTGGAACGCGGGTGTACCTTGTGTACGCGTTGTGTTGGTTTCGCCGTGCTCGAAGGCGAGGACGAACTATGGTGTTTGTTGATGCACTAACTGAGTGTGAAGTGTTATTTGGCGGGACCCCCGACGGTGGGTCCGACGTACTTAAGTGCCCTTCCTCGACCGGGTCGATGAGGTCGTTGCGCGGGCGACGCTTGTTGACGTTCGCGGTAATGTCGGGTTGGTAATTTGCTGCGCTTACCACCAGAGGGTTGGGATGATGTTCGGCTCTGTCGAAGAACCGTTTGGTGAGATCTTTAAAATGTTCGCGAATCATCGGGGTTTTTTAAATTTAATAAAGCATGCAACATCAATTGTGTGCCGGTTAAGAATTAGTCATGCTTCCAACCATATCCATCTTGCTACATTAAGGATCAGGGATAATTCTCTTTGCGAATTAGAATTGTCCTGTAAATTTTAATTTTCTTTTAACCTTCTCAACTTCTTCTTTTGTTTATGTTTTGTGTGATTTAATTTCTTCAAATAATACTAAGCTGTAATTGTGTGACTTTACTAACCTGGTTTTACACCGGGTGTGTATTTTGTTTCAGATGAGTCAGCAAACGCTGCCATAATAATAGCTAGTTATTGTATTTTCAGCCGTGATATCTCAGTGCCGCTCCTGAAACCTGCATATTTTTGTAAAATTTATTGAAAATAAATATTTCGAAGATACATGAAATCCGCCAATCTGCATGGTGGACTATGCTGTATGAGGTTGCCCAACTATGCCGTTGCCCAGCAGTGGGGCATGTATAGGCTGATTCTTTACTTTTATTGTATTTTCACACTGCTATGTCATGCAGAGTTACTATAATATCAGCTGTTTGAGAATTAACGGTGTTCATTCAATGAAAACCGCCAAAAAAGCAAAGAAGATTAAGTGAATGAGGGGATGTTAAAAAATTTATTAGCAGAGTTTTGAAGGCTGTTCCGAATGCTGTTGAGTTGGCCATAACATTATTGGAACCATGAAATCTAATAGCTCCAAAAAAGTTTTCAAGTGAATCTTTCTCAATAATAACTTGTAACCTCAAATTACTTATTAATTTGAAATCCAACTATTGTTTTAAACCTGCTGGTGAGAGATGGCACAATTTCTTATTTTTTTTTTACTATCATTATATAAAAAAAAATTATAATTTTTTTTTTAAAATAGTTATTTATTTTTAATAAACAAATTTCATTAATTTGAAAACAGGAAGTATGGAGTTCCACAATTTTCCCTTCTTGGTAGTTCGCATTTACTCTGTCGAATAATTTGTCGAACAGCATTTATAGATCTGCAGTGCCTGTGCTGTCCTTTGGCAAGGTCTCACATTCTGTAAAGATAACTAAGTTTAATTGTAAAAATGTGCGAAAAGTTTATAGAGAAACATTTATAATATTATATATAACCATTATTGAGTTAAGTTTAATGAACAATATCGTTTATGTTCCCTTGAAATTGAATTAGAAGCATATTTTGTTCTGAAGTTTCTTATACAAAAAAAAGGAATAAGGATAGATAAAGTAGAATTTTTCAAAATGCACCTCTTCTAATCCATGAATTGTATAATTGCAGCAAGATTTTTCACCCCTTGGTCACAAACAGTTGCAACAACTTTGAGATCTCTGCTTTCAACATTTTCTATTACATTTTGGAGTTGAAATTTTATATCCTTGTCATTAAGGAAATTAGTTCCTATTGACATTACATTAAGCAATATTAAACAAAATTTATGTTTGTTTGGCATTTTTGACACACATACAAAAGGTGTTTGAGAATATTTGATGCCAATATAAAAATTTATCAATTTTTTGCAGTAAATTCTGCAATGTTCTTCAACTTGGCATTACATAAAATTCACTTAGCATGCGGTAAACTTTAGGACCTCCTAGCATTATCGCAATATAAGCCCTGTGGCTTGTGTAGAGATAATCCTAAAGTTTTCTTATCAATGGTAAATCTTATCTTCTTATCAATCTTCCTCTAGGTTCTTTTTTAAATTCCTTTATTTTTGAATTTTTGTTTGCCTTTTAAGAAACTATTGAAGCCTGCAGCTTATTCATTTTATTTTCATTACTCTTCTGTTTGAAGTATGTTTCTGTAAACATAAAAAGTAATACTTTAATTTAGGTAAAAATTAAGTGTTTTAATAAATATACAAGATATAATGCTACACAAAAACAAGGAAGGGCAGTGCTAGGTGAATAGAGAAAAGATGTCTGAACCATTAGTTCAGGGTTGAATATCAATAGATAGTTTTGATTACCTTCAGTTCCTTCGACAATGTGAGGTGCAGGTTTAAAGTTAGTTGATAATTTTCCTTTTTCCCTAACTTTCATGTACACTTTGTCTCTTTACGATATTGTTCATTCCTCTGCCTTCCGTTATCTCCATATTCCTTTCTTCTTCGTCTTTATCTCTTACGTCGGTGTCATCATCCTGTAGTCATTAGCATTGAATTCTATCCCAGTTCTGCCTTCTAAAAAATAACTATCTAACCAATAACTGTATGCGGCGTTGAGTTATACATCATTAGGTACTCCCAAACTTTTAGCGGTTGGGTCATCGTTGCGGAATTAGGCAGCCACTTATCAAAGTAATTAACAAGCCCTAAAACTATTTGCGACCCTTCAGCTTCTATCGTCTTTGGTGTTCTGAATTCAATAATATTAGTCACGTATTTCTTTAGAAGCTTTGCTTCCGAGGAAATTGGTCTTTCGTGAACGCATCTGTAAACGCCTTTTGTTGGAAGGTCGTGATGCTCTCCACATGTACTTGTCTATGATGCACTGCATTTGAATTTGTATTATGTACTTTTGATGTGCGGTGTCATTTTAAGTAATATATTTTCTCATATACAAGTAAACACAATGTTTTCAAGTATTATTTACGTTTTAATTAATTGCCAATCACCTTTGTTATTGTTAAGTATCACATTATTTCTGTTCAAAACATCTAATACTTTCGTCAACCGTTCATCATCTCGTTGTCGTTATTCTCCGTCAATGAAGTTAATGACTCTATGCAAACCGGTCTACATTTTCTTTAATGTTCTCTGAAATATTTGTGGCACACATGTAATTCCAAGCATAAATTGCTTGTGGCTGTTTAAACCCTCTGCACATTTATAAACCCTTTATAGAGGTAGTACTATGTCTGGAATTAGGGTGAGATTCTACTTGATGGCATGCGCTTTTAATTTCTATTTTGCATGGACGTAAGAGGGTGGTTTTCTTTTTATATTGCAGCATTTGCTTGCTTCATATCGACGCATAAGCGGATGTCGCTATCGTCTTTCATCTTCCAGTATGCACTTCCACTATTATGTCACTCTCCAGTAGTTCGCTTATTTCATTTCCCCCCTTTTTTTAATTTTTTCATCTATCGGTATTTCAATAAGCGCATCCTAAAACTAAGGAAATGGCTTGTATTTTTTCTCAATTGCATTTACTCCAATACCCAATTTTAATACTAACTTGATTGCACTTTCTTTGCCTGATAAATCTCTGGACCCAACATTGATAACAAAGACCATAGCTTATTCTGAATTTCCATACACTTTAATGATAGTTTCAAACATCCCTTTTACTTCTAATGGTGTTGTGCCACCATAAGCATATAAGGATTTTCATGTTCCCTTAACTTTATTAGAATTACTCTGTATCTTTTTCCATTTTAACACTTGCCCAATTTATCTGTGATTAAGTTTAGTTTACACCTGGAATCTTTAAGGAAATTCCATCAAACTCCACCTATACTGTATTCTATTGTCTTGTAGTCATTTAAATTGAAAATATAATGTGTCACTTGCTTTCAAAAATTCTTGAAAGTCTATTGATTTAATTTCATTTCTATTGTTTCCTTGAATCTTTTCATTTATCAACTGGTTTATCCTCTATTTTCCTTTTCTTAGGTCTTGATCTACACAAAGCACTAAAATGCCCAATCTTTTCCCACACATGACATCTTTTTCTTTTTGCAGGACACTTAGTTGGACAGAGTATGTGCATTATATGACTTCTGCCATATTTGTTTCTTATTTTGTTTGTCTGTATTTTTTGTGCCTCATTTCTGTTCTTACATAATTTTTTGTTCTTGTAATTGATGTCCATCTATTTCTAAAGTATTAGCTTCCGTTATAATATTATCTAGTGTAACTGTCTCGCCCAAAGTTAGTATTTTCTTCCTTAACTCTGCAGAAGAACATTTTTCTACTATTTAGTCGATTAAGTGCTCTTCTGGGCTAGTAAACTTACACTTCTCTGCTTGATTTCTCAATTTAATAACAAAATTTTCAAATTTCTCTCCATCTTCTTGTTTTATTTGACGAAACACATGTCTCTCGAAAATTTTATTCTGCTTCGGTAGAACGTAAGAGTCAAGTTTTTCAATTGTGTTCTTAAAGACATCAGGGCCATCTTCAGAGGAATCAACAAATGCTCCTGGTATATTGTAAACAATATCTTGAAGCTCTTGTCCACCTAAGACCAATAACGTGGTTCGTTTTTCTTCTGGTCTTTTAATATTTTTGGCATCTAAATAGATATTTAAAGATCTCTTCCATCTTTCCCACCGCAAAGCAACCACCGCATTGTCTCCCTCGAAGCTAAGTTTCTCTGGAGGTGGTAGAAAATTTGCTATTTTCGGAACAAGTTTGGAGCGATCTGGAATCAATAGACAAATTTGGTCAATCTTTTTATTTTGTGTGTTTAACGTTTCCATGAATTGTGTACTGCAACTATACTTTCATAAAAACACATAACTCTCTACTAGGCATCACATACTGTTAACAATTTCATGAAGGCCCTACTGCCTTGGACACACATCACTCATGGTTTACAATTCTATGAAGGACCATAGTGCCTTGAACACACAATACCAATGGTTTATATTTCTATTTAGGCCCGTACTGCCTTGAACACACACTATGCATGGTAAACATTTTCATGTAAGCCCATACTGCCTGGACACTTTCAATTTAGTCTGTAAATATACTTTGTTTATTAAATTACCATAACTGGTAAAAATCATTAAAAAAATACGTCTACACACACACACACCCTTTTCATACACAAATTCTGCGTCCATTTGCATGTCAATGAGAGAGTCATTTTGCAACACACCCATTGATATATAATTTTCAAATTTGTTTTTCCTAATATACATTCATCATTGGTCATACAACATTCACACAATGACTTTTTGTAATTAAACGCAGACCCATGTGTAGTGGCCAAGCGAGCCATGGATTAGTCTTCAAGTATAATTTATTTTAATAAGGTTCTAATTAAATCCAATGCACATAAAACTTAACCTAATGTTTTAAATTTATTATTATTATATTAATATATTTTATTTGCAGTGGCGGATTTACCAGCAGGCTGAGTAAGCTAAAGCCTAGGGGTGGCAATTTTGATCCAACAATGTTTTGTCTTACAGAAATAAAGAAAACATCATTTAATAGAGATACTGTTCTTATTATTTTAAAAACTGCAAGTGCAATAACTAACAAAGTTTACTAAATGTACATTATTTTGTGTTAGCTGTGTTCATATATTTGAATAAGCATTTTTAAAGCAAACCTTACCAAAAACTATTTCAAATGTAATCTTCACTAAATCGTGGGTTGTAAAAATTATCTAATCATAACATCTACACATAACAAAATCCTAGTTCAAAATAAAGTGAGAAGAGACAGAAAGCAATGAGAATGATGGGTTGTTAGAGAAACATGATGTTTAAAAATAATGTTTCAATATTTATAGTTACCTGATATGCCTTCAGAAGATAAAAGCAAGGATGGAACCGCTAATTTACAAAGTCTGTTTTTCGGATACAGAAATGCTTCCTTAAAGTGCTGTCTACAGACTCTGTAAGTTTTGTAGATAGTGGTGCTATCTAGATGAACAATATTGCCTCCAATGGTGCTGACTCACTTTTGGAATCTATCTCAGGGTTTGGGAAGTAATGTAAAGGAACACCTTAAAGTAAAAATAAGAAACTATATTATTATGTGATTTATAATCTAATTATGTAAAATGGAAAATTAAAAACTAATACTTTTATGATAACTGGGTAAATGTACTATACTATGTACTGTACTATTTCTTACCTTATTCTTAAAATTATTTAATATCTACATATTGCAACTCACGTTACATGATGTGTATGTATGTGTTATGCTGATGATACCTCTTTAATCTTTAAAGTAAACCGACGTTCTTTAAGTTATGATGATGTAAACAATACTCTATCTACTGTAGTACATTGGTTTAGTGCTAACAATTTACTGTTGAATAATAAAAAAACTAAATGTATTAAATTTACAACTTCCAATGTTAAACATGTAAAAACTGATGTACTTTTATCCGGGGAAGCGTTGGACCCTATTGACTCAACTGTATTCCTTGGCATAACTATTGATGCCAAACTGCAATGGGGCAACCATATTAATAGACTGGCGAGTAGACTTAGCTCATCAGCCTTCGCGGTCAAAAAAATAAGACAGTTAACTGATGTAAATACGGCTCGTTTGGTATATTTTAGTTATTTTCACAGTATAATGTCTTATGGCATTCTGCTTTGGGGTAACACGGCCGACATTAATACAATCTTTATCTTACAAAAGAGAGCTATTCGTGCAGTTTACAATCTGGGCCCCAAAGAATCGTTAAGAAACTTGTTTAAAGAGATAAAGGTATTGACTGTTGCTGCTCAATACATTTTAGAAAATGTTTTGTATGTCCATAAAAATAAGGATAAATTTTTAAGACATAATAATGTTCATGATATAAATACTAGGAACAAAAATAAATTGATCCTAACCACAAGTAGACTGCGTAAAATAAGTAAATCTTTTATGGGACAATGTATACGTTACTACAACAAAATTCCAGAAAACTTTCAAAATGCATCAATAGCTAAATTTAAAAAAATAGTAAAAGAATGTTTGTGTGTTAAAGGCTACTATAATATTAATGATTATTTAAATGATAACACACTCTGGTAATGAAATGATCGCTCCAGGCTCTTTCAATCGGAGTTCTTATATTGTATTTTTTATGAATTTATGTCAAACTGCTTACTTAAAAAAAAAAAAAGCCCGCTGAGTTTCTTTCGCCGGTTCTTCTCAGTACAGTGGCTTTCTTTTCCGAACCGGTGGTAGTGTTTTGACTATCAATAAGTGAGTGTAAAGGCCCATTTACACAATGCCATTTTCTTGTACATACAAGAGAAATAATTGAATGCAATAAATTGCGCGCAATAATTGACCATCAAGAATTGTAAGCAATTGTTTACACGCAGATATAGTAAAAAAAATTGAATGCGATTATTGAATGCAAGTCTTGACAAGAAATAATTGCAAATGTCTTTTGTTTACACCAATGCAATTATGTTTAGGCGATTATTGCTTTCAAGTTTTGACTTGTCAAAACACATGCTTGTATGTCCGTGTACAATTTATTGGCGTGTTGCTTCAAGTATTGCACGTATTTGCGTTGACAAATATTTCATTCAAGTGTAGAACGTTTTGAAAAGGGCTGTTTATTTAAAAAAAAATGGGTTAATAATAAGTGTTCAAGTTAGATTATGCCGATTTAATATATTTCATTGAGACTTATTTATTATTATACATATATTATTATTCATTTTTTTTGTCCAACATTTTTTATGACCTTTTCTCAATATTTCTTGCCTCAAAAGAACAGCAACAATTAAACACCCTCACTCATCGCACTCATTTTTGCAATGAGAGAGAGAATGCAATCGAATACAAGAATTGCTTAAGAAATTATTGTGTGTGCTGTTTACACCAAGGAAAGTTTTGAAACAAAACTTGAAGCTAGTCTTGTTCAACAGTCAAGAATGTTATGTGTTGTTTAGACCATGCAACTCATTTATTGCTTCAATTCAATTGTATACAACAGGCAAGAAACTGGCACCATGTAAATGGGCCTTAATGCTCCTATGTTGAATAAAGACATTTGATTTTGATTTTATGAGCCGCGTATGATTATCACCACTTGTTAAAGAGCTTACCGTCTTCTGATTTATTCGGACATCCAAGAACACAGCAAACGTTTCGGGGCATTGTGCAAAATGTATATTAACTCTACACTAAGATATAAGCGGTCCAAACTCCTAACGGAGGGCCTATCTGCATGTACGTTACGAACACTTACACCAAAAAACACAAAACAATGGTGGTATTAAGTAGTTTGTGATAGTGATACGGAGCTTTACGTAATTAGACGGACCTCAATGTAATTAACAACAAAACAGCTAAAATACAAGTAAATGCGTACACGCATCAAAACAGAAACACCGGCAGAACAGAACCGCAGAAAATTTTCTGCTTATCGATAGGGATGCCAAAAAATTATCGATATATCGATATTTTTGGCCGATATATTTTGATCCGATATAAAAAATTGAATATCGAAATCGTATCAAAAACGATATTTTTATTCAAACTGATCCAAAGCCTTAAAGATAAAATTGAACGGAAAAAACTGTGTTCTATTACTAGTATTGTCGTGGATGCAGAGTTGCATTTTGTACTCTAATTATGGTCTTTATTATACTACAATTTGATGCTTCGTACTTTATACTATCCATATCTTAGGTACAACATGGTATAGAGGTGTTACAAATCATTAATATTGAACTAAATATTATGTTAATTTATAAATTTATAGGTTTTATTACATAATATGTAATTTTAGATAGATTTAATCCTCGTAAATATAAGCTCAATAAAGATTGAATATATATAAAAAAAAAAAAATTATGAATAGAATGCAAAATATTAATAAAGTTACTTTAATTTAATATGTAAATAAAGTTAACAAAAATTTTATTACATATTTCATAAAAAAATATTTGCCAACATAATTTTTTTTATCATTTAACCACTTAAGTAACTTCTTTAAATTGTTGTTTAGAATTTTCATGTCAATCAAACAACTATTACTAAAGTTGAGCCTAGTCTAAGCCTGTCTTTTAGGACAAGTCTCTGCGGATTTTTTTGACCCATTATTAACTTCGTTTTAAACAATTCCTTTATATCTTCTTGTATCTAGTATTAACTGATGTTTTTGTTTTCAGTCCCGAGACTATTAAAGCTTCATCTGACGCAGAACCGGTGGGCTAGCCAGAACCCACGGGTTTGGGCCCTCCGCTTTGGGTAGGGCCACGCATGTGCTCATGCGTGCGTTTAAGTATGGTGTGTCATCTAAGCGCCATCGAGGTCGCGGTTCGGACCGAAACCCCGATGGCCGTTGACTGTGCAATTAGCTAATCGGTGGCTGGGACGGTGAGAACCGCACCGGAACCCGGGTATACCTTGTGTACGCGTTGTGTTGGTCTCGCCGTGCTCGGAGGCGAAGGCGAACTAGTGTGTTTGTTGTTGCACTAACTGTGGGTGTAGTGTTATCCGGCGGTGAGTCCGACTTATCTTAGTTCCCTTCCTCGACTGGGTCGATGAGGACATTTCGCGGGCGACGCTTGTTGACGTTCGCGTTTGTGCTGGGGTGATGATCGGCTCTGTCGAAGAATCGTTTGGTCAGGTCTTTAAAATATTCGCGAATCGTCAGGAGTCTGCAATCGCTGTGCTTCTACTGCGCACCAGTTGCACGGCGGATGAACTTATTTTGTACTATTTGCGACTTGTACAGCGAGTAGGGTGCGTGTGGACATAATAGGTCGTACGCAGGTATTATATAATAATAATTTGTGCCTTAAGGGCATTTTACTTTTAGCGTTAATTAAATTGTGTAGCCGGCCGGAGACGAACGCGGCTCTATTGCGAACGTTATTAATGTGCGTAGTAAATGACATACGCGAGTTGAAAGTGACTCCTAAGTTTTCCCTTTTTCCCTTTTTAACCTTTTTCCTTTACATATACTATATATTCCAATATACTCGAGCAACCTGAGTTCGATCCCCGGTGCCGGCACCAATGAAGTTTTTAACTTTAATTGCTGACTTATCACGTGCTCAGCGGTGAAGGAAAACATCGTGAGGAAACCTGCATATTTCTGTAATAATAATAAAAAAAAATATATATATATATATATATATATATATATATATATATATATATATATATATTTCGAAGATATGTGAAGTCCGCCAATCCGAAGTGGGGCCACGTGGTGGACTAGGCCCTGATACCTTCTGTATAGAGGAGGCCTATGCCCAGCGGTGGGACATGTATAGGCTGTTACTGTTACTGTTAAACAATTCCTTTATGTTTTTTACAAAGTTAAATTTTTTTTAATTAGTTATTTTTTGATTCGATTTAGGGCTAAAGAAACTGATTTATCATTCTAAATAAGCTGTTTGCTTTTTTTCCAATGAAGGTCTTGATAAATAACATACCCAGAAATTTAGGTTAATAAAAAAATTTGATTAAAATTAATAAATAATTAACGTTTTATTAAAATTTCTCATTCATTTAAATAACGTGAATTTGGTATAAAAATTACTATTAATGATTATTGAATCAGACTGAACTAAATACATTATTTTTTTAAAACTAAAAATTTGACCGATATATCGATATTTTTTGGAACGAAGTTCCTTACGGCAGGCTTGGAGGGAATAGGGATTTTGCTGCGCGACCGAACTGAAAAAATGTGATAGTAAAATCGTAAGACAAAATCCGTGGAAAAAAGTGCGTGGAATAAAACCGTTAAATGAGAAGTGCGCAGGCGCGACAGTCGCATACACAAGCGAGTAGGTAGTGTATAATTTTGTTATTTTAGTTGATAATTTGAATTACGATGTTTGTTTATTTTAAGTAATTTATTATTTCCTAAAATACTGAATTTCCTAAATACTTTCTTGTACTTTAAGAGAAAAATCAAGAAAACCTACATAAAATTGAGCACGATTTTTTTTTGCAATTTGTGTCGATTCTAAATTAGCCTTAGGAACTTCGTTCCTACCTGGTGTCCCACGACACCACATCATTTTTTCGATATATCGAGTCTGATATTGATATTTTTATAAATATCGATATTTTAATAAATATCGATATTTTTCCATACATTTATCGATATATATAGTCGATATTTTTTATCGCAATACGTCATCGAAATTGGATATTTATTTTAGACTAGCGAATCTATCTATATATATAAAAATTTCTTCGATCAAAAACTTGGTCGATAGGGTAATTTTTATCTCAATATTTGTTATTGCAAATTATTTGTTTATTACATGACAAAGAGCTATCTGTGAGACCCTTAGGATTGTAGCAGATGGCGGTGTAAGATAAATTTATCGGCTCGATTGACTAAGTATCCGATAGATGGCGCTATGCTAAAAGTAAAAACGTATGGACCCGGTAGAATTGGCGCGCAGATGAAGCTAGTTAAGTAAAAAAATGATGTTTATTCGTTTCAGTTTTCGTTTACACATTAAGTTTCCAAGGTAACTGTGGTAGGGCCACGCAACAGTGTTCGCTCATGCACGAATGTGCAGGTCCGTCCGGGTACGACACAAGACCGGCATGAAGTAGAATTGTTACACTTCTGCGTTTCGTCTGGTGATTGAGGTAACCGGGGCCCGCTTTATTATTAAAGTGGTTACGCATCTGCAACCGTACGGGTGTTGCAAATCTCAATGAGCGATGGAAAACTTCTTAATGACATTAATATACATAGATGAAGGATAAATGGTCAATTAATAAATGAAACAAAAGCTTGTAAGAAGAACTTCAATTTATTAGCTCGTCCATCTTGGCTTTTTGGCAGACTTCCTTCAGATGCCGGTTCAGTTTGCTGTTTCCCTGAAAATTGGAGAATACGTGATGAGTTTAACTTGGGCCGATTGGTCCCGGGTTCTTACGGATAGGATGGATTTCGATAACTCCGTGGCCCTTGATGACTCGGTGGTGGTGGTGTAGTTGCCGAAATATTGGCCTCGGCATCGGGAATCGTGGGTTCGATTCCCAAACGGGACATCTATATGTGTGACCCACAGAAAAATATTGCGTGATGAACATAGTGTTTCTTCCAGTGTCTGGGTGTTTATAATTATATACAATATGTATTTATTTACAAAATAAAAGTATGTTTAAGTATGTTTATCACTTGACTAGATAACAAGCATTGAAAAAATTTGAAAGCTGGTGCTTCCAATGTGGTCCCATAATAATTTCATTTGTATTGGATCTTCGGCTCCATAGAAGATACTTAGGAAACTCCTGAAAATAAATTATAAAATTAATACAGAGCGAGAAACTTGAAGTTACGGTTTCGTTTTTCGTTAGTAAAAAAATAGTTATTTTTAAATTCAAAACTGGCCAGCCGCCATAATAATAATATCAAAATCAAAATGTCTTTATTCAGCATAGGAGTATTACACTCGCTTGTTGATTGTATGATCGCATAAAAAAAAAATTGTCAAAATACTACCACCGGTTCGGAAAAGAAAGCCACTGTACTGAACCGGCGAAAGAAACTCAGCTGCCTTTTTTTATATATAAGTAGCTGACCCGGCAAACGTTGTTTCGCCATATAAATTATTTGTAGGGTAGAAAAAAATGTTTCGAGTGGACCACCCTTAACATTTAGGGGGATGAAAAATAGATGTCCGATTCTACACCCTGGCCGATATGCACACACAATTTCACGAAAATCGGTCGAGCCGTTTCGGAGGAGTTCAATTACAAACACCGTGACATGAGAATTTTATATATTAGTAATTAGACAATCGCCCAGTCCCCGGCCACCATTAGGTCCGGCGCGTCCTGCCTGGACCTTTCGGGGAACGAACCTTGAATCTTTTGCCGCATAACTGGCAGACGCGCTCCGCCGGAGGCTTGCGGGGCCTGTTGCAGAGGGCGCTGGGGTGCACACGTCGCCCCTCTGAGTGCGCCCTCCGCTCATGGGCCTCTAAGGCGCGGCGGTGGGGCAATACGCGGGAGCATTTCGCGCACTCGAAGCTGAGGGGGGCAATGGCCCGAATCACTACCAGTTAACCGCGGCTTCGGCCGCGTGCCCAAAGGCAACTGACAATGTGTTTTTTATTATACACCAGAATATCTGGCAGATGGCTGGATTTTTTCCTACTTAGTACACACTTATCACCATCACTTATATTTTGGAAAATTCACACAATATCTTTATAATTTATTGCCTATCTGTTATTCTGATATATAAGCTATATTATAAAGTTTATTTACTATTATTGTAAAGTTTAATTAAAATCTATTCAGCAGATTATTTTGCGTGAAAGAGTAACGAACATCCATTCATACATACAAACTTTCGCGTTTAATATTAATGTATCGTATAATATTATGTATAATAATATAGTAAGGATTAGTAAGGATATATTTATTTATTTGTGTACAATAGTATTGTGTACACGTGTCTATAACAGCTATATCCTTACTTATACATTATTTGTTATGTATCTTATTTAAAAAGATAGATTCGTATACTATACATAGAATAGTTACACTATGGTATTAGGATAACCTGCAAGGATAGGTATAAATGTTGAAATGAATGATGTGTGTATGAATGAATGGATGAATGAACGAATCAAATAAACGCTCGTGTTAAATCGAAGTAACTCATCAAATTAATGCATACACTATAATCAGTGAAGAGCCATGATAGGTCAGTGTGCGGGCGCCCAGCCCAGCAGTGGGACATGTATAGGCTGATACTATACTAGAAACATAGAACAGCTACACTATCGTATTAGAATGACCTGAAAGGATAACTAAATGAATGTGTGAATGAATATTTCATGCACGAATGGATAGACAAATGAACGAATCATTTGTTCGTTAACCCCTCGTGTTGAATCGTACACGGTCTGCTGGTGGGCGAGGCTGTTCCTCCTGTGGGCGAGCAGGCCTTTCCTGGAGGCGTAGCTGAGGCCGCAGCTGCAGAAGTGCCTCTCCTCAGCTGTCTCGTGGGACCTCTTGTGCCTGTTCAGCGTGTACGGGCTGCTGTATACCGCGGGACAGCGATCGCACGCGAATTTCTTCTTTAAATGCTTCCTGTTTAAGTTCGTTAGTTGCGTGAGCCCCTTACCGACCTTTCTTAACTTCTGTAATCCTCCATCGGATTTAATGACTGATGCACCATTTTTAAGCTCATGTCTGCCACTATTTATGTAAGATCAATGAAATACAGACAAATGGAATGAACTTAACTTGTTTTTACTGAAATAAATATACAGGGAGATTTTTTGAGAAGTGCCCAAATTTACACAGGAGGTTCAGACTCGGTAGTATAATCGTTTATTGAAATAAAAAACAAAGGTTTTTTTTTCCATTACATTCTATTCCCTAAAAATAGAACGTATTGACAATGCGGTAGTCATTCATAAATACCTAAATTTTACTGTGCACGAACTTGAGTGCGTGTTAGTTATGATCGCGCGTAAAATAAATGAGTTGCGTATAAATCATGCAATATTTGAGATAAGTGAAAATTAATGTAATTAATTACTTAAGAGTGATTTTAAATATTTATCATTTTTTATACAACATTATTTATGTCTAGAATTTAATAAAAAAAATGGATACACTTAGAAAAGCCACCCTGTATAGGTATATACTTTTGTACGCACGTATTAAGTTATACTTCTTTGGCATCATTAAAAAATTGTTTTTAATTGCATGAAAATAATTTAGTACAATAAAATAGGACTTGTAAAAGCGGTTGAGAATGATTGGGATTACGGAAGTTTTGGGGATTAATAGACGTTATAAAGGGCAGGCTTTAGGTCTATAATGCGCAGGTTTGAGGTTTATAATGTGGAGGCTTGAGGTTTATAATAGGGAGGGTTGGTAGTTGTACTGGCGATGATTGGTGGTAGTGATGGGGCCGTTTGGGGGTCGAAGACTCACAGCATGTGGGTCCTAACGGCGGCCTGGTCGCGGCACTGCTCGCCGCAGACGCCGCACGGGTAGGGGCGGGGGGCGCGGGGGTTGTGCACTCGACGTAAATGCTGCTGAAGGCCGCTCGAGTCCCTGAAGGGGGGGGGGGGGAGGTGGAGCAAAGGTCACAGGCCCACTGAAAACCAGCGCCGTAGTCCCGTATCGACTGCAGCATTAAGCTGTTAGAGTATGTGTGTAAAACGTGTGATGATTTTCGTATTTTTTTTTTCTTTTTAATATACAATAATGTTCGCGGTTTAAATGTACATATGGCGTATTTGTGCAATGAATGTTTTCTTTCTTTCTTTCTTAAAGTAAGGCTGGAAAGCATATAACAACGGATGCGCCAAGCGTTGCTTCAATCAAATGCTAAAAAAACAACGCGGATAAAAGACGTCAAGACTCTCGTCGGTGTGGCAATCGACCGTTTAGCTTACTGGCTCAAGCGTCGGGTCGCGAATGCCGGAGACGCGGGTTCGGTTCCCGCAGCGGCGACATACTTTTCCTATTTTTTCTACAAATTTGAAAGTGAGACTTGTGTTACTTTACTCTATCCCTTCAGGGAAGGCTACCTCTCCATACATCTTGAAACACGGGTTCAGTATTGTAAAAGTAAAAGCCAGGAATCGGCCTATACAAGTCCCACTGCTGGGTAAAGGGCTCCTTTGTACAGAGGGCGTAAGGACACTTCGAAGTATTTTATTTTTATGTTGTTCCGAAAATATGCAGGTTTCCTCACGATGTCATTCATCATCGCTGAGCACATGATGATTCAGCATTTACAAATTAAGCATTTTATTTGTACTGGCATCGAGATTTGAACACTGGTTGCTCGAGTATATCGAATTAAAAGCGACCGCCCGGACGCTGAGCTATCGCGGCTCTAATAAGGGGTAAGCCATCCTTAACTAGTTGAGCAGAAGTGTCATACTACTGCGTTTTGTCTGGTGAGTGAGATAGACGGGCTCATATCATCAAAAGGTGGCAACGCGTCTCAACTCTTCATTTTAGGTACCGGTGAGCAAACACTCAGAACGCACCCTAGCCACCACAGAGGCTGACCTACCTGAAGAGGCCGGCGCACAGGTGGCACGCCACCTCGGGGGCGGAGGCGCCGTGGCAGAGCGCCGCGTGCCTCCGCCTGGAGCGCCGCCCCACCAGCTGCCCGCAAAGCGAGCACCGGTGCCGCTCCGCGTGGAGCGCCGCGTGCGAGCGGAGTACCGATGGCGAGGCGAAACGCAGCGTGCACAAAGTACAGCGGTGCTCGCCGTTCGACTGTACGACACAACCGGTTATGGCCGGATCCGACAGGCGAGAACCGGCTATGAAAAGGCATCCCAAAGAAAGCAGTCTAGAGCGCAGCGGTGCTCGCCATTCGTTCGATTGCCCGGAAATACCGTATCATAACCGGGTATGACCGGATCCGACCGGCTATAAAAAAGGCAATTTAAATAGAACACAAGAGCGCAGCTGTACTCGCCGTTCGACTGTACGAGTGTACCGTAACCGGGTATGACCGGATCCGACCGGCGAGAACCGGCTATGAAAAGGCATCCCAAAGAAAGCAGTCTAGAGCGCAGCGGTGCTCGGCATTCGTTCGATTGTCCGGAATGACCGTATAACTTGAGTATAACCGGATCCGACCGACCATAAAAAGGCAACCTAAGCAGAACACAACAGAGCGCACCTGTGGCTGAGAGATTACTTTTTGCCAATTTTTTAATGTGACAAAGTGGCAAACGATCTGGCAGTTCATCTGATGTTAAATGATAACCGTCGCCCATGGACATTTGCAACGCCCGTAGGGTTGCAGATGCGTTACCACCATTAATAAAGTGGGTCCCGGCTACCTCACTCACCAGACGAAACTTAGAAGTGTAACACTTCTACTTAACGCCGGTCTTCTGTGAGGTCGTGGTACTAACCAGGACTGACCTTCCCATTCTTGCAACAGGAAACAGTAGCGTGTCCCTACCACAGTTGTGCACTTAGAATAACCGGATCTACAACCGGTTATAAAAAGGTAACCTAAATAGACAACTCAAACACAAAGCACATCACGCTGTACAATGTTGTTTTGAATTTAAAAAAAAATCCTTAAATTCCCAGTAGAATATTCTGTATTCACATTATTATTTACTTGACACACACGCAGACTCACAGATAATATTTCGGAATCTAGGTGTTCAGCATCAGGCAGTCGGTAAAAAAACCTAGCCAATACCATTAACAAAATGATTTTTAACAACGCCACCTTGATGGGATAAGAGCAAGAGAAAAAAAAGAGACTACATTAGTACCTCCTCATGCCTCATCATATGTGCTTGATAGGTATCCTTGAATAAGAACCCCAAAGCACAGTTGTAGCACTTGAATTCCGCCTCCACATACTTCTTCCCTCTTCTATTTGTTTCCAACTCAGCCTTTTGTTCATCTAAGCTCAGCATGATCTTCTGGAAACTCTTTTTCTTTGTCCTCGATTTGTTCTTCTTTTTGTCCACCTCTATAGCGCCATCGGCAGCGTTTTGTCCCACATCAGGGTCATCAGCTGTTATTTCCAATTTATCATCAGTCTCATTATGGTATGGTGATTGATTAACATCATTCTGATGATCATCCACATCATCGTATTCCTGGAGAGTAGTGTATTCTATATCACCCACATCTGTTTGGTTTAATGTCAATGTATTTTCCATTCTATTTTCAGTCTTAACTTCCGTATCAAATGGACCCAAGCACCCCTTATCTGAGGCCATGTTCAATGTAAAATCATCAGGATGTTTACAATCATTCTCTTCTTCCAGTTTCACATACTGTTGGTTCTCATCATTGTATAGAATGTCATCATTGTTCCATTCAGTGTCATAGTTTATTTGGTAGCATTTCCCACTGTCAATCCCTTGGCATGTCTCATCTGGGCACTGTATATGCAGCTCCATATCGCTCATTTGCAGATTCAACACACTCTTCTCGCTTGAAACATTAGAAAAATAGTAAAGAGAAAATAATGATAATTTCATATGGTAAGTCAAAAAGCATTGATAAGTGACTCAATCTAAGTGAGTGAATCTTGCACACGGTAAAATATGGATTTGATTCCCACATAGGACTATGACTTATAGATGCATATAATAATCATGTACTTTATTATGTACAATTTATAAAATATGTAACTACCTGAACAACATTGGGTATTCCAGACTTCGTTTTAAACATATTGAGCGGAATAATGCAATTTTGTTCAAGATATGACAACAGACATAGCATAGATGTGAGTCTGGGCAGAGCTGTAAAATTATATAATATAATTAATAAAGGAAAATAAATTAAGGCTTTTATTTTTAAAGCAGTTGCCAGCTAATAGTTATGAATGGGCTTTCTTTCACTTATAAGACAACAGTTGTGTAGGTCTTTGTACAATTTGTGTCATGACAAACCACAATTTTTCATCTCAAGTTTCAATTTGAATTCTCTATGTATGTATGTCCGTTAGTAGTTCTAATTATTTGTGTTTAATCTTTACATATAAAACTTTTTTTTCCATACGTTTGTATTCAAAACTCAAAAACTAATTGGATTGACTTAATACATATTCATAATATAGCTATCAGATAGGAGTGTTTTTTTTGTACTTTGTATTCTAAAGTTCTAATAGAAACTAAAAAAGCCACAGCAAAGTGTGGCCGGTTTCAGGTAGTCTACAATATTCCGCACTACAATGATGATTGAGATTTATGAGTCTACATGTAGAATGAGCTTTTGTAAAGTTAAATCATGTACAACTTTATAAGACAATCAACTTCTGTAAAATAAGTTCTATTGCAACTTCGTTCAGTTTTCTATTTTAAGTAAAGGAAATGTAGTGAATTATAAAAAGAAAATAAATTAATCTAACTAACATTCAGTCCAATAACTTCCCTGTACTTTTCTCTAGTCTCTTCATTCGTGTCTCTATTCACGGTGCTGTGACATATAAAACAAAGTAGTGAAGACATTTCAGAGCCGATTATCAGGATATTAACTAATGTTTACAGTTTTTTACTTCACGTTATGCATAGCATTTATATCGTTTCATGTCCATCCAATTCACTTGAGCGAAACCGTAAAAAATTGGGTTTACATTTTCATTACGATACGAAATCATTTTTGACGGAATGTGAATTATTCTTTGGTTTGTACTATAATGATTCAATTTAGTCATCAATTTTATTAACTGCGTATCATCATCAAGAGACAATTAAACACTTAATTAAACACTAAACATATATTTAATTTATATCTTAGGGATGTGAAAAATATTGACATATCGACATTTTTTAATTAAATATATCGATATTTTAGTTATGTTAATCCGATATATCGATATAAAAAATTGAATATCGAAATCGTACCAAAAACGATACTTTATTCAAATTTATTCAGCTGAATATTAACATATTCAAAGCGGTAAGCTGTCTATGACTAGTAATAGTATTGTCGCGGATGCAGTGTTTGCAGTGTTTGTAGTGTGCAATTTTGATAATTCAACACTGCAAGAAATTAAAGAACAACGTGGTATAGAGGTGTTACAAATCATTAGTATTGATATACATGTTAAGCTAATTTATAAATAGCATAAATAGCATTTAATGGTAACTACAGTTACTTTGATATTTAAATAAAGATAAAAAAAAGTTAATTATAATCATATTCTCAACTAAATGTCATATTTATAATATAATGTGAAAGTGGTATAAAAATTATTTTCTCTGTTATTATTAAAGAATTTTTTAAAATCTAAAATTAGGCCGATATATCGATATTATTTTTTCGATATATCGATGCTGATATTGATATTTTTAAAAACATAGATATATTTCTTTACTTTCAGCATCCCTATTATATTTGTTATTTTATTTGACATTGACGATCAGTGCTACTAACTCTTGAAAATATTTGTCCCTAAACTTTTAATCAAAAACTCCTAAAACCCCTTAATAAAATAACATTATTTTAAAAAGCGCATAGTTTTTTGGGATATTGCAGCGGAAATTTTGGTCTTATAAAAAGTGTTATACCTTATAAAAAAACAAAATTATAAGAAATTTAATTTTATAAAATAATGTCTCTTACAATTTCTTTAGATGGCCGATATTTTTAACATACTTCCAAAAATGTAATTCATAAGGCAGTGATGCAAAATTTTAATTACTTTTGGCGCTTTTCGATTGATCAAGGACATTGGTGAGTCGCAAGTACAAGTACAGTGGTCAGTGACTGAACAGCGGCCAAGCCCGCTATTTACGTTTTGGCGGACACTTTTTATTTTTACTCTTTATAGTTCAATTTCGCATTCTTAGTAATGAAAAACCGTACTAGATGTTGTAGGTCATTAAATAAAGATGATTAGGTAGATTCCGTTACCCCAGTCCCTTTTTTTATATCTTTATTTTTCTTAATAAAAATAACAATAAATAAAATGTAGGAAAAAATATAATAAGTCAAAACAAGATCTCATAATATATCCCTTAAAATAATCCCAACGCGTTTGTTTATCCCTCAATTTTGGGGGAAAACCCCTAAGTTGGCAACCTTGTTGACAATTTACATTTGCAATTTTTTGTCTATAGGGATGTCAAAAGTGAAGAAAGATCGATATATTTTTTTAAGAGAGGCCATTAATCAAAGAAGAAGAAGAAGATCGATATATTTTGATCTTTTTAATTCAAATATTGGGTTGCTGTAACTCCGTTCCACCTTTAATCTTGTCAACAAGTGCCTTTTTGACATAAACTGTTCAACTTCACCAAAAATTTTAGGAAATTAAATTATAGACAAAAGGTGCTTTTGTCAAATTTTGAATATCTCAAATAGTTTTCGAAATATTTCTAAAACTAAACCCTATATTTATTTTACTAAATTGTTAATAACTTTTAAAATTTTTGCGAGCCCCAAATTTCAACTAGAACATTTTTTCTAGATGCCATTACGAATCGGATGAGACCATCATTTGAGACGGCACTTGTTGACTAGACTACTCGATTTCGACTGCTTTGTCCTACAATTAGTCTTGAAGCAGTGTGAAAACTTTTGAATTTAAAAATGGATCTGACGTCCATGTTCAGTAGTTTTATTCAGGATTTTTTTTTAAATATTCTGAGGTAATATAGAAAATTTTGGTAGAAACGTGCCTATATTCTAACTAAGATCATAAATGGTATTCAAACATAATACATAAGATTGAGTCATTTTCATGTTCCGTTTACAAGATTTTTCTCGATTTAATATGGAACAGAAAAAAGGAGGATTTGTAAAAAATTACAATGTCATTAAGCCAATAAAGTAGACACAAAGAAGCGGTAAATTATTATTAACTTTATTTTATATTGACAACAGATAAAGCATTAATAAATGTAACACAGATTATAAAGATTTATTGATTTAAGTCTGCAACAGATTGAAACACTGCAACGCGGCGAACGATACCAGACTGTAACCGTCCATTGCTCTCACGATGATTTTGTTCAAAATCTCGCTGCATTTGGCCTCGACGCACTTTTTCGACGACGTTGTCTGTTCCTTGTCCGAATTGTAATTCGGATTCCATTTCCTCCTCCACACTTCTGTGATGGAGCTCCTCTTCAACGATTTATCTTCTTGCGAAGTCTGGGTGCTTGCTTGGCTCAGAAGGTCCTTCGTCGAAGCGTGCCTCCTCAAAATGTGCTCTAATATATGCAGTATGTAGCATAGGTTCTCCGTTCTGTCGGGTTCCGTCATCTCTAATGTGCACTCCTCTTCTATTCGCGAGTGAAAGCTCTCGAGGAGTTGTGTGATTTTGTCCAGAGTGTATTTCAGTATGTGTTGCGATCGGTTCAGGTAGAACAGTCTGTGGATTTTCTCGTCCTTTCGAAGAATCTAGAAGGGTTTGGTTGCTTTTGTAATATGTGGATTTCACCTTCGGAAAATGTTTAGGGATAGATAGAAGGTGGCTATATTGGGAGCATTATGTCTTCTCACTATCTTAAATGTGTAGACTGAGTGCGTGAAAAAAAACCACTGATGGTTTTGCAGTGACGTTGCTAGTCTAAATGAGTGTGCCGGTTACCTCAGTCGTCATAAGAAAGTCAAAAGTATAGATACTGGGTTAATATCACGACTTTTTTAAGCGATGCCATTGCGATGCTTCCCCGGAGGTGCTTGTCTATTCGAAGAACATCAGAATCTCTTGCGTGACCCAACTACGGCATCTACTTATTGATGGCTTCAGGTCATTCTCCCAACCGAATATGTTTATTGTACAATTTTATTTCATCTATACAGCGTGTCGTTACCATCGCGACAATAAATGAACACACGTCTAATGCTACTTGCCAATAATCATAAAAAAATATTAACGTTAAAAAATCCATAAAAAAATAATAATTTTCAAACAAACTAATTAAGTAAAAAAGAAATAAAGTTTGTAACATCCTATACAACTACAACTGACTCATTCATACATTCAGAGACTTTTTCATTCGTTGTCACAGCGTCGCATTACAAGCCTCTCCTTCTAACAGTATGTTTTGTCTCTTTTAAATTCATTCAACCCATTCATATGCTTGGTGACCTTTACAAATGAACTTTACGTTACAGTTTTATTCGTAAGGATGTTTTAAAATTCTTTGTTTTGGAAAATTCAATAACTCTGTAAATATTGATGTTTAAAGAAAGTTAATGTTTAATATAATTTTAAAAAGTTATCCTCTATATGTGTGTTCATTTATTGTCGCGATTGTAATGACACGCGGTATACGTGTTACATAATTCCCCACCAAAAAAAAAAACTATTAGACCGCAAAAAGTGTCAACCCTAATAACCTGTCACGTCAATGAAACTGAATTGGCATAATTTGATAATATTTAAAAAGGTTTGCGATCTCAATAGATGGAGTTTGATTTCCTCAACAGAAGGAAATCAAACCGCTACATCATTCTGATCAATCAGAGAGTTAAACAATCCTTTTGGCAACTCAAATAACATTTGAGAAGCCATTTGACAACTGATTAGTTGACTTCTACGATCAGAGTTTCACAAACTGGGCGTAAATCAGCCACCGTCCAACCACGTGCTTCGAGACAGTGATCAAAATTATTGTCCGTCACGACTCCAGGTACCGGATTTTTAAAATGACAGAAGAAAGAATATAGTGTCATTTTAGGTGATGTTTGTATGAAGATTTATTGAGATGAAAAAATATGACAACAATAACAAATAAAGAATAATGGACCTGTAACAGCCTGCTTTGTGAACCATTGGTAGATTTTAACGTTGAAATAGACTTTTAATGTTATATTTTTTCTGATTTCTAAGGACTTAGGAACTTATCGGTAATGTAGCCGCGGTGTTAGCAACAAAAAATAACATCATAGCATATCTGTTACGTACCACGTCCCCCACAAAGCTGTCCCCTTCGTACACATCTCTGAGCAACTCCTCCACCGCCTCTAGAACCTTCTCTAGGAAAGGAGGGTATTTCTCCTCCTCATGTAGCCTGTCTATAAGGCGGCCTAGATTCTGATAGAATGTTCTAGATTAGATTGTACTATTTTTATGTTAAAGGCCATAAAAAAGTAGAGCCGTGATACATAGCTCATTGTCCGGGCGCTCGCATTTTATTCAAGACTCGAACAACCGATACGACGCGGTGCGTGTACCAATGAAATTGTTAATTTAAAGTGCTCATTTTTCAACGGCGAAGGAAAATAGTATGAGGAAACATGCATATTTTCGATATAATAACAAAAAAAATAATAATTTGAAGGTATGTGAAGTCACTGAAGTCCGCCAATCCGCAGCGTGATCACCTGGTAGATTATGCCCTAACACCCTCTGTATATAGGAACACTTCTCCCAGCAGTACGACATTTTAGGCTCGTAATTTATTTTATTTTGTGTTAAATTTTTTGTAGAAATAATCGATATGTAGAGAGAGGACGATGAGAATTTCGTCGGTGTGGAATTCAGCCGTTTAGCTTAGTGGCTAGAGCCTAGACCAGAGCTTCAGGGCGCGTATGCCAAAGACGTGGGTTCAATTCCCACGGCGGCGAAAACTTCGCACCTTTTTTTTTTTACAAAAATTTAATGTTTTATCTTAAGTCTCTGTACTTAAGATAAAACATTAATAAAAAACATTAGCACTATAAGAAATTTAAAATTATTTATTAAATAGTGGACACTACCACACTACCTCACTACTCAGAACTAACTAACCTAACCTCTCTCACCAGACGAAACGCGAAATATAATACTTCGAATTGACGCCGGACTTCCGTGAGGCCGTGGCGCTCCCTGACGAGCCTGCCCATTCGTGCAACAGCCGAAGCCGCTGCTTTATTCTTGAGGGTAGTGGGACAGAACCAACGAGGCTATTCCCACAATTGTTCAGCTTTCGGCATATTAAATGTGGTTTGATTACTCCGTGGCGCAGTGGTCAAGGTTTTGGCTTCGGCGCCGAGGGTCGAGGGTGCGATTCCCACGCCGGAAAAGTGTTTGTGTGACCCACAGATAATTGTTTCGGATCTGGGTGTTCGTCCACTTCAAATTTGTGTTTGTAAAACACAGGATCGTGTTATCCTAAACCTGCCAAGGGCGTGTCGGACACGCGCACGAAGGGTTCCGTACCATTATCAACAAAAATGCCCGAAAAATCATGACTGTTGTATGGAAGCACCACTTAAACATTTTTTATTCTGTTTTCAAGAATGCTAGCTGCATTTCCTCGCTGAATGGTTATGCTTATCCTTTGAGCAAGAAAAGAACCAGCTCTCCTGTCACCACTGCGTTAAACCTAGGACGTAAACCTTTCAAAAAGTTCGAAACCCTGAAATTAAAGAATTAGCATCTTATGTGCACCCAGCGACAGCCTCGTCACTTGTCACCATCGGAACAGAGGGCTTGGTTTTGCTTATATTGTACAAATTTTACACTCACCCAGGATATATCGTTAGTAATCTGCCTGGTTCGCAAGACTACGGGAGAGTCCATAATGAATTTCAGAAGACAATGCGCCGATTGGTTTATCCAAGCGTCGGATGTTTGAAATGCTAGAAGGATGAAGGTCTATGGGTAATAGAAGAGTGTCAGAAATTAGAAGTAAAAAGGAAAAAGAACGAAGAAAGCAAGATCGCCATTGAAAACACAAGAAAAAGGTAGTAAAGTACTATAAGAATAGTAGTATCTTCGCCAGTTGCTTGAAATGCGAAAAAACGAGTGACTGGATAAAATATATTGAGATTTTCATCGGCATGGCAATCAGCCGTTTAGCTTAGTGGTTAAAGCGTATGGGCGTGAATCCGGAAGACGTGGATTCGATTCGAGCGGCGAATATAAAATAAATAAATATTTCGGACACATTTTTACACAACGTTCTCTAGTCCCAAACTAAGCAACGCTTGTACTATGGGTACTAGATAACTGATAAACATACTTGAAAATACTTTTCTTTTGTAAATAAATACATATTATACATATACAGCGTGTCGTTACAACCGCGACAATAAATGAACACGCGACTAACGCCACTTGCCAATAATCATAAAAAAATATTAACGTTAAACAAAATCCATAATTAAAAAAAATTTTTTTTTTTCAAACAAACTAATTAATTAAAAAAGAAACAAAATTTGTAACATCCTATACAACTACAACTGACTGATTCATAGAGTCAGAGACTTTTTCATTCGTTGCCACAGCGTCGCATTACAAGCCTCTCCTTCTAACGGTATGTTTTGTCTCTTTTAAATTCATTCAACACATTCTTATGCTTTGTGATCTTTACAAATGAACTTTACGTATCAGTTTTATACGTAAGGTAGTTCTAAATTTTTTTGTTTTGGAAAATTTAACAACTCGGTAAATATTGATGTTTAAAGAATGTAAAAGTTTAATAAAATTTTAAAAAGTTATCCTCTATATGTGTGTTCATTTATTGTCGCGATGGTAACAACACGCTGTATAAACACCCAGACCCTGGAAAAACACCCAGACCCTGGAAAAACACTATGTTGATCACACAATATTTATCCAGTAGTGGGGATCGAACCCACATCGTCTGGCGCAAAAGGCAGGTTCTCCTCCCCACGCCAATTGGATCGTCAACCATCTTACTTATTACCTACTAATTTTAAGGTGATGAAAGTCTGTCAAATTGTCCAATGCACTCACATCCCTTGTGGGAGCCCCAGCTTTGCGAGTCACTTTTGTTACCAGAATCTGTCACATAGCCATCATCAGCCCTCCCCTTCCTGTTGAGATGGCTTTTAATCATGTTCAATTCTTCTATCACTTTAAAGGGTATCAGTTCTGCTTGAGAGTTTTCTTCTTCACCTCCCTCTAGATTCCCGTCTAAATCTACTTCGACCATTTCTAATTGATTTTCATTCGGATCTTGACGCGTATCGTGGTAATTTAATGTTTCGTTTGAAGGATTCGCGGCTTTTGTGATATATTTTCTGTTGTCTTTATCTGTAGCGATTTCGTTTAGTGAAAGTTCGTATGAAAGAATTCTATTGTTATTTTTATTTATGTTTTCATGCGATTGATCGAGGTTGAAAGTTTCGGTTGTATTTGAAATGTTATAAGTCGAATCTTTGTTGCTAAGAGCTTTAGATAAAATTATTTCAGTGTTAACTTTGTTTAAGTCAACACTTCTGTAATGTTTTTCGATGATCATAGGATTGTCATCATTTATAGCTTTGCGAACAGAGTCTTTCTCTGTTATATCGCGTGAACACGATGCATCTTTAGGACACGTTTTATACAAGTGCTTATTTTCTATACCCCAAAAAGCGGTCTGACTTGGACTGAAATGCGTGTTGCTATTAAAGAATCCATTGAGGCTATACAATTCGGTTTTTTGGGAATCGTAAACATCTCTTGCGAGTAGGCGTTCCTCAGGGTCTCTACTGTCACCACTTCTACTCCCTTTATTATTATTGGCACATTCTACGTTTGCAATGGGATGTTCTTGATTTTTTGTAACTGTATCACTTTGATAGAAAGTCAGACTGTTATGAATCAAATCGGAACCGTCTAACAGGTTCGGGTTTTGGAAATTTTCGCAGAATGTTGACTGCGTGGGGTTCTGGACATCACAAGCGACCTACGGAGGGGCAGAGGTTATGTTGTTTCAACAAGCGTATGTTATAATAAAAAAATATATTCGCTTCTAATTTGCTCGAGACATAATCTATATGTAATGAGGCAGAAATAAAGCAGTTAAGCTTATTTATTATCCCCGGTATTGAAGAACTAATTTAGATATAACCATAAAAAACATTAAATTTCTTTCTGTTATCATACAAAAGTATGATCTCGGATTGGAACAGAATGAAGGAATATGTAAGAGCAGGAAAAAATGTTAAAGGAATGAAAATAAATATGTTTTCATCGAATTTTCTATAAAGACTATTGTAATATTTCGGCCATTCGGAGAATACTTGTATAAATTATTGTGCCGAATCTATGTATTCGACCACATTGTCCTATGGAACGGATCTATAACAAGTTATTATGCGAATCACATCCAAGTCCACCAATAACATGAGCAGTGCCGGATTAAGCAAGCGCGTGGCCCGTAGCAGATTCTTTCAAACAGACCTCGATCTGCAATGGGTTCTTATGTATAAAGTGGTAATAAACAATTCAATACTCTTAATTACGTAGTAAGTTTCACTCAAAAAATTACGTTCAGACAGAGATGAGTGGGCATAAATATGGGGGGCCCCATTTCGCGCGGGGCCCGTAGCAACTGCTACTCCTGCTATTTAGTTAATCCGGCATTGAAAATAAGTAGTGGTGTTGGCAACCTTTCGTGGTATGGGTCAGGTTTATAGGTGGTTGTCAGGTGGGGTTGGCACATGTGAATAATGTGGTCAATGAATAGGTGCTTTTTCACCACCGCCCGCCTGCCCCACGTCAACCCTTCTCGGGAAAACCAACCCAGTTCCGAAACAGTTATCTGTGGTCACAAACACTCGTCCCTATGGGTATCGAACCCACGCCACAAGTCATCACAGTTGCCTTACACCCAGCAAAATGCACTACTAATTTACGTCATCTTTCTGTAGGGTGACGTTCATTCAAGCTTTTCTCTTTACTCTCAAAGTTCCACAACCTCGAACCAGAGATATTTTTCTGCCTCTCTTTCCGCCTCTAAAGTTGGTGTCTTGGAGACAAATGCTGTGGTTGGACAAGGTAGCAGTCGTCACTGTTGCAATAATGAGCAGGTCCGTCCGCGGAAGTACCACGACCTCATGGAAGACCGGCGTGAAGTGGAAGTGTTGCACTTCTGCGTTGCGTCTGGTGAGCGAGGTAGCCGGGGCCCACATTATTAAGAGGTGGCAACGCATCTGCAACCCTACGGGTGTTGCAAAAGTTCCATGGGCAGGCGGTCATCACCTAACACCACAGGTGAACCGCCAGTTCACTTTTCATCTTCTTACATAAAAGAAGAAAACTAATATTACTTAAATCTCCTAACACTCCACCTGGGACCCAAAAAAAAGGGACTAGTTTTTATATGAAACCGATCCTTTCCCGGACCCTGAGCTATCACAGGTCTTAAATCAGTCATAGCTCATTGTCTTATGCGTAATTCCGCCATCAATGAAATTTTAGGTGCAGACTTACCACGCACTCGGCGGTAGTGGAAAGCCGGAGGAAACCTGTACATTTCTCGAAATAATAAATCTGTGCAGTCAGTACAAAGGCCTTTGCCCAGCAGTGGTGTAAGTCCCACGCTAGGCTGCGTAAGGCTGCTACTTTACTTTTGTTACTTAAACCGCGGTTGAGTCTGTGCGTGAGTATATACCGACAACTATTACGGTATACAAATAGGAGCCGTGATAGCTCAGTGTCCCGGCGCTCTCCTTTAATTGAATATACTCGAGTAACCTGAGTTCGATCCCCGGTGTCGGCACCAATGAAACTGTTAATGTTAAGTGCCGAATTATCACGTGCTCAGCGGTGATGGAAAAAATCGTGAGGAAATCTTCATATTTTCGAAATAATAACAAAAAGAAATTTTTGAAGATATGTGAAGTCTGCCAATCCGCAGTGGGGCCGCGTGGTGGACTATACCCAAATACCCTCTGTACAGAGGAGGCCTTTGCCCAGCAGCGGAACATGTATAGGTTTATACTTTACTTTCACTTTACTATACAAATGGGAAACTTTACGGCTACCTTGCTATTTGCCTCCGCACCAACCCTCTCCATGCCAGACACTTGTTCCACTATACAACCTCCAACATCACCACTCTCAAACTCTGCCAAATCGAAACCTTCCAGAATGTTCGCGCTGACGTCAAGCCTCGTCTACAGTTTCGTGTCCACCGTTGTCGTCCATTAGGAAATCCTCGCTGCATACGGTAACGTCCGAGTCACAGTCCATGGCCGTGTCGTCCATTTTCTCTTTTAGCCGATTTATATGCTGATTTAGCGACACGCGGTCGGGTTTGCTTTTCAATATCGCGATCGCCAGCGCCACTCGATATTTTAAGGTCATCTGACGTACTAAAACGGGATACGTTCACAATGCAGATGCGAGGTGCGGTTGAGCGGTTGCCGCTTGGAATCGAACCCGCGGCTATAACAGCGATGTTAAGCTCGGAGGTCGAACATATGAATGGTTCAAGCTCCGATCCATAACTGTTTTATGTATATAGTTTATATAATAATAATAAAATAAACTATATACATGTTTAAATAATATAAACTATATACATAAAACAGTTATGTATCAATGTAGATAGTTTAGTGTTTTCAGTTTTCTTGTACATTCTTGTATTTCAATTTTTAAATTGAAATTTATGCTTTAAATTCTGTACAAGTTTTAGCATAAATTAGTGATGTTTTTCGAATGACTGTCGAATAATGATTTTCTTCTGTATTTTTAAATCTTATCTTACTGTGCAATTAAAGCCAAATTTAGATAATAATACATACAATAAAATATCTTTCATAATTTTTATTATTCCCCTTCTGTTCTAAACAACTTTAAAATGAATTTAATTATGGAATCTGCTTGCAAATTAATGAAGTCAAAATTAATTCCTTTTATTTACTCACCGAAGTCATCAAAATTCATTTCGCTTCGATTCTATGATAATGGTAAAAATATATAATTATGTTTCCATACATAATAATGAATTACGATATTATTACGTAAATTGTCAATTTCGCGCCACTGTTAAATTAATTTGAAACTTATGACGTCGACGACGTATTTTTTAATATTCTGGCATGGACTAAAAAGCGCGCAGCCAAAGAGAAGTACGGAATCCATTTCAATGCTTAATAAACTTTGTATTGGTTTATGACAAATTTGTATAGATAAATAATGATATAATAAATATATTACAATTTTTTTAAAATAATCTCTATAATTTTATCGGATATCGTGTTTACTACGAACTTATGAGGCGATCTTAGCTTGATATTTAATATTTTATATCAATCGATAAATATCAGTTTTTATTTTATATACCATTAAAATACCTTTTTATTAGTTGTCTGTATTATAGGCCCCTAACTAGACAGATTTTTTTTGTTAAATAAAAGTATTTCTTATTTCTACTAAAAATATAAATCTTACATTTGCAATCATATTGATAATCATACAGTATTTTTTTAATACAATTTTTTTCATTAATTAGTATTTCTTTTGCCATTAAAAATATTCTTATAAAAAACTGAAGTTATTTAAGTCAATTGTCAACATTGAACAATACATTATGTTATAATTTATGGATTTTAATAATTTATAATGTTTTATATCAGTCCTTTAACGCAAATAAATGGCACTTTATACAATATTATTTGGAATCAGCATTTTCATGATAGCTTTAGTTATTGCTATAATAAAGAAAACGTTTTTTCATTGGAAACGTGAGCATATTAACGAGAGGACGGCGTTAATTGCCGTAGAACGGCCAGGTATCATTTAACTATCTCATTTCCACCTAACAACTATATTTTTTTCTAAATAGTATCAGACAGCGTCTTATGACGCTGTTTTTTTATTTAGTATGAAAGCGAAGCACTTGTTCAAGTGAACTGAGACGTATCACATTCAAACATACCTTTAAATAATATATATGTATGATGGCTTTAATGTTTTTTGCCTATTTAGTTTTGTTTTTAGTGCAATGGCGTCGGCATAATTATGTATGACCCGTTTAGACGCGATATATTATCATTTAACGTAGGCGTAATTCTTACATTGACATAAGTGTAGGCGTTCACGGTATTATAGAATATAGAAACAATAACTTTATTTATGTTTATAAAAGTTTCTCAAAATTTATACTACCAAATCTACTTATCCAATATTTTTAAATGCGTTTCGATATTCTTATTTTGATTTATTATATTTTATTATAGTATTAGGTTTGTCAATAATAAAATTCCTATTAAATTTCAATTTTAGCGGTAAGTGTTGTGATAAAAATGTCAAGATGTTTCATAAAATGTCGTCGTTATGCGGAAAGCAACGTCATTTACGATATCATAGACAGGCCGGACTGGCCGAATAACGTTTCCGAGTGTGTGGGCACTTGATTTTTTTTTCTTTTAAGAAGAAAGAATGTATTGTGATATTATTGTATAATCTATCAGTGTATATTTGTTGGATCATTCTGTTGTCTCGATGTTTGGCTGAATGGCTAGTAACCAGTGTCATGTGTAAATAATAATAAAAAATGTAATGAAAATACATGTTATTTATTTCTTCGATAAAATTATTGATATTTTAAAGCTTTTACGTCACTTTTAGGAACTTATATTATGTTGTCGTGAAGCGGGGAAGTAGTGGAAATATAATTTCGTTTTTCGTGAGTGAGGTAAACAGGACCCTCTTTTTTAACATCGTGAGGAAACCTGCATATTTTCAAAATAATAACAAAAAATATATATTTCGAAAATATGTGAAGTCCGCCAATCCGCAGTTGGGCCGCGCGGTGGACTATGCCCTGATACCCTCTGTATAGAGGAGGCCTTTGCCCAGCAGTGGGACATGTATAGGCTGTTACTATTATCAGAACAAAAAGAGTCTTCAACTTCCACAGATCCGATTGATTTGAAATTTGATGTACTGTTACCTCGGTGGTATTACCTAGTCATGCCAACCTACGCAGATGCTGTAGCATTAGTCGTATACACCTGTAATTGAGGTGGCACTAAACATGTTTTGCTGTATAATTAGGGTACACTTAAATTTTTCCAGTGTCCCATTTCGTTGGTGTATCAAATAAATAAATAAATTAGTCATCGGGATGCTACATTCTTCAGAGACACAGCAGATATAGTGCGTTTGCGCTTATAAGAATAGTCCCAATGCCTTCGCATTGTTAGATAGATTATGATCGAGTCAATAGTAACCGCCTAACCGTAGACCAATGGTGGATTAACAAATTTGCCGCCATAGTTACCAAATTCGATACCATAGTTTGTAATCATACTGAATACATTTTGATTCTGTCAATGAAATTGCAACTTTTTGATTTGTAAAAGTAACAGCCTATACATGTCCCACTGCTGGGCAAAGGCCTCCTCTATACAGAGGGTATCAGGGCATAGTCCACCACGCGGCCCCACTGCGGATTGGCGGACTTTTGATTTGTACTCTATCGTATTCATTACATCAGTTTTTTCTCGTTATTATCATGATTTGAACTAGGGTTTCGTTGTGTCAGTTTGTAGTTTATTTTACGACCATGGATTTAGAAGATTACACGAATAACGTGACGGGGTAAGGTATGCCTTAAAATACTTATACCAATATATAAACACAGCTAATACAAAATAATGTACACGTTGTTATTTTTTTTTTTTATTTTCACTCACAGTTTAAAAATAATGCGAACAGTATATTTATATTTTTTCTGTTAACAATCCGATTAATAACGACAATAATATAAGTCAAGTTTTGAATGTTTTACATTAAATTACATTTTAAACACTAGTTTTATCATGATGTTCTTTATTTCTGTAAGAAAAATTTTTTGGCCAAAATCTTCCGCCCTAGACTCTAGCCTACCTAATAGCAGTCTGTTAATTATTTCTGATATATGTATAAGTAATTGACAGCTTAACAAGTTTCACATCAAAAATATGTTTTGTTTTTTTTAATAATAATAATATAACAGAACAGATTTTATCAAATTTTATTTTGATTTCAAATAAAATCTGTAGTGTTTAAAACTTTATGTTTAAAATCAATTTAATAAAAAAATCATTGTGTGCGCGAGTGTCGTGGCATATTTATTCATCAAAAGGACGGTTTTTGTATGTATTAAATAAAAAATCACTTTTCCGTTGAAAGTTATTTAATTTTATCCTTATGCGTTATTCACCTACTCATTATGGTACGAGAGTTAGCAACGTCGGTAAAACAAGAATTTCAAGAATTTTTCTTTCTCCAAAACGTTGCTAGCTCTTAGACTATTAGTTAGTTACCACTGCTTTGACGGAAGCAAGTGATCCCGTACACACTATTGATTTTCACGATGTCGAGGTCTGAAAGCAGCTTGGCGTGGTGGCCCAGTGCCTTCATCACTGAACCGTCGGGGTCCTGTAAGATATTTTTTTTTTGTTCAACATAGCCTTATAACCCAACTGCGCCAGAAGGAGGGTTATGTTTTTCGAGAGTATGTATGTCTGTATGAATAATTCTTTGGCACGCTTTGCAGCCAGAACGGCGTGATGGATTTTAGCTTGGGAGCTGTCGTTAGATTCGTATTTACTGTGAGAGTGACATTGGGACAGAGTGGACATATCGAAATAAAAAATTACACAAATGCAGTCGGGTTTTTTAAAATATATTCTACTTGTTTTAAGCTCTTATTGAACGCCAAAAATAGGGACTAGACACTAATTAAACGAAAATCAGTGTAATCTTCGAAACTATGAGTTGTATGACCCGAGTTCCATGGACATTCTATCTGTTTTAAAGTGTTCATCATCATCATCATCATGATCATTTCAGCCTGTTTGAGTCCACTGTTGAACATTGGTCTCCCACAGACTGCCACGAAGCACGATCCTGAGCCACCTGCACCCATCGACTTCCCGCACATTTGCACAGGTCGTCACTCCATCTAGTGGGGGGTCGTCCCACAACGTTTTATAGTGATAGACATACTTAAAGCTATGGCAACTTAAACTGTGTATAGCTGAAAGGGCTTCGAACAGAGAACAGTCTTTTTACCTGGTCTTTGTACGTGGCAACGCTGGATATGCCAGTCTTGCCAAGGTGCCGCCAGAACTGCCACGCGGGGTGAGTCGCGCTCTCGTAGTCATATGGCAGCGGAAGAGTCGCATCAGGTCGAAGCTTCTCGAAATGGTGCAGTTTGTCTGATACAACACACAGTTTGAGGATATCGCCTAACTGTGATAGATCTACGCAACAGTCTTCTCTGTCGCGTAGTTAGTAGTATAGTAGACCTCACAGAAGACCGGCGTTCTACTTCTGCGTTTCGTCTGGTGAGTGAGGGTGCTACGGGTGTTGCAGATGCCCATGGGCGGCGGTTATCACTTACCATCATGCGAATCGCCTGCTCGCTTGCCTCCTCAAATAAAAAGATATATCTACCCCTTTGCTCAGTGGTTGGAGCATCTGGACGCGTTCACAAGCTGATAAGCTCCATTCTCTATGTTTCAAGTCGTAAAGAGTTAAAATTTTAATCAAATAAAAATGAAATTAACAAATTTACGCACAAGTGAAACATTTTAATAACAAAAAAGAAACAAAAAATACTTCAAACATCGCACACCCTTTTTTCTATTTGATTTTGTGGAGTTCCAAGATGTCTCCAGAACCCAAGGTCCAACATCAATCACATTAATATGGGACCAGATTGGAGCTTAACCGAACCAAATGCAAAGAGAACAAAACCAAATTTTTATCGGTTTATGTACGTCGGAGTTCCGAGGTAACTAACAAAAAGGCCTACAGCCGAATTGAAAACCTTTTTAGGGTTCTGTTCCCAAAGGGTGAAACGGGACCCTATTACTAAGACTCCACTGTCTGTCCGTCTGTCACCCGGTTGTATTTCATGAACCGTGAAAGTAAGACAGTTGAAATTTTCACAGACATATTTGACATATTTCTGTTGCCCGCTATAACATCAAATACTAAAAAAATAGAATTAAAAAATTTAAGTGGGGCTCCCATACAACCGTGATTTTTTTGCCGTTTTTTTATAGATAGTGGTACCGAACACTTCGTGCGGGACTTCGAGTCCGAGTCGGCTGATACACAGCCGCATCCGGCTAGAAGGACCAACCGACCTGGCCTTATGTGGCGAAGGTGCACGCGGATGTAGCGGTCCCTATCGTGACGCGAGGGCTCGAAGTAGAAGCCCAGCATTGACATCACGACCATGGCAGCGTGCTGTCGGTGTTGCCCGCCCTCGAACAGCTCCACCACTCCAAAGTTCTTGGAACAGCGAGAAATATCCGATTATACACTTTTCCGGTAGGGCCACGCGGCAGTGTTTGTTGTTGCACGAATGGGCTGGTCCGTCCGGGTTAGTACCACGACTGCGTTTCGTCTGATGATTGAGGTAGCCGGGGTCCACATTATTAAGAGGTGGCAACGCGTCTGCAACCCTACGTGGTGTTGCAAATGTCCATGGGCAGGCGGTGAGCACTCAACATCAGGTGAACCGCCAGCTCGTCTGCCACTTCCTCACATAAACAATACAACTCTTCTCTATTGTAAGTAAATCTAAGTAACAGCCTATATTTGCGCCACTGCTGCGCAAGTCTCCTCCGTATATATGGTATTAGGGGTCCACGCGGCCCCACTGCGGATTGGCGTACTTTTACAAACGTGATCTGCACAATTTTGTACGAACGTAGTCAATTTCGTCCTTAATGCAGATTTTTTTAACACGCTTTTATCAGTTTCGCCTATGGGCGTATGTATTATCAATGTAACGGATACGTGATTTTGCGCTACTTTGAACGATTAAATTTGAATCAAACTTTGCACATTCGTCTAACACTATTTTCCATATCAGATACAAAGTATTGTTCTTGTGCCAAGTACGCATATAAAAAAATAAAATAAAAAATACGCTTTTACTACTTAGCAGAACTTTAAAATAGAAAATAAATAATGGTTTAAAAAAAAACTGAAAACGTTTTTGTAGATAACCGAACTAGAAAGTAGAAAATATTTTTCAATAAACATAAATGAATCGTGTGATTAACAATTTTATTTATTGCAGAGCACCCCACTCCAAGCACCACACACTTTTCTACAATAAAACATTTTGTTGTTAATTACACTATTAATAATTTATATTTATTGAAAATTATTTACAATTTTTTTTAACTATTATTTATTTACGTCAGAACGTGGCAAGCGACCTGGCGGTTCACCTGCTGTCATGTGATAACCGCCGCCACTGGAACTTAGAACCAACCCGTAGGGTTGCAGATGCGTTGCCATCTTTTAAGTGACCTCCGGCTACCCCACTCACCAGACGAAACGCAAAAGTATGACACTTCCACTTCACGCCGGTCTTCTGTGAGGACTTGCCACTTCCCCGTACGTAGGTACCTGCCCATTCGCGTTAATTTTAAAAATAATCCAAACAATAATATGAATTTATGGTCAATGACGTTGGTGACGGTAAAATATTGATATCATTCGGTTTAATTATTAAAAAATTATAGTAAAAAATTTCTAGTCGAGAAAGTTTCTTCGTATATAACATACAAATACAAGACATTGTTCGAAGTAAAAACTTCTATAGGTTCGATGTGCAATTTTGGTTGGGTAAAATTCAAAGGTTCGTGTGAATTTGTCATTGATGTTGGTGACGGTAAAATGTTCATATCATTCATTCGGTTTAACTAATTTCTAGTCATTCGAAATTACTGTTGTCACGCATTTTATTTTTTTTTAATAAATAAATTTAAATTATCAAAGAAATGAAAAAAAAAACATATTTTGCTATTTAAATATTGAATTAATAATTTATTATATTTATTTAAATAGCACATAAAAATAATATTTATTGTAGTTTTAAGTTTTTACTTCTATTATCACATCAGCAGTTCCTATGACAGCTTGTTTTTTTATTATAGTATTAAAATAATTGTGTATCAAACTTTGCTCCATATAGTTTGTTAATATAATTCAGGCTTGTTTAAATTTTTCTCATCAGTAAAACATTAAGACTATTTCCCATTGAATGTTTTAATGTTAAGCCAGTACCATAGATAAGACATATATACTGAAAGTACTGGCCAGTACTCTAATATACGTAGCACAGAGCACCGATAAAAACCGATAGAAACCGGTGCGCGGTAAAATATTTATTCTTCACCATTATTGTTTTTTTAAATAAAAATTGAACGATTGTAATTGGTAATTTTAAGTTTCAGAAAATGAATAAGTTCATGTTTTGTCAGGCAAACGTAATGTGTTTAAAACACATTTACCTAGTGGTATATCCTATACTTTATTGTACTACACACATTATGCACACGGAAAATATGGTTTATAATTTTTTTTTAATGAAAATTTTCAAGGACCGTTCTAGGTCGATTCTTGAACATGATCCAAGTATGAAATTCTGATTGAAAATTCAAAGGTAGGTAAATATTAAATCAGAATTTTATATGCTTAGAAAATTTGGGAGAATTTTGGGGACGAAATGAAACCACGCCACAGAAAAAACCTTTATTTAATTTTGACAATGCGCTGCATGCGTGTTCTAAATATCTAACAAGCCAATTACTAAACAGTAAATAACAAGAAATGTTCAATTTTAACACGAAAATTTGAAACACACGCATATAAATTTGTACTAGATTTCACCACGCATTTTTGTTTTTTATCGCCAAATGGTCATCAGCCAATAAGAGACACTATTTAATTATTCTTGTATTTAAATATTTTATCTTCAGAGCGGTTCTTTCACTGCATTTCGACGAATTTAAATTGTTTTTTATTTTTAATAATTATCGCGAAGATGAAGAATATTGACGAGGCTTTTCCATTGGCCATTGTTTCCCGCTTCAATTTTTTCAGATTTTTATTATTCCAGTATTCCAACTAGAGCTGTCAAAAATTGAAAAAAATATTGTAGCCGAGGTTTAGAAAAAGCGGTGGATTATTAAAATTATCATTTATATTATTCAAAATGTATATGATGCAATTTGAAGCAAATCCGTTTAATGAATCATAGAAAAAATAATGTCATTTACTTTCACGAGCATGTTAAACTTTATGGTGTGATAAGAGAAATTTTTTTTTCGCTTATGATACTTGCTAGTTTGATCATCGTTATTATTTTTAAACCAACTTGTATTATAAATAAGTAATAAGTAATATTATCCATTCATTACACAATTAAATCTTATTGCTTAATTAAATCATATTGCTTTAGATTGCATTTTGGAAGGGAGCTCGAGCAGACTTGTGTGGTACAAACACATTGCAGGCGTCTACGAAAAGCGTCTTCACAAAATATCACAGCCAAATGTAAAAGAAAACAAACTTACCGAGAAACCTCTCTGCGGAAGTGTTGCCTAACACGCTGCGCACACGCACACAGACAAAATGACTTTGACGCATCGAAATTAATTCATCAATCTCCACTGTCCACATTCTCAAGCATCGTGGGCGTGATTCCCTCGAGCTCGCATTGGAGTTCGCTTCTCTGCCTCTTCGCCCTGTGCCTCAGCGAGGTGCAGAACTTCCTCATGACGCAGGACCAGTGGGTCAGCAGCTCCGACATCTTCCTCTCGTACTCCTCCCGCAGGCAGTCGGGGTTCAACTCGAGCCACTCGATCGCGTCCTTGCACTCTCTGGTGAGGGTCGAGATCTCGTTCGCGGTCAGCTTATCAATGTTCTCCGTGACGGTCTGCTTTACGCTGTATACGTAGCTTTCGAGCTGGTTCCTCACTTCTAGACGCCGCTTGTTCTCCGAGTCCTCCTCTCTGAACGCCTCCGCGTCCGCTATCATCTTGCCGATCTCGTGCTGCTTCAGACGGTGCTCGTTGGTGATCACCATGCTGTTGGTGTTGCCCGTGCTCCTGTCCTGGGCGACAACGGACAGAATCCCGTTCGCGTCCACGTCGAACGTCACGTCCACCGTGGCGACGCCGCGCGGCGCGGGCGGTATCTTGTCCAGCTCGAAGACGCCGAGAAGATTATTGTCCTTGGTCAGAGTTCTCTCGCCCTCGAAGATCTCGATCGTCATGCTCCTCTGGTAGTCCTCCAGCGTGGTCAGGTCCCTGGTATGCCGGCACGGGATCGGGGTGTTCCGCTCGATCACTTTGTACATCACGCCCCTGGCGGTCTCCACGCCGAGCGACAGCGGCACCACGTCGACTAGGAGGAGGTCCTGGATCCTCTCGTGCCTCTCTCCGGACAGGATCGCCGCTTGGATCGCGGCGCCGCACGCGACAGCCTCCTCGGGGTTGACCGAGTACGACACCGGGCGCCCCTCGAAGAAATCTCGCACCAGGCCCCGTATCTTCGGCATCCTCGTGCCGCCGCCGACCAAGACCACGTCGTGGACATCCTCCTTCCTCAGCCGGGCGTCGCTCAGGACCCGCTCGAGCGGTTGCAGAGCGTCCTCGAACAGGTCCGAGCAGAGCTCCTCGAACGCGTCCCTCGTGACTTTGCCGCAGTAGTCGATCTCGTTCCACAGCGACTCGACCTGGACGGTGGCGTGGGCGGCGGACGTGAGGAACCGCTTCGCCCTCTCGGCGGCGGACTTGAGCTTGCGGAACGCCTTCGCGTTGCCCAGGACCTCACGCCCGTACCGCTTGCGGAAGTCCTCCGCGAAGTACGCCGCCAGCCGGTTGTCGAAGTCCTCGCCGCCTAGGCGGGTGTTGCCCGCCGTTGCCTTCACCTCGTACACACCCTCTGATATCGTGAGCATTGACACGTCTAGCGTGCCGCCGCCCAGGTCGTACACCAACACGCGCCGCTCGCCCTTCGCGTGCCTGCCCAATCCGTAGGCGAGCGCCGCCGCCGTTGGCTCGTTGACGATTCTCAGCACGTTCAGGCCCGCTATGGCGCCCGCCGCCCGCGTCGCCTGCCGCTGGGCGTCGTTGAAATACGCGGGCACCGTCACCACGGCGTCGCCCACCGCCCGCCCCAAATACACCTCGGCCGCCTCCCTCATCCTGGAAAGTATCATGCCGCTTATTTCCTCCGGCGCGAACGTACGCCTCTGCGTCTTGTGGCACACAACGAATCTCGGCTTACCGCCGTCGCTCGCCACTTTGAACGGCCAATGACGCATGTCCATTTGCACCGCGACGTCGTCATAGCGACGCCCGATCAAGCGTTTCGCGCCAAAAATCGTGTTAGCGGCGTTCGCGGTCGCTTGGTTCTTCGCCGCTTCGCCGATAAGGCGCTCGCGGTTCGTGAATGCGACGTAAGATGGCGTTGTCCTGTTACCTTGTTCGTTCGGGATTACTTCGACGTCTCCTTTCCTCCATACGGCGACACACTAACTTGTCGTACCTAAATCAATACCGATCGCGACCATTCCGATTCAACGCGCACTGCACTTCAGTTTTCTGCCGTCCAGTTTGTAACTGCCGCGCAGCCGCCACTCGAGCCTTATTTATACTAACGGCCAATGGTATACGAGAATCATCTCGAGTTTTCTTTCAAGTAGCCAATCAGAGAGCTTTGAACGACGTACTTTCGAGAAATGGGTTGCCAGCCATAGGGAAACATAAAACTACTGACAGCATTTAAAATTTTTAGTAATAAAGTTCAGGAATCCGATTTAATTAAAGTGGGTAATATGGAAACCCACATTTCATAACTTAAATATAGTTAATTTTGCATATAACTAAGCTTTTAGTAGAAGTTAATTTATCTTAAAAGTATTATTTAAAATTATGTCTTGATATTGTTTTATGGCATTAGTCATTGATTTAAACTTATAAATAATTGAGAAGAATAAGAATTATTGATATCGCTAATCTGTTTAATTCTAAAAACGAATAAACACCAACAATACATAATTAAGAATTATATTGATGTTTACATAATTAAGAATTATATTGCTAAAAATACAATATAAAGAACGTGGAGAGGTCGAGATTTTCGCGCTGACAAGTCATCGGCTGCTTATCTTAGTTTATAAAGCGTCTGAACGCGAAAACAAGACACAGCTTCGCATCCCGTGGCCCCAAAAGTTTTTGTTCATATATCTACAAATATTTATAATTTGTTACTATGTAAACAAATGTCATTATGCGATCCAGATCGTTTGAAAATCGTTTCTATAGACGTTAAGGGAACACGATAGATTGGCGAAGAGGAATTTGTGCCATTATAAAAACAATACAATATATATTCCTTCGTAATAATATTGTTGTAAATACGTTACCGAACAAATATTTAATTATTCATTTGTTACATTAGCCTTACTAATAGGTAGCTTTGTTTTGACAATGGGCACCCTGATACGCAAATCATTTACGTCATCAAATGTTTATCGTCCGTGCGTGGTTGTGGTAGTCTGCTATTGCTATCGCTTTCGTTCATTCATGAGCACGAGAATGAATTTTAAGGCTGAGCTGAGAATAATTATTGTGGTTACAATTTATTCTTACACATTATGTTGCTGATTGTTGTACAGATTTTGCGTTATAATCTTTGTTATGGTAACAATTTTTCGTATGATATAATAACTACGGTTAAAAAACGAAACAAAACAACATTTTAACAAAATTTTAATAAGTATTTCATTAGTCAACGAATAAACGAACAGATTTCGGTCGAACTCTCAAGGTCAATATGGTTTGGTCTTACTGTTTTTTTGTAGGATAAACTTTCGACGTTTTGACAAATCTATTCGAAATAATTCATAGTATTGTGTAAGTTTTACTGATTTTCGGCTTCGGTAAATTTGTTTTTGCCTCGGTTCGATACCATTGAGTAAATAATAGTAGGTTAACCTATATACTTAAGTACTTAAATAATAATGTCCGATTCATGAGTTTTGTTTGTTTTTATTTAAGTCGGAATATGGATGCTGAGTATCTTGAGCGACGTTGGTATTTTAATAAATTTATTATAACATTTATATTGTTCTTCGTTTAGTTATATCAATATAATTTAACCGAAATTACAAATTGATTAAAACTTTATTATATAAGGTACTTTTACTACACTGAAATGAAACTCGATAGTTCGTAATATACATAAAATTTTATAGCAAAATGTAATACTTAAACTATAAAGTACGTTGCTATGACTGTACATTTAATGATCTTAATATAAAACGTATAGTTTATAATTAATTTATTTTACCGTTTCAAATTTATTACATTTATGTAAGTATATTTAAAATGTATATGTAAATTTTACGTAATTGTAATGTAAATTTACACTATAATATTACACATGATTATAAACATTTTACATATATAAAATAGGTACGTAACCAAAATTATATAACAAAGAAAAACGCACGATCAAATTTAAAAAGTCGCTAAATTGGTAACTTTATATTAAGAAAAGGCAACGTTTAGCGGTAACTTCGAAACTTGTGTTATTTCACAAATATTAATGAACCCCCATAGAATATTCAAGGAGAACCTTCCAGAAACCGTTTTCCTTCATAATGCAATAAAAGTGTTAATATGTTCACTCCGAGTATTAATTTTCCTCCGGTGACTAATTCAAGTTTTCGCGTAATGTAATTTCTTTTCTGTATGGTTTGTAAGTTGATATTAGTTGTATACGTTTATAATAAACTAGCTGCTGCCCGCGACTACGTCTGCGTAGAATAGGCTGAAGGCGTAACATTCTGACAGAAAGACAGTATACATAAAATCTATATATATATATATATATATATATATATATATATATATATATATATATATATATATATATATATATATATATATATAAATGAATCCCTATTTCCCTTGGTCACGCCATCACGCGTGAACGGCTGAACCGATTTCGCTAATTCTTTTTTTATAATATTCCTTGAAGTAGGAAGATGGTTCTTACGGACAGAAAAATTTAAAAAATTGCCGGAAAAAGTCTAAAAACAACACTTTTCTATATTCCCGTACAAAAGATTCGTAATAATGAGATATATAAAAGTACTCTTTGGTAATAATACTTAAAAGTCAATTTGAACTTTAATACCATTCTATAAAGTTTAAGTGTCAGTGGAGGGGTTCCGGGAAGGCAAAACAAATGACTGTGGTAAAATGTCACTTGAAATGTAAACGTCTCTTTGCTGTGCATCATAGTATAAAAAAAAGTCGTCCCGCTGTCTGTCTGTCTCTATGTACGCTTAGATCTTTAAAACTACGCAACGGATCTTGATGCGGTTTTTCTTACTAAATAGAGTGATTCAAGAGGAAGGTTTATATGTATAATACATTGCACCCGTGCGAAGCCGGGGCGGATCGCTAGTATGTATATAAATTATAGCCTATGTCTTATTCTGATGTTTAAGCTAGATTATTGTAAAGTTTCATTAAAATCCATTCAGTATATATATATATATATATATATATATATAGTCGAGGATATATCAGAGATTTTTAAATTACGTAACATAAGAATCAAACAAATCTTATCTTTATTTCTCTTCAATATCTAAAGTACTTAAGTAATACTATAAATACAATTTGTTTCAAATATCAATATTTTAAATACCCAACAAAATTATCATTCAGATTATAGTTAATATTTAAATTTTACATTTAACCCCCCATAAATCATTTCTAGGAGAGATTTATTCACATACGAACTTTAGGTAATTCCCATGTCATTACTTATATTCGAACTGTTATATTACAAATCATCGTTTTGGTCTCATTATGACATTAGCATATATTATTCATTTAACACTTTAATATTCAATTAAAATTTAATTTCAACCCTTTTCTTGGGTAAAGAAGATGGCAGATGCAAACCAAAGAATAAAAACAAAATACTCCAAGTTGATTTAATATAAAAATACTTGAGCAACTAGAGTTCAAAACCCGGTGCCAATGAAATTGTAAAAAATCTGTGGTGAAGGAAAACATCGCGAGGAAACCTGCACATTTTCGATATTATAACAAAATGTATACAAAAAATAATAAAGAAAAATATGTGGAATCCGCCAATCCGTAGTGGAGTCGGGTGGTGGACTGTTACTTTGCTGCACTCCACAATTAATATTCATACGAAATAGTGTAACTAATCTGTTGAGTAACTTTTTTATTTATTTATTTATTTATTGAGGTTTACCAGCAGTTGTTACAGCCATACAATTTATATTAACAGTACAGTAATTATAACTAAGTGTACAACTTTTTTAAGGTAAACACAACATGCACACATAATGTATAAAAAAAAGTTAAAATAATGAAAAGCCTACTTTATTACATTAAAAAAGAAACAAAAAATAATAAAAAAAATAATCGTTTTCTAATAAGTAGTAATTTACAATAAGTAGTTGCTAATGTTTAGCCAAAAAGATAAAATTTATTTGGAAAAAAATTATAAAAAATCAATTAAAAAGATATTTATAAATCCTAATACAAAATATAAAAATTAATAGAAGGATTAAAAAATCATTATTCAATTGTGCGTCAAATTTTGAATTAATTTGCAGCGGAACTGTTTTACAGAATCAAAAAAAAATATCCAAAGATCCACTACATTCGTTAAATTTTTTACTTAATCGTGCAATAACAGAATTTGCACCCAGTTTTGTTTGGCGAAACGGAACTTTTAATGGTTTTATTGGTTTTCGCGGTACTCTTCTAGGAACATTATAATGTAGTCGGCTCAAAAGTTCAGGACAGTCTAAATAATTTACAAGTTTGTATAGAAACATCATGTCCAAAATACTTCTCCTATGTTCTAGGGATATCATTTGAAACTGCCGGAGCCTTTCGTTATATGACTTTAAATCTTTGACTGTGCTAGTACATGAAGAAAGGTGCCACAGGAATCTTTTTTGTATCCGTTCCAGCCTTAGTGTATGTGTCGCATAGTGCGGCCGCCAAACTACACTGCAGTACTCTAAATTGGGTCGTACTAAGCTGTTGAATAAGGAAATTTTTGTTTTAACTTGTTTAAATGATTTCCCATTCCGCATCACAAACCCCAACATTTTTGATGCTTTTTGAATTATGTCTGTGGTATGGGGTATAAATGTTAGTTTTGAGTCCAGTATAACCCCTAGGTCTTTTATGGAGTCTACTTCTCGTAAGAACTGGTGCTGTATGTGGTATTGTGATGGTATGATATGGTGATTTCTGGTAAATTTGATGTGAAGGCATTTCTGAATATTAAGCTTCATACCATTTTTGTTACACCAATCCTGAAGCCTATTGAAATCCTCTTGTAATAATATGGTATCTGTTTTAGATTTTATTATTTTAAAGAACTTAAGGTCATCAGCAAATAAGAAAGGGATTGAGTGTAAGAAGCCGTCACAGATGTCATTAATGAAAAAGTTAAATAGGACAGGGCCCAAATGCGATCCCTGTGGAACACCAGATGAAATATTTTCTAGTAAAGATTCGAAACCATTTAACACTACATAAAACCTACGGTTCATTAGATATGACCTTAGCCAAATGAATAAATTGCCTGAAATTCCGTATGCTCTCAATTTTTTCAGGAGGATGCTATGTGAAACACGATCAAATGCCTTACTGAAATCTGTATAGATAGCGTCTACTTGATGATGGGAATCTACTGCTTCTGTGAGGGATTCAGTAAAAGTAGCTAAGTTAGTAGTGGTTGATCGCGCCTTTATAAACCCGTGTTGATGTTTGGTAACATATTTACTGAGGCAGTCATAAACTACTGGGCAGACCAAGGCTTCTAGTACTTTTGGGAATGTGGATAAGATCGAAATTGGTCTATAATTATCAATTTTGTTTTTTTCGCCACTTTTAAATACGGGGACGACCTTAGCTGTTTTCCATTGAGAGGGAAATTCGAGGACTGATTAGATTTCGCGCACAAGACTTTACAAATATAGGAGGTATACCATCAGGACCCGATCCTTTATTTATGTCAAGCGATGAAATTTTTTCTAAAATTTCTTCGCTAGATATTTTGACATCGTGATAAATTTTATTACAAAAAGTCATTGAATTAAATTGTCCTTCGTCAAACAATTTATCCGTATGGGGGTCGTTGGAATATACAGATGAAAAGTATTTTGCAAATGAATTACATATATCTGGACCAGTGTTGATATTATTAGAGCCATCATTGAATTCTGCAGGATAGGTGCTCTTTCTTTTTCTTTTGTTTTTTATGTAGGACCAAAATATTTTAGGATTCGTCTTAATCCCATCTTCAATGTCTTTCAAGTAATTATCATAACTTTCTTTGGCTATCTTTTACATCGCTTGCTTAATAGATTTAATTCTATCTTGTCTAACGGATTTTTATATTTCAAAAAACGTTTCCTAAGACGATCTTTTTCTTTAAGGCGTTTCGAAAAACTACGTTTTAACCAGATTGGTGTCGTAGCGCTTTTTTTTGCAGCCATAGGAACAAACATTGCTACTGTTTTACTTATTTCCTCATTGAAAACCTCTACCATTTGACTTACGGTGCGGCTATCGCTGAAGATTTTTTCCCAGTTAATGCTATCTAGGTATTTTCTTATAGCTACATAATCAGCTTTGAAAAAAATTCTTTTTGTTTTACATGGATTCTCTAACATGGTTCTATCACTAATTGTCGATATATAAATGTCTAAAGGTGGATGTAGTGGATCAATGCGACTTAAAGCTACCTCACATTCGTAAACAGAGCATTTTGGAATGTCAGTTAGAACAAGATCGAGTATTTTATTTCTATTATTACTTATTAAATTACATTGTGCAAGTTATTAATTTGACAAAAATCTATTAATAGTTGACCTATTAATGGAATATGGCAGTTTGGTATCAAGTTTTCTTTTACTATCCAATTTATACAACTAAGGTTAAAGTCACCCAAGATACAAGTGTGCATATCATGCTGATCGGAAACACTGCTACAATTATCAAGAAACCTTTTGAGGATATTCTTATTAACAGGAGGAGGAATGTAGGCAGTGCAAATGGCAATTTTTTTAATTGTATCCGATAAAGGTGCATCAACTACCACCCACAAATCTTCACATTCACTTTCCCAGATACTTACACGTTTAGATTTTAATTGCTGTGAGACTGCTATCAATATTCCTCCTCCGTCTTTTTTGGAACTGAATTGAGAACTTATTCGATCTCGCCTGTAAACTACATAATTATCTGAGAACAATTCAGAATCCAAGATGTTTTCATTCAACCAAGTTTCAGTGAGTACGTGTTTTCGTTCGAAGCCCACGCACATTCTGATAATAGATATTTATGGAATCGTATTTGGAAGATTTATAGAATTAGAAACACGCAAAAAAAGACTATAAAGTTAAGACAGTTTGTTCAGACATTCATTAGATCGTATAATTTTAAAGTCAGAGTTGTCGTCCTTTCGCACTAATATTCTACCACTTCTCACCCAAACAATTATAGTGTAGTTGCTTGGCCTTATTTCTCGCAGCAGCATGAAGTGCTTTGTAATATGGAGACAAATGTTCTGCAACGTAGATAGGCTTCTTCTCACCGTTTATGCCGATATGTGTAGTGTTTGATTTTTCCTGTTTATTCGATTTATTAAATCTAATAGTGGCTGCTAAGAACTTGTCCCGGGTAGTTATAGAATCAAATTTCACAACAATAGACTTTGCGCGAGGGCTAGATCGGTTTATCTTAGCGATACGGGTGCAGTAAGAAATGTTTTCCTTCTTGATTTTGCATTCCACTATATCTCCCAGTTGCATTATAAGTGTTTCAAGATTTTCATTTTTATGCTCTGGAACGCACTGTATTTCCAAATTGCAAGCCCGCGCTTGTTGTTCAATTGCATTTAATATGTTTTTCAGATCATTAACATTGCTTTCAAGTTTCAAGTTTTGTTCTTGAAGTTGTTTGGTTACTGCTGCATTTAGTTGATGCTCTCTCATGACGTCCTCATATTGGGAACTTAAAAAGTCGAAAGAGCTCTTTAAATCCCGTATATCTTCTTTTACAGAATTCAACTCAGCGTTGACAGATTTTGTTATGGAGACTTTTAGATTGGAGAGTAATTCACTTATCTCCGTCCTTATAACATCTTTGATGGCTTCGCGTAGTTCCTCCTGTGTTACATTTGACACTGATGAAGTGGATCTAATTCCGATCTCAGGGGGAGAAGATAATGCAGGTCTTTTCGAAGATCGTTTTAGATTGGATGAGTTATCATCTCCTGTGGCTAGTAGTGGTAGTATTGCGTGCTGGGGTTTTTTCTTTATTTCCCCTTGCTTTACCCTGTGTACACAACGGGCACCGCCAGTTCGTTGAATCGAGTTTGAAAATACCCGATGAATCCAAACAGTCAAAGTGATAAGCCTTTTTACACTTTGAGCAAAAGGCATATTTACTTTTATCACTTGTCCCACGATCACAACAGCCCCACGTTACAGTAGTCGTTGACATTTTATGTATAGTGATGCAATTTAGTCTCCAAGAATCGTAAATTGAACTTTATTGTAATTGTCTACTTTTAATTGAAAAAAGAAATATTTGGATAATCTTAAGTATTTAATATTTATAATATTTTATATTTATAGAAAAAAAAAGTGCACTGTCTCTCGGTGGTTCGAACTCAGGATCACTCTCTTTGATAATACTGACCAATACCACTGAGCTATATCGGTTATGATCAAGTTAACGAAAATTTGAACATAATCCAAATACAATACGATAAGAACAAAATATGATTTTGTGTACCTACAATATTCAAATGTCCGACTTTTATGTAGGTACCAATCGACACTGTAATTGACGTTATTAATTATATAGTTTTTGGGCACTGCACCAACAGTTTCAAACACAGCCACACGAAATTTATGTCACAGTTTAAAACTTTTCCTTCTGCTTCTTATGGTATAAGAATAAAACCAATTTAATAATTATGAACGACTAATTTCAACAACTATTTACGGAGACTTTTAACATAGGTCTTGCGCTCACAACACTCGTGTTTAGAATGCAACTTTGAACTTTAATAATATACTTTTACTGTTTGCCGCAAGCGCAGGAGTAGTAAATCTGAACTAAATAGTTACTAGTATTATTAACATAATTGCTTAGAAAAAATAGTTTTCCTACCTGCTTACCACCGACTCTGCCCGTGACGTAGTCGGGGCTGTTGTCCAGTACCAAGTAGTCTTCGAATAAACTCCTCTCGTCATCAGTTATCTCCATAAGGCGAGTGCAGGTTTTCTCTTTCAAAATCTTGTTTACCTCCTCCAAACGGTAGCGGACGTCGTCAAGGTCATCTGAAAAAAAATTAACATCTAAAACTTTTCAGGTTTAGTAGTCTGTAAGAATTTAATTGTATATTTAAGCGCCATCTATGGTGCACACAAGTAAACTCATGCACCATTTTATAACAATTTTTATACGGACGGTAAAAACAACATAATTGTATTTATTAATTGATAACTGTAATAAAATAGTTTTTTTTCTGAACCTCTTACAAACAATGCTGTTTTTGAGCTAAGCAACAACTCGATTTATTATTTATTGCATTCGATGATACGGCCTTAGATCTCGCTACGCCGACATCACTTGGTTAGTTAAGTTTTAAAATAAACTAAATTAAATTATAAAAAACAAGATTTATGCCGCTAAAAAGTTTGTTGTAGCGGTTAAGATTAGTTTTAGCTAGCTCGTTCATAATCATCTGTGATTAATTTTATTTTTAAAATGCTAGTCTCTGCACAAACGATGAAAGTTAAAATGTAAAATTTCGTAGATAATCGCTCAACGGACAAAAACTTTCGATTCTCCGTCTTTCGAGTACCGCGTCCAGATGCGATCTGCTTCTGCCAAGTTCAGCCTAATAAATCTTATCCTTTAAACGAGCAATTCTTGTATATATATATATAATCGGAATCTCGGAAAAGGCTCCAGCGATTTTCATGAATTTTAGTATATGCGTAGATTCGGGGGCGAAAAATCGATCTAGCTAGGTTTCATTTTTAGAAAATGTCCTTTTATCGCTTTTTTCAGGGAATGAAAAATATCATTCGAATATGACGGTAAATTTTGCCGAAAAAAATGTTATAATAGCTCGGTCGTTAATCGGGCAGCCCCAAAACAGACGGCCGCGATTCGTATCACGATCATTTACACACTTATTTTTTTACTTTTTTTTCGATTCCAGATTGCAAACATTGCTTTCTTCATTTTTTATTTTTTGTCGATTTGTTATTTTTTTATTTTTTCCCTTTTTTTAAAGTTCTTTCTTTTGGGAAAAACACCAGTTCATATTTTCTTATTATTACGTCGGTAAGATCGAAAAATATTATGCATATGTAATTACTCAGTAATTTGTATTTAAATGTAATTTCCAAAATACACGATTTACCAAAAAAAAAAAAACAAACCGATCAAAGCTTTGGTCCTCCGGGTACTATTTCTTTATGTACTTAAATATAAAAATCTCAGGTTGAAAGACATTCGAAATCTTTTTGTTTTCTTTCATGGTCAAACGGGCTCACAAGAGGCTCACGTGATCACCGCCACCCATGAACAACTGCCACACCAGAGAGCTTGCAAATACATGCTCTCTTGTTTTAAGTTCCCAGGTCGTAACGGTTCGGAACTACCGCCGGTAACAGCTGGTTCCACATGATTTTTTGAAGTGCCCATAAAGTTCTAATTTGCGTGTTTGAATGTCGTTAGATGCTAATACAGCTTACATTTGGGAATGTCTTTTATCATGTATCTTACGATCCCGTCAGGCCAGCGTCTCTCTGCATAGAACTCCTCATTATCCTTTGACAGTTCCACAGTCCTCGGTGCGGCTTTGCGGGGCGTTCTGTCTCTTTCACTCACCGGCCTCGTCTCTTCTGACCTATTACGAAAGCATAGTCGTGACTATAAAAGGGTATAGATGATGATGACAGATTATTAAAAAAAGTTGCAAAAATGACCGACAGAAAATGACGTTTATAATATAAAGAATTTATATTTATATTTTTTTTAGTTTTGGTACAAATTTTATTAGTGTGCCTTTTATAAATTACAAGTTATTAGTTTTGAAATTCTAATTATTTGAAAATTATGTAATCTTGTATATTATTACATTACTATTAATGTAATATTATGATTAATTGATAATCATACCTATATGTTATTGTGAAATGTTATTTTTTTAAATATTTTTATTTATTTATTTTAATCTTAAGTGCAAAGATTAGCATTATAAACAATTTAAATTTTTATTTATGTTCATGCAACGTATAATGTACAATTTTAAATTAAGATAAGCCTTTTAAAAGCAATATAATATGAAATATTTGCATGCCAATGACTCGAAACATGTATGCACATTATTAGAACTACCACATTTCAGCAAATAAAGAGAATTTGAACTTTACATGACGGAGTTATGTCCGAACATAAATAAAAATATATAAACATCCGAATTGATAACCTCCTCCTTTTTAAGATTGAGATTTAAGATTGAGAAGATCCGAGATTTGAACTCGGGTCGCTCGATATATTGGGTTCGAAGCGAGCGCCCGAACTGAGCTATCGCGGTTCTAGTCACTATTGTTAGCTAAGGAAAAGTTTAATGCTGTACAGGATGCATGCAGACTGAAAAGTCAAAGAAATTTCAGTGTAGAGATGTGATTTTAATGTGGTGATAAGTAAGCTTAGATATAATATCAGTACAAATTATAATTTACTATCTGTTGAAAGTTGAAAACTATGATGATAGAGTGATAATTTGGCATCTAAAAAATATTCGTGGCTAAAAATAAAGTTTAATATGTGCTATTGAGTTCCTATCTATACAAATAAAAAAATTGGAGTGTCTGTTTGTAATAACCGCTTTTTACTAAATGCTTATGGATGTATACACGGTTCATATACCAAAATAACATTTTTTACAATTTTTGTCTGTTTGTTCCGGCTAATCTCTGAAGCGTCTGGACCGATTAAGACGGGACTTTCCCTGGCAGATAGCTGATGAAATAAGGAGTAACTTAGGCTACTTTTATTTTAGATTTGTTTTGATTAAAATTCCACGCGGACGAAGTCGCGGGCACAGCTAGTCTATCTATAAAAGTATTGGTATTTACATGGTTTTTGTTGCACTACTAGGCAGGCTCAGTACCACGTTCTCACAGAGGAGAGAGGAGAGGTAGAAGCGTTTGTGCATTGGGATTGTCTGGCCAGAACCTTGTTTGGTCCTTTTTGTACATCTACGAGCTGGGGCGGATTTTCTACACCGAGTAGGCTCGGACCTAGGGCGGCAATATTTTGGGATCTGCAAACTTGATGGGATTGATTTTTGGTAGTGACAACTTCGCCTCTCGCTCCTTCTCGTAGACGATATTCCTTAAAAATTGTAATAAATCAAGCGGCCATGATGAGTAGAATACCATTTTCCTTTTTAATTCCTACACTCCATTTATCTATTCATGCTTTACAACGAGCGGGCGGCAATTTTGTATCAAATATTTTTTTTGTTATTATCTCGAAAATAATGATTGGGTTAACTGTGACATCAAGATATGTAACAACTCAGTCTGTCCCGTGACCATGAACGCATGATAGGGTTCGAAACGTCGGGAATTAAAAATTAAAACCAAAACGGGATAAATACGTAAACTAGTTTCATTTAATATGTATAACATTCGCGTAAAATCAAGAAATATGTGCGATATACACAGGTTTCCTCACGATGTTTACCTTCACCGCTGTGCATGTGAATAAATTTAAATATTTTTATTGGTGACACTTGTACTTGGTCGCTCGATTATATTGAATTGAAAGCGAGCGGAGACTGAGCTATCACGGCGTAGTAAGTAATGTGATGAGAGGTGATAATAAAATAAAAGATTTTCACTCGGAATTGGAGGTTGACCGATCTCTTGATTCGAGACAAGCAAATGGAGTATGACAATCTATTACTAGTACCCTAGAGGTGCAATGGACGCCAATAAGATCGGCGGAAGACCTGAAGCGTACCCAGCCGTAGCAACTGTAGAAGTGTTCACATGATTCAGAACCTAATGGAAGGTTCTAGAGGAGGAATATGCCAAAAGGCATATTCAGTATGAAGTACATACCTACTGAAGTTAAATACCAACACTTACACATATGAAACAATAACTAAGATATTCGGAATAAAAGACTTACGCCCGGTTTCTGAAACACTGAGAAGTCAACTGGTCAAATGGTTTTTCAAATGTAATTTAATTTGCCAAAAGGATGGTTAATCTCTGAATTGACCAGAATGATATTCTTAATGATCAGAATGATAAATTCAAAGAGTTTGAATTGATCACTCGATTGGTTTAGAAGCTTTGACAACTGATTACTTGACTTTTACGATGATAAGTTTTTCAGAAACCGGGCGTTAATATGTCACAATTAAGACACTAGGCAAGATAAAAAACACGCCCCCTGGTGGCGTATACATATTTATACATATTAATTATAAATATATGATCGTTCTTAATTTTTTTTGGTGTCCAAGAACATTCTGAGGATTTATTTAAAGAAATCCTCAACTTTCTAAATTTTCGCCTTCGACATTGAAAAGAGAGATTAGCAATGAAAATTTATCACATAAGTTTTAATTTAAATTCTGGATACGGAACGGATCTACTGGGACAAAGCAGTATAATCTGGTATAGATCAACGATAATTAATTGATTCAGTCGTAAATAGCGAGTTTTCAATTTTTACTATTTTCAACAATTTTATAACTTGAAAATACAATGTATTAAATCAACATCTCATGCAGTTTATAAAAAAGGAAATGAAATAAATTTATTTAACGGTAATGCTCTTTTTATAAAACTAATTTTGAAATTAAGCTTTTACTCTCAACTTTTTTTGTCTCATCGAAATGAGCATTTCGCACAGATTACTTAACGTTCCATTTTCCGTCGGATTCAACAGATTAAATAAAACAGCACGATGTTGATTTAATGCTTTATTTATTTAATCGACGGTTTACCGGTCTTCACCGCGTTTCTTCTTCCTCTGCGTCAAATGCGATTTCATCTGTCTATTCTTCTTCGACGCTTTATCTTGTTTATCCTCTAGCGATAGATCGGAAGCGTAACCCTCTTCTTTTCCGTTCTTCTTCTTATTGTAAACGCTGCAATTGGTTCACACATATTAGTAATGCATCCATACTAATATTATAAATACGAAAGTAACTCTGTCTGTCTGTCTCGCTTTCACGTCAAAACTACCGAACCGATTTAAATGAAATTTGGTACACAGATAGTCTAGAGCCCGAGAAAGGACATAGGCTATTTTTTAATAGGAAAAAAATGTTTTAAAGGGTTGAAGGGTTAAAGAAAGATATTTATTTAAGGGCTACAACGCGAGCGAAGCCGCGGGCGTAAAACTAGTAGTATATAAATATGATTTTACTCAGAAGAAAACTAATTATAGTTTAATTTCTTTCTGACCCTACTTATCCTCTCTTTGCCAGTACTCATTGTTTATGGAAAAAACATGCGGGGCAGTCTTTGGAGAAGCCGATAGAAGGGAAGGAGTCGCCTAGCATTGTCGACCGCAAAATCGAAAGTAGGGAATTGTCAAGACTTTCGCGCGGTTCTGCCTGTAAGATAAGTTGGCTAGAGCGTTTGGGCACGAAACGCTGTAGAGGCGGTTAGGAATCCTGGCGAGGCCAAAAAAATCTTTTTTCGTATATTAAACTATTGAACTCACGTTTATACTTTTATCGACAATGAAACTATTAAATTCACATTTATAATTCACCCAGCAAAGCTGCACAGTCATTTCAATTCATTTACTAAGTACCATGACACAAAGATGTAAGTACATACATGCTTGCTTGACAACTTTATGAAGTTATACTTTTGGGGTGTTTGAGAATAAAACCAGCCAAGTACGCGTCAGACTCGCGCACGAAGGGTTCCGTACCATTATCTATAAAAATGGTAATATCTATAAAAATAGCATATTTATAAAAATGGCAACAACAATCATGTCTGTTGTACGTAAGCCCCAATACAATATTTTTTATTCTGCTTTTTATTATTTGTTGTTATAGCGGCAACAGAATTACATCATCTGTGAAAATTTCAACTGTCTAACTATCATGGTTCATAAGAAACAGCCTGGATACAGACGGCCAGACAGTCAGACAGAAAGGTAATCTTATTAATCTATGGGTACGGAACCCCAAAAATGATGAGATAAGCTAATTTTAATGATGCGTGACACCTAAAAGCGACACCGACTTCACAATGTTACCACGGCAACCGATAACAACTTTTTGGCATTTACTGTTAATCCCAAGTTATTCAATTAAACCGTTATGAATTGTATTTAATGTCTTTTTCACAAACATGTTACTGACTGGCAAAGGGGATAAAATTTTAGTTACATTTCTTTTGTTACGCAAAAGATGGTACAGCATTCTTGCGTGCGTACACATTTTGATAGATTAACGCCCGGTTTCCGAAACACCGATCATCGTAGATGTCAACTAATGAGCTGTCAAATGGCTTTTGGATATTTTTCTTTCCTCTCTTTTATATATTTATACATTATATAAGTTATGTTTTTCTTGTTCTAGTTTAATTATTTTACTGTAGTGCTAGTTTTGCAGGTTACTGTTCTCCTTGAAGGAAGTCTTTCATTCGATGTTGTGTTTACCTTTAATTTAAATGCGTACCTATATACAATGTTTAACTTAATTTTTAAGTGCATCACATCAGAATAATAATTGTTTCTTTATGTATTTAGTTGGTAAGCCTTTTTAAATAAATAAATAAATAAACATACTTGAACGGGATGTCCCCGAATCGTCTTCTCCCCTCGACCGTTTGGTCTACTCCCGCAGCCGCGTCAGCCGATGGACTGTCGTTATCGGTCTTCTCTTTAGCCACGTCTTCGTCAGCATCCCCATTCGCCTGTACTGGACTCTCGTCTGGCGCAGTCTCTCTCTTCCTCCTAACTCTGTCTGCTGGATCGCTGCAAACAAGAGATGTTCGCGATGTACTGATAGTTTTTTTTTTTCTATCTGTCAACTTGTCCAACTAAAATAAGCTTTTTAAAGGATGTCAATTTTTATAGTGCCATTCTTTGCATTTAAGGTGAAATTTTAAAAAAATTGTATAAAAATTAACGAAAAGTTTTTTGCCGCCGCGAGAATTTGAAGTTGCGTGCAGGGCCGGGGTTAGGGGAGGGCAACAGGGGCCACAGTCCCGGGGCCTCCACAAAAGAGGGTCCCCCACGATAGAGACTTCAAAAAAAAATCATATTCAGACTAGTAAACACTAGTAAACAACTTTTCCTTTCATATTTTTTTCGTGGTTTACCTTTACCTACTTTATACTTGGTTTCAAAATAAATTATTTATTGGAAAACTCGACTGAAAAAATTGTTCATTTTATTTGGAAAATAGTTTGGAGCTAAGGGGCCTCCACTCCTTTGTTGCCCCGAGGCCTCCAGATCTCTAAATCCGGCCCTGCCTGCGTGCGACCACCGGTATACGCGCCCGACGAGCCACTGAGCTAAACGGCTAATCTTCACACCGACGGAAATCACAGCGTATATCGTAAACTTTGTTTTTTATTACACTCTTAAGCGAGGTATGGCGCCATCTAGTGTCTCCTTTACAATTAACGACCATCACAGAGAATAGCACTACAAAAATAAATATTCTTTAAAAATCTTAAAAGCAAAGGTGTCATCTGTAGTTTTTAAATATTTATTGTAAAATTTTGTATGAAAAAGTGGTCGTTGCTTTATAGGAAACGAACTACTTAATTAAAAAAAGTAGATAAAATACTTAAAAATATTTTTTATAGTGCTAATCTCTGCGCTTAACGTGAAACATTTTTTTAGAAAAAAGTACGAAAAGTTATTCGCCGTTGAGGGAATCAAACTCACGTCTTCCAGATTTGCGGCCAGATGCTTTAACCACTAAGCTGAACGCGAATTTTTAAAAAATGATTTGTTGTCAACTTTTTTTTGATTGACTTTGTTTTTGTTGTGTGCGTTTAAATTAAGATTCATATTTCAAAATGTCTTTATTCGAATAGACGTTTGCGCGTCTTATGAAACTTCGAATTTTAAGGCGCTGTATGCTGTTTGCTGTGGTAGGGCCACACAACAGTGTTTCCTGTTGCACGAATGGGCAGGTCCGTCCGGGTTAGTACCACATTATATTATATTATATTTATATTATATTATATTATATATTATATTATATTATATTATATATTATATTATATTATATTACATTATATTATATTATATTATATTATATTATATTATATTATATTAGTTATAGCCGGGTTAGTATCACAGAAGACCGGCGTGAAGTAGAAGTGTTACACGTTTGCATTTTTTACATCGTTGCACTTTTTTGTTAATATCAGGTGAACCTGGTCGTAAGGTCACATTAAAAAAAATACATCATCTGTTAAAATTTCAACTGTCTAACCATCACGGTTCATCAGATACAGCCTGGTGACAGATGGACAGACAAGCGGAGTCTTAGTAATAAGGTCCCGTGTTACCCTTTGGCTACGGAACCCTAAAAAATGTATACATAAGTTCGTAAGTAAGTTAGTGCGTTACCGAATCATGCCTCGTCTCCCACTCCTCTGCTTGGCTGTTCTTGTTCCCCGGTTGATTTTCTTAAACCTTTTCACTTGTTTGCTCTCCAGCGACAGTTCCGATGCGTAAGTTCGTTTCTTTTCATTATTCTTCCCTTTGTAGACGCTGAAAGGAATTTGGACTTTTTACAAAATTACGTAGACGTACCCATCGAGACTCATATTGAGAAACTAGAACTATATGGTACTGGAGCTAGTAACGTCGGGAGAACTAGAATTTCAGGTAGGCCAGTTATGTAGTAGTTAGATATGCTATCTCTCTCCCTCTCCTGGACGTCAAATGGGCTATCTGGCTAGATCGGGACAGTCTGTCCATGATCTGGCAGTGACCATGAACGCTGTAAAAGGTTAACAAACGGGAATTAAAACAAAAATGAACGCGATAAATACGTAAATATAGTTTCATTTACTCCCATTAGTCCTGAGTGTATTGCAATAGTTGATAACGGCTTCAAAATCTTCTCATCAACGGAAAGCCTCACCGATATTGGGTGTCCTTGAATTTTCTTCTTCCTCCGGTCTCGCTTCGGTTGCTGACTGTGATTTGATCTGATGCCGGGCCCTTATCTGTTGTCGGAAGGTTGTCCGTAGATGTTTCTTTCCTATTGACATCCTCAGCTTGTCCGACTTCATCCGGCTGGGAAGTTGTTACCGCCGAGGCTTCTCTCTTCCTTCTAGTAATGGAAATGCACGGAATTGTTATTTTTTTTTATGTGGCAAACATGCCAGTGTAGGGCCACGCAGGGCACTGTAGCCCTGCGTGGCCCTACACAGTTTTCCTAATAACGTACGTTTTATTATATAGTTTATTTTTTCAAATCGTCCATGAATCGATATGACGCAAACGCTAAAAAAATAAAAGTCAAAGACTAGATTTATTTATTCAATAATAGCTTTTTACCCGCGGCTCCGACCTCATGTTCTTCATTTTATATCGTGTTTATAAACTACCTAGGGAACTCTTCGACTCGTACTTGGTCGATTTTTATTAACTTTATATAAACTTAAAATCATCATTATTTTACAGACCATAATGTTTAGTTGCATCCACTTCAACTATAGCTATTACTACGCTTCAACTATAGCGTGTCGTTACAACCGCGACAATAAATTAAAAGTTAAAAAAATCGATAATGAAAAAAATATTTTTCAAAAAAACAAATTAAGTAAAAAAGAAACAACTTATAACATCCTATACAACCACAACTGACTGATTAATACATTCAGAGACTTTTTCATTCGTCGCCACAGCGCCGCATTACAAGCCTTTCCTTCTAACAGTATGTTTTGTTTCTTTTAATTTCATTCAACCCATTCATATGCTTTGTGTATTTGTTTGTTGTGTAATTCATATTCATATGTTTTATACGTAACGGCGTTCTAAAATTGATTGTTTTGGAAAATTTAATAACTCGGTAAATATGGATGTTTGAAGAATGTAAATGTTTAATACAATTTCAAAAAGTTAACCTCTATATGTGTGTTCATTTATTGTCGCGGTTATGACGACACGTTGTATATATGATATGAACCGATTTAAATAAAACTAACACTAAATGTTAAGTGAAACTTACTTACAATGCATAAGTCAAAGCTGCAACCAAATCGCTTAAGCAGTTTTCAGATTGCGCAAACATGTTTTGGGTTCGTTGATAAAGACCCCAATAACAATTTTTCTCAAATATCTAATATTTTTTTAATTATGCATTAAATCAATAATGACACATTACACACCCTACCGTGTATTATTAATTGATTTGAGGACTCCGTGGCGCAGTTGCCAAGGTATTGGCTTCGGCGTCGGGGGTCGTGGGTTCGATTCCCACACGGGACAACTATTTGTGCGACCCACAGATAATTGTTTCGCATCTGGGTGTTTGTCCACGTGAAATTTATGTTTGTAAAACGTCCCTACAGCACAGAATAATGTTATCCTAAAATAAGGGCAGTTTTTTAAAATAGACAAAAAATATGGTTGAATTTCGACCACTTGTATAACCTGTATAACTTAATACATTACCAGGAAATGTATTTGCCAGCACCCTTGTATAACTTAATACCACTTGTATAACTTAATACATTACCAGGAAATGTATTTGCCAGCACCCTTGTATAACTTAATACCACTTGTATAACTTAATACATTACCAGGAAATGTATTTGCCAGCACCCTTGGCAATTCGCGCGTTATACCTTCACTAACGATGAGTGGACTTATTAGTGTTGCCAATGGTGTAAATTATCGAAGGTAGATTTATACAACGGACTGTTTACCGTTCGCCGTTCATTTTCTTCTTCCTCTGTGCTAAACGGATATTCGCTGCCGGTCGATTATTCTTAAATAACTTTCCTTGCTCACCCTCCAGGGACAAATCAGACGCGTACACTTTCTCCTTCGCGCTTTTCTTGTGTTTGTGAACGCTGAAATTAATTTGATTTTTGAAGTTACATTGGTGCCTTAGGAAAAAAAAATATGAGAGGAAAATCAAGTCTTCACGATGCGCGCGCACCGACAGCCAAAAAGCGACATGTTGAAGTTGTTTGCAAAACGACCAACTGCAAGGACCAATTTCGACATGGGTTTCGTGCAAAAATCTATCAGTTCTGTCTGTTTGTACGGCACTCGGTGATAAATATTGTGCATGGACCTGTGGAAAGAGACAACCGAGTGAACTTCGTAGAGCGTCATCTCTGTCGCACACTTTTACAACGAAGACTGACAATTTGCACGTAAGTAGTTTTAATGGGTAGATTTTCACGACACGCCTGCCTCGCATAAACCCTTCTTCGGAACAATCATCTGTGGGTCACGCAAATACTTGCCCCGTGTGGGAATCGAACCCACGACTTCCGTCGCCGAAGTCAATAGCTTATTAACTACCCTAATGAGTCATAAAATACAGGAAGTCCTCACCTGAATGGGATTTCCTTGAAACGCCTTCTTGCATCTGACACTGTTTTATCGGTTGGAGATGCCGTTGGTTTCGATTTCACATCGATTCCATTAGTCTTTTCCTTTTCTTTCGACCAAATCGCATCCCCAACTGTTGCAGCTTCCCTCTTCCTTCTAACTTTGTCTGCATCGCTATTATTGCCCGTTCTGTACGACATCGGTTCATATTTGCTCTCTCTGTTCGGGTGCTTCGTCGGATACTGGTAGGTCGGTCTGTGCTGCGTCGAATGTTTGACGTCGCCCGATTTGGTGGATCTGTAGCCCCTGCATCCGCCATACCCCTCGTAAATGCATCTCGTTCGCTGATATACGTACAAGGAGTCGGCCGCCTCGCAGAACGACTTGGTGTTTTCTCCCGCGTGATCCACAATCGACTTAGCGTAGTCAGCGAGCAGTTCCACCGTGCCTAACGGGTCGGCCCCATCACTGCCCGTATCTCCATCGGACCTTAGATGCGGCGCTGTGCCGTTGCAATACTTTACCTGAGCGTTCGTTAGTGCTCTAGAAGACAGTTGGTGAACTCTTTCTTTTATATCGTGTGCCTCGTTTTCGACTCCTAATTGAGCTAAGGCGCTCAGTGCTTCCGTGGTATTAATCGCGGGAGGTGCGGTGATATCTCTGTTGACGCGTAGACTCGCCCCCCCCACGGATATGTCAATCTCCCGCTTCCTCCTGGCGACTCCTGGATAGTTCTGGCACAGTTCGATCTTCTCCTGTCGCTCCCGTTTCAGGCACTCCGGGCCGTAGACTATCTCGATCTTCCGTAAGTCCAGTTCGGAGAGACCGTTGCGGTTTTGTTGGACGTTGTGGTCCTAGAATTGCGTGATTGTGTGTAATTCACATTTGATATATAAGTATATTATGGGCATTTTCACCTTATTTAGAATTAAGAACTAAACTAGTAGAAAAATCTGTTGTACATTGGACTGTCTTGAACCCAGGGCGATCGTACTTTTCGAAAACCGCCGGCTTTGATATTATATTATTCATGGCAGTAAAATCGCACGCAATGATCTTCAATTTACAGATAGTTTTGATTAGTGCTTTGTTATTAGTGATAAAAAGGTAAGTATAGCGTCAGCAAGAAATTCGCCACTATGATTGATTGATAGAGTGAAGTAACTATTGTGAATTTATCTTCTACATTATTCGACTCGGAAAGCATCTACAGCTTTGCCTGTGATAAATTAGTTTATGAATTTATATATATTTTTGTGTCAAAGCCCCCAAATCCAATGGACCCCAATGACCAATGCAACCTAGAAAGATCTACTTTAGTCTTCCCTTTGAAAAAATTGCCGCCTTGCAGATAACATTATCCTATCTTCTAAGGACGTTTAACATACATAAATTAGACGTGGACAAACACGCAAATGCGGATCTAACGCGGTAAATGCGGTCTAATGCGGTAAAACTATCTGTGGGTCACACAAACAGTTGTTTCAAGTGAGAATCGAACCCACGACCCCCGGCGCCGAAGCCAATACCTTGGAAACTGGCCCGCGGAGTCATCCAAATTAGTGTGATTTCATATTATACAGAAACTTTGACCCACCTTAAATATTATTGTTCGGTGGCCATTTTTACTGAATTCCCTATCGCCGAAGTGTGTCACGCTGTTGACGTCATAACGCAGTGGACGCAGCTCTGGTGGCAATTTCGAGTCTTTCGTGAACAGCTCGACCGCACCTTAAACGGGTTTTATTTACTACTTAATTTATAGCACTAGGTAACTTCCTCTTGAATCTCTATCTAGTAAAAAAAACCGCATCAAGTTCCGTTGCGTAGTTTTAAAGGTCTAAGCATACATAGGGACAGACAGACAGCGGGACGACTTTGTTTCATACTATGCAGTGATTCATTGATGTTGCAGGAGCGGGCAGGTCCGCCCGAAAAATTACCACGACCTCACGGAAGACCAGCGCGTAATAGAAGTGTTTTACTTCTGCGTTTCGTCCGGTGAGCGAGGTGGCAGAGGCCCATTTGAGTGTAACGTGGCAACGCACCTGCAAACCTACGGGCGTTGCAAATGTCATTGGGTGTGGTTCATCACTTAATATCAGGTGAACCACCGGCTCGCATGCCACTTTCTCACAGAAAAAAACTCTATACTAACTTTTATTATTATTTAAAAACTGGCTAGGACTTGACTGTCATCCCACCTGATGGTAAGTGGCGGTGCGGTCGCTGATGGTAAGCGCGCTAGCTCAGTAGAAACCTATTAACTCTTGCCTTGAAGACGCCTACGTTGTATTCGGACGGAAAGACGGACGCCGGCAGGTTATTCCATTCCTTAGCTGTACGGATGATAGATGAGGAAGCGAATCGCTTCGTTCTTGTACGTGGAACAACCGGTCGAGTTTTGAAATGGCCACACCTTTTCAAAAAATCGACGATTGACACTTCCAACCTCCGAGTCGCAACTGCTTTGACGGCCGATGGGGAAGGAGTAGGTCCGAAAATAGCGCTGGCGTCAACTGATTCCATAAACTGGTCGGGATATTGAAGAAGGAATAGTGATGGACTGGTTTCTCCCATCGTCTTGTGAAGATTACGCTCAGAGCACGATAGCAATGCCGAAAAATGAAAAAGCCGCCTAAGTGCGAGGCGGATTCGCGCACAAAGGTTTCCGTACTATTATCAATAAAAACGGCAAAAAATCTTTTCTTTTATGTGGCAGCCCCACTTAAATATTTTTTTATTCTGTATTTGTTACATATAGCGTGTATTTGTTATATATAGCGGCAATAGAAATACATCATGTCTCAAAATTTCAACTGTCATCAATCAGAAAATGATGACATACAGCCAGGTGACAGACAGACAGACACAGACAGCGGCGTCTTAGTAATAGGTTTTACCCTTTGGGTACGGAACCCGAAAATCAAGCGTAAAAGAAAATATAATATGTTTATCAATAATAATATACTACGTAAGGAACTTCGTTCCAATCTAGTAAGTGTTTCACGACACTCACGCATTTCTTTGACTATCGCCCGGTTTCTGAAACACTGATCATCGTAGATGTCAACTAATCAGTTGTCAAACGAATTTCAAATTTCATTTTAGTTGCCAAAAGGATGTTTAAACTCTTTGAATTGATCATTCTGATCATAAAGAAGATCATTCTGATCAATTCAGAGAGTTTAACCATCCTTTTGGTACCTAAATTAAACCGGGCGTATGTGTTTTTGATTTTTATCTCGTTGACATGAACGACACGTTGATATAAATTTATTGACGACCCGAATGGCGTAGTGGGTAGCGTACCTGCCTCCTGCGCCAGAGGTTGTGGGTTCGATCCTCACTACTGGAAAAATATTTTTTGATCAAAATAGTGTTTTTTAGTGTCTGGGTCTTTATACATGTATAATACGAATATATTTACAAAAAGAAAAGCATGTTTATCAGTTATCTTGTACCCATAGTACAAGCGTTACTTAGTTTGGGACTAGAGAACGATGTGTAAAAATGTGTCCTAAAATATTAATTAATTTATTTATTTTTTATTCAATGGTAGAATTTTTTTTAATTATCACTAAAAGTGCAACTACCAACTAAAACGTGGATAATTATGTTTGATTACTCGGTGAACGACAGTTAAGCGATTATACTTACGAATTTAAAAAAAAAACATTTCATTATTTGTTACGTCACTTATAAGCGTGAACGTTGCAACGATAATGATGGTTGATTTGCTAACTCTTTCAATTCATTATGAAACGAGCTACTTGACAGATAAGAGATAATTGTGTTTTCCTTATCCGAGCGAATTTTGTAATCGGTCAGTCATACTATCGTAGAAACATTGACCATGAAGTTGATATAGATTCATTGGCAATCCTAAGGAGTGACCGTACCCCGCACGTCACGAAAAACCGACATCCTGAAATTAGCTAGACATCCACGTATGTTTGCGTGAGAACTGACAACTGTATTCACGATATTTATTTTGTGATATTTAAATAAACTTTTTTAATTAGATAATGCGTTATAATAAAACTTTCAATGTATTAAATACCTTTTTTCTATTGTTGGTGTCGTTTTTTCTACAAACGTAGAATGAGGCGAAAGATAAAATTTTTTAGAAAGATTTGACCTTGTTACGCCAAAGAAGTATAACTTCTAACGCGTATTCATAAGTACAGACACTTCTTTTTCCGAAAATGTCGGTGCATATTTTTGCTTCGTAACTATTGCTGTGGTTAAATTTCTCTGTCGATTAAAAGTATTTGTACGAAAATACAATGTGAAAATATAGAATTAAAAGTGAAAATTTCAAAACTATCACGGTTCATGAGACAGCCAGCCAGACAGCCTGGTAACAGACGGACAGACAGACAGTGGAGTCTTAGTACAGTCCCGTTTTACCCTTTGGGTACGGAACCCTAAAAAGATAATAAAGATAATACAATGTGAATGTAATAAACAAAAATAGTCGAGCACGTTTTTATAAATAGTGCAAAATGTTCAGTTCGAATTATCGTTGTAAAAATATATTCGAAGTTGTTTGTGTTGGAAAGGATATTAACAATGGACGCGCCAAGCATTGCTTCAAATGCTAAAAAGCAATGTAGATAAAAGGCGTTAATATTTTCGTCGGTGTGCCAATCGAGCCATTTAGCTTAGCGGCTAAAGCGTCAGGCCGCGAATGCCGAAGACGTGGGTTCGATTCCCACAGCGGCGACAACCTTTTCGTACTTTTTCTACATATTTTAATGTTTAATCTTAAATGCAGAGATTAACACTATAAAAAAAATGAAAAAGCATAAAGATGATATTTAATACAAAGGGGGCCAATATTAAATAGGTGCCACCCCTGAATCCGTACACTCGACAACACTACTTACGTCAACAGATAAAGGTAAAGTCCACTGACCGTTGCGGTTATCTTGACTCGAACATAATGTAATCGGTACCAATATAAATAATTGAAGACAAAACAATTCAGCAACTCTTACTCCTATGTTTGTGGAACGATTTTCTTTATTTATTCTTTACTAGCGACCCGCCCCGGCTTCTCACGGGTGCAATGTACATATAAACCTTGCTCTTGAATCACTGTCTAGTTAAAAAAACGCATCAAGATCCATTGCGTAGTTTTAAATATCGAAGCATACATAGAGACGGACAGACAGCGGGACGACTTTTTTAACCGACTTTAAAAAAGGAGGAGGTTTCTCAATTCGAACGTATATATTTTTTTAATGTGTGTTCGGTGATAGCTTCGTCATTTATGAACCGATTTTGATTATTCTTTATTTGTTGGAAAGGAGATATCCCAAGGTTGGTACCGTGATAAGGAAGCCCAAATCTAATGATGGCATCCCAGAGAAATCGAGGGCAATCCTCAAATGTTTTAGGTGTGGACAATGTTTTCCTGTTTGAAGTCGGTTTTTTTTTGGTCATAATTATTGAGGTTATACATCTTTTGGCGGGTTTGAAAAAAAATATGAGAGTAAAATTTTTACGATGCAGGCGCACACCGTCAGCCAAAAAGCGACATATAAGTTGTCATAAAAACCATAGAATAATAAGTTCTGGTCGCGTATGTTTACACTTTAAATTAATCAGAATCTGTAAGCTCTGGTACCAAAAATAAAGTTGTATTTTTAAAACGACCTCTGGCTCCCGCATGGCTAGTATATTATTAGCAATTTGAAACAGTTAGCTTTTCACTACATTTATTATAGTACTGCCCTATTCCGTATTGTAAACACATATCAATCTGTATGGTCTTAGGTACAAAAGGACGAATGTATGAGTGAGAAATGTCTAAAAAAACTAAAATTATTACGCTTTTTTATTTTTAATAATGATTATGGTCGTATTTCGACTACACTAGTTTAGTTTAACATTACTATTTTATTGGTTTAATCGCTTTTGATATCGTTTTATTTATTAAATAATAATTATTTGCATGCCATATATTATGGCTGAACTTTTAGGTCAATAATTGTAAACCAACTTCTTAATCACCCAGTTTAAAGGCAAATATATATTTTTTTTTAAATATTAACTTAAAACTCGCATTCGGCACAATAGGCAGTATACGGTACGGTCAACATAACCACAGATGGAGTGGTAAATCTGAAACCAAATTGTACGCGGTAAAATCCTTTAAATACTTTTATTTAATAATCGTAAATACATGCAACCGTCGATTGGTATTACAAAGACCAGGGTCCAACGTTTCGCTTACAGCAGGACCTTGTGGGCGTGGCACAAAGTGAGGATCGGCACCGCGGTGGGTTCCTGCGGGGGAGAACCGGCCGCCCCGGCGATGTCCAGGTGCGTGTACCTCACGTTCCTGCCCTCCAGGCCGCCCACCTTGATCAGGAAGCCTGCCGCGAGCTGGTGGTTGCGCGCCTTAGCGTCCGTGTCGTACTGCACCAGGTCGTCGCCCCTGCACTTGCCTAGGTTCACCGCCAAGTCCTCCGCCCTGACGGTGGACACGTCCACACCCTCGGCCATCCTGCCGCCGCTGAACTGCAGCCTGGCGGAGTGGCCGGTGGCGCGGGCGCTGTGGTTGTCCATAGCGGCCACGTTGTCGCCGTAGCAGGCCCTCGCGTGGCCGGTGAGTGTTGCCACGGTGTATATGTGAGGGTTGAGCTCCTCACCGGCAGCCTCGCCCAACTTGTGGAGGGCGTCCGCCATGGCGAGACGGCCCTCGGCGTCGGTGTTCGTCACGCGGACGGTCTTCCCGCCGCGCGAGACGAGCAGCTCGTCTGACACGTAGCTATCCGCGCCTACGGAGTTCCGGCATAGACACAGCACGCCAACCACCTTCAGGTGGGGCGGCTTCAGGAGCGAGCACGCCTTGACGAAGCCGGCGACGGCCGCCGCGCCGCACTTGTCGCGCGACATGCCCGCCATCTTGCCCGCTATCTTGATGTCCGCGCCGCCCGTGTCGTACGTCACGCCCTTGCCGACCAGCATCACGGTCTCCGTGACCCTGCTCAGGTCGGACGGCTTGTACTCGAGCTCGACCACCCTCGCTTTGTGGCGGTCCACGCGGTTCGCTGCTCTCGAAACGGCCGCCAGTAGAGGGTACTCTTTCGCGATGGCCGCCTCGTCGTCGACCACTTTGATTGTGACGTTGCTGACGCCGTCGAAGGCCTCTCTGACGTAGTCGACAATCCTGGCCGGCGCCATCCTCTCGGGGTCGCCGCCGCCGATGTCCCTGGCCACTATTCGCGCCCTCTCCAACGCGATCGCGTTCCTTATCACCCTCTGGAAGTCCTCCGTCCTCTTCTCCTCGGCGTGCAAGCCGAGACGTATGAAGGGGCTGGAGAATTCGCGCTCCCTCATCTGCAGTGGGGTGTACAGCGCCTCCAAAGCGGCGAGGATGCCCACCAGCTGTCCGTCGGGGAAGTGCACCGCATCCTGAACGATGAGCAGGGGTTTCTTGACGCCCGCATCCAGTGCCCGCCTCATGCCCTTCAGCACCGCGTCCTTGACGACCTTGGCGTCGTGGTAGGGGGTCACCTCTCCCGTCGGCGCCAGGATTATCCTCCCGCCCGCCACGTGGTCACAATTCCAGACGGTCGCGACCTTCTGGATGTGCTTGTCCAGCTTCCGTATCCCGTGCACGAAGCTCCCGATGTCCCTGGGCGGGACCACGTTCATCTCGTCGGGGTAAAGGATAAACACGACCCCATCGTAGTCCGGCGACTGTACGTTGGTCTCTATGAAGATGTTCTCGTGAAGTTTGAACTCGTTACACAACGACATGTTGCCCCGGCGACGCTTTAGACGCGACTGAGCTCGACGCCTCGCAAGAGTCACAAGATTCTTCGCGTCGTACGAGATTACGCGTTGTTATTTAATATCGCAATTAATTTACAACAATTATCGCGACTTATCGCGATAGCGTATCGATAAGGCCCGTTATAAACCGTTTGAGCGCTGTAGCAAATAACGATTGTTTGTTTGACTTTTATTCGATTATTTGTTTACCGAGAACTTTTATCGTATCTATTGTTAGAAAAGCCTAAGCACTAGAAACATTGAACGAGACAGACGAAGAATCTAGTACCATCCGAATATGTTACATATAAATGAGAACGAATTGATTAGAAGGGGCGAAGTTCATTGTTGTTGTTTTCCGTTATTAATTATTATCAACCGCAATATATCAGTTTTATAATTCACTATATTACATGTTCACATTGTTAATATTTTTTGATTTTTTTTTATTATTATTTTAGTTATTTTGTCCATATCTTTTTATCGTGTTGACTCAGGATTTCATTTTTATACAAGTAATAGGGACTAGGTCTCAGTATCTATACTTAACAGACTAAACAGACAAAAATGGTAAAAAATGCTTTTTTGGTATATGTACCGTGTATACATTCATGTACATTTAATAAAAAGCGGTTATTTTAATATTACAAACAGACACTCCAATTTTATTTATCTGTATAGAGTATAGATTATTTCTGTTAGTTACATGTAACTAACAGAAATAATAAGACATAAAAAAGTGTGAAATACTACATAGTGTGAATACATACCACAGTTACTAGTGCAATATATTGCAGGTATATTTCATAAATAGATAAGTTCTAATAGTAGCATGACAACATACGTTGTAAGTGTCATCGAGTTCAATTCGTTGCCGTTATAAAGCGATAAGCAATAACAGCTCCAACTGTGAATGTGTTAAGCCTCAATTCCTTGCAAGCACACCGATAATTACCAAGAGTATTAAGATTGAAGATTCGAGAAGCTATTGTTAGCCTATTTATGCGTTTATACTTTATATTGACCTGAAAAGTAGTTTTATTTTGTATACTATTATAATATTTTCGATTAATTATAAATTTGTGTTCGATAAAACTTTTGTAAAATAGCAACATTATATCTTGGAAATATGGCAACATTGAAAAAGTAAATTAAGATCCGATATTTAATTTATTTTCAAAAAAACTGAACCAAAGCTGTAATTAATTGTCACAAGTATTGTAAGAAATACTAAACTAATTTATTACGTATTTTAAAAACAATACTCATACCACAATAACAATCAAGACGTGTGTATGATGCGTTCCGGGTACTGCCTTAACAGCGGTACAAGGAACAGATCATCTCTCTTGGCACGGTCGTCGGAAAGAAAAGACATGTAATTAGCGAAAGCTATTAGCTTTCGCTAATTACATGTCTTTTCTTTCCGACGACCGTATTTATATATACAATATTTCTATTGTAATAAAATTATAAGAAGAACTTAAGGACTACTTAATTCAATGTTTAAAGCCTATACTTCTGAAGTTATCCTATACTATTGAATTTTGTAGTTATACTTCTATTGTACGACGCGACTACACCTTCATGGTGTTACCATGGCAACTGATAACAACTTTTTGACATTTAGCCGGTATCAATTGCATTTAATATCTTTTTTCACACACACAGACTACTGGCAAATGGGATAAAATTCTTAGTATTTTTTCTTTTGTTAGACTAAAGAAGAATAACTTCTTACGTGTATACATAAGTGCACACATTATTAATGTAGGTATTGAAATTGAAACTGAAAAAAAAAATACATTAAAATTTCTTCGAAGGAGATAAGTAGTTGGGTTCTAACAAACAGTTTGGAACACTAAAATTAAATCCATGTTGGGCATGCACAAAATCACTGCAAGACAAGAAGATACGACCACATAATTTGGTTCTAACAGCTTTTTTTTAAATAGCCATATATATAATACTAATAATAATAATAGATCTTTATTGGTCTAAAATTACAAATAATGTACAAGTAATTTAAAATACAATTCTATTGGTCAGATTTTAGACAAAAAGGTCTGGGGTTCAGGTTTCTTACACACATTGTGCACAACAATGATGTTCTACCCCAGCCTGACATTTTTTTGTTACAAAATACATTTAATTTAATGTATTAAAATACATTGATTTATGTATTTATTTATATATATCAGTGTGTATTACGTTTATGTTATGTATTATATTTATTAATAATATATTATTATTAATAATCGTCTCATGTAGTACCTATATTATTTTAGTATTTTATTTATCTTAACATCCTGTGTTGTAAAGACGTTTTACAAACATAAATTTCACGCAGACAAACACGCAGATGTGAAACAAATATCTTAGGGTCACACAAATAGTTGTCCCGTGTAGGAATCGAACCCACGACCCCGACGCCGATACCAATACCTTGGCAACTACGCCACGGAGTCATCAAGTCATTAAGTCCGCCTTTGTATTTTAATGCATAAAGGATTAATAAATAAATAAAAAAAAGTTGTTTTTTACGGAATATGAAATAGAACATTTAAACCTTTTTCTTGAAATACATCTACTCATATTATCATGTAAGTTCAGATTGGTTGTTGTACAGGCAGTTAACGAGTAAGAGCAAAAAATTGCCTTTGATCTGTCGAGAGTAGAGAATAAACTCAACCGCTTCGCAGCAATGTTTTAGTAATATGGCTAAGGCATATAATATAGATGACTCATGTACATAGGTACTGCTCGGCGTTTAAAATCTTTCCGTTTTACATAACATGACATTTATAAGCGAATGTGACAGATGATATAGAAAGTATGATACGGAGAGAGATAGCAGTCTATAGATTTATCACCATTTGGTGTAATTTGAGTGCCTCCGTTTCGGTGCGATATTGTCATATCTTACTCGTTTTTGTTTTTAATATCATTGCTTCGCGATATGACTTCGCGATATGTGTACAATAGCAACGGCGACGTTCAGATTATGTAATGAATTCACTTTACTTGAAAGTAAGAAAGTTACACAGTTAACAAAATTGTAAAATGTGTAATACACACATGTATGTGTATAATTGTACAATTTATTTTATGGAAGTGCTTTACTAGGCGAAAGTTTGTATGTATGAATGGATGTTTGTTAGTCTTTCACGCAAATACTGCAGAATGGTATCTAACGAAATTACAATAACACCGCTTATACATCAGAATAACACATAGGCTACAATTTACATACATATTTTATGTATAGCTGTCTTTCTGTCTCAATGTTACGCCTTCGGCCTATTCTACGCAGACGCAGTCGCGGGCAACAGTAAAATACAGAATAAAATATTTCCGGACGTACCGGGATCGATGTTCTCGAATTGCACGTCGATGTAGAGGTCTCTGCTGGCGCGGTTGTGCTCGAACGGGAACCCGAGCGCCCTCATCAGCATCATTTCGATCTGCGGCGACCTCATGCAGCCGTAGCCGAGGGTTATCCTCTGCAGGGACACCGGCGGCGCTTTAGTGAATCACTAATTTTGCGGGGCAAATGAATATGGGAAGAGCCTCACCGTTACAAAAAAAACCGGTCAAGTGCGAGACGAACTTCGTCTCTACCAACCCACACCCACCTTCGTTTCGTACCCACACATTAAAGCGCCATAATAAAAGTACAGCTTGCAAAGAAAATTAATTCTCCACTATTAAAATTAAAAACTGTTTTAATTATCTAATATACAGCGTGTCGTTACCATCGCGACAATAAATGAACACACGTCTAACGCTACTTGCCAATAATCATAAAAAATATTAACGTTAAACAAAATCTATAATTAAAAAAAATTTTTTTCAAACATACTAATTAAGTAAAAAAGAAACAAAATTTGTAGCATCCTATACAACTCGCGCCACAGCGTTGCATTACAAACCTCTCCTTCTAACAGTATGTTTTGTCTCTTTTAAATTCATTCAAGCCATTCATATGCTTTATGACCTTTACAAATGAACTTTACGTTACGCTTTTGTAGGTAAGGATGTTCTAAAATTCTTTGTTTTGGAAAATTTAATAACTCTGTAAATATTGATGTTTAAAGAATTTAAATGTTTAATACAACGACAATAGTAACGACACGCTGTATAAAATTTTCGTGTCACGGTGTTCGTAATTGAACTCCTCCGAAACGGTTCGACCGATTTTCGTTAAATTTTGTGTAAATATTGCCCAGGGTGGAGAATCGGACAACATCTATTTTTCATCCCCGTAAATGGTCCACCCCTAATTTTTTATTGTTTATATATTTTTTTTTGTTTTTATTTTTTTATGATACAGCATACAAAAATACATACAACCCTAAATTTTCACCCCTCTACGTAGACGTAGTCGCGGGCGACAGTGGTAAATTTATAAGATTACCAGTAAAGATTGCCAAAAAGAAACTTACTACCGTCAAACGCATCAAAAATCAATACCGTCAAAGAGAAATATTTCAAGACGACTATAATATTAGTTTTAAGGGGTTTTAATAAAATGCCACAGGTTTTAATAAAATGCCTTCTAAAAATATTTTAAATACCTACATAAATACATTTTCCAGTTTAATAGGGGAAAGCAGCAAAGATAATGATGAGGATGATGACTACTTGGATGGTGATTTGGAATTGAAATGCTAGATTTCGGTTAAAACTTTTCTCTCATGGTTTTAATTCAAAAACTATTTTATTTGTAAAATAAATGTTAAGTATTTGAAAAAATCATCTGTTTTGCTCTCCTACCTAACTGGTTTGAATTGACAGCTTTAACGACACAAGATGACGCGAAGTCAGTCCTATTTTTATTTGAATTGTATTTTATATTGGTATCGACGACGAGGTTGAGATGTTTCGTTGTCAAATATCTTGAAGGACTTTTTTCTTCTTCTTGTTCAGTAGTTCCCGCTCTTTACCATGCGATTTTACTAATTACTAATAATACACCCCTAATATCAGTCTGGCTTACCAAAGCTAGCCCCCATAATATTATTACTTTTTTGTTATTTTTTATTTTCATTTGCACATAATTATCGTTATTTAATCGTTTAACCTTGATTGTTCATTATATGTAATTGTTTGTTCGTTATTTTTTAATTTATGAAAAGTAAATTAAAATGTTCAAGATTGTTGCACATTGACGTGTTCAGTCATCGAGTTTTAAATGTCATGACTTACACATGACATATTGTCACTTAAAAGCATCATAGTTCGAAGAAAAACATTTAACAAATCGTCAATAGATGGCGATATCATACATTCTTTTTTAATGAAAAAATTAATTATCTACTTTTTTATGTTTCGAAAATAGCGGCAAACGTAAGTTTTAAAATTGTGCTTGAATCCTTAAGTTTGATTAAGAATTATGTGAGTTACGGCGTACAGACAACAAAAAAAAATTACCTTTGAGGAACAACATTATATCTAGATGAGTAGTAACTTCCGTTGACTTACGTGGGGTCCTTCAGGCGAGTGGCCCTCAGTGTTGAAAACGCACTTCCTGACTCCGCTGGGGTTCTCGAAGGTCAGCACGTGCTGGGAGCCAGTTGGCCGGACCAGGACCGGGTTGAACTTGAGGCAGGTCTTGAAGGCGAACAGCGACAGAGCAGTCATGATGGAGAGCGCCTGCTCATGATCTGGAAGAGGCGCAAAGCGCGAGAGATTAGGATTATCCTGAAATTTGACTTTTTAACCGACTGCAAAAAGTAAGAATGTAAAAGGAGTTTTTAATGCTTTTTTGTATAAATGATGTTACGCTTTCAGTCCTTAGACTATTAAAGCTTCATCGAACGCAGAACCGGTGGGCTAGCCAGAACCCACGGGTTTGAGGCCCTCCTCAGAGTGTAGGGCCACGCATGTACTCATGCGTGCGTTAGTTGTGTTTTAATAATTGTGACCCCAGGCCTCCGTCATTTATGAACCGATTTTAATAATTCTTTTCACTCGGTCCCATATTTTCACTGCGGTAGGGCCACGCAACAGACCTCTCTGTGAGGTCTCGGGTGTCCACGAATGGGCAATATCCGTCCGGGAAGGTTCCACGACCTCACAGGAGACCGGCATGAAGTGGAAGTGTTATACTTCTGCGTTTCGTCTGGTGTAAGGCAGCCGGGCCCACTTTATTGAAAGGTGGCAACACATCTTCAACCCTAAGGTGTTGCAAATGCCCATAGGCGGCATTAGAACTTAAAATCAGGTGACCTGCCAGCGAGCTGACCACCTTCGCACATACAATAACTAATAAGTAAAATATTTTTACATTTTCAAAAATCAGTCGACTTTTGGTCACGTCCAAATCGTTACTCATTTAAATAGAACACTTAGGGCCGAATACTGAAACGTTACTTAAATATCTAAAGGCACCTTAAACATTTGAGCACCTCGTAAACACAAAATTCGTCAAGTTAAGTTGTACGTTCTACGCATAAAAAAACCTAAACGCTGGTCGGTGAAAATTAAGAGCTGCTTAATGTTTAAGGTGCCTTTAAGTATTTAAATCAGGTTTTAGTATTCGGCCCTTAACATTTATTTTGAATATCTGACACGCTCGAATAATTTTTTTTTTGTTTTTTTTTTCCCATTTTTATGTCCTCTCCCCACACTTAACTTGCTGCATATACTTAACTGCATTTATTATTTTCAAACACTGTACCGTATAGGGTGTCTTATTAACTCCGCTCTTTACATTGCGCTCTATTTACAATGGTGTTTGGTGAAGGAGAATTGTATTAAAGCCGCGATGTAACTTACCAAAATGTTCCGGGTCTATATAGAACGGAATGACAGCGTTCGGCCAAATGACATAATGCTCCGTTTTGACAACTGCAATTAAAAAAAGTTGGATGTTAGCGAATGGATTGTTACGATATTTTATGATATTTTATTACGGTATTAAAGAAAATTCTCGGCATATCAGTATAGCAAAACTGGTATACACTGTGGTTTTCTAAAGGTGCTCAAATTCACACAGAAGTTTCAGACTCGGTAGTATAATAATCGTTTATTGAAATAAAAACAAACTTCTATTTTTTTTTTCAAAAAATATTGCCATTCTATTCCCTAAAAAACAGAACTTGTTGACAATGCGGCAATCATTCATAACTGCGTCGTATACTTTTGACACGAACTTGCGTGCGTGTTAGTTATGAATGATCGCGCGGAAAAAATAAATGAGTTGATTATTTATGTCAAGAATTTAATTAAAAAATGGATACACTTACAAAAGCCTCCCTTTATATGCAATTTAGCATAAAATTAAAGTATTCTAACAATTTCAACGAAACAGGCATCTATATATTATTTTTAATTAAGGTTTTTACTTAAAATTATAGTTAAAGTAAAGTATTTCCAAGTGTCCTTTAGTCATTGTCCAGGAGTAAATCAGTTTCATTTAAAGTAAAAAGTAAAGTATCAGCCTATACATGTCCCACTGCTGAGCAAAGGCCTCCTCTATACATAGGGTATCATGGCATAGTCCACCACGCGGCCCCACTGCTGATTGGCGGACTTCACATATCTTCGAAAAATATTTCTTTTTTGTTATTATTTCGAAAATATCCAAGTTTCCTCACAATGTTTTCCTTCACCGTGGAGCACGTGATAAGTCAGCACTTAAAGTTAAAAACTTCATTGGTGCCGGCACTGGGGATCGAACTCAGGTTGCTCGAGCATATTGAATTAAAGGCGCCCGGACACTGAGCTATCACGGCTATCAGTTTCATATAAAATGCAAAATTTTATTTTTTCTTCAAACCACATTTATTCTCTCGGTATCTTTAAACACGAATGAAAAGACAAACACAAATATTATACCAGCTTTTCGCGCGCGGCTCCACCCGCATGTACTACATTTTATATCGTGCTTAGAAAATACCCATGGAATCCTTCGTGCGCGAGTCCGACTCGCACTTGGCCGATTTTGATTACTTTATATAAACTTATTATAATCATTTATTTATTTATTTATTTTAAAACTTCATGCTCAAAACAGTACATAGGCGGACTTAATGCTGACAGCATTTTCTACCAGTCAACCTTAAGTACAGGCCGCACGAGCGTAAAGACCCATTTACACGGTGCAAGTTTCTTGCCTGTTGTATACAATTAAATTGAATCAATAAATGAGTTGCATGGTCTAAACAACAAATGGTCTAATCAATTATTGCTCTTGCATGTACAAGAAAATGGCATCGTGTAAATGGGCCTTTACTTTAGTTTTTATCGGCAGGAAATTTTTAAGTGTGTAAAGACAGCGCAAGACACTAGTTACTCTTTGGCTGACAAACAAAATCTGATCTCTACAACAAAACGTCCCGTCAATGAGCAAACCTAAATTGTTTTAACCTTATTTTTTAGGGAGATGGGGAGCTGTCAAAAACAATTGTTGGAAGGTTAACTAAATTTACTCTACTAAGAGTGCGGAAATTCCCAACTACCATGGCTTGGCATTTGGACAGATTTACGGTTAATCCAAACTTATCTGACCAGGTCTTAATGGCGACTAAATAATCATCATCATTATACAGACATGTAGTTAACTATAATTTCATCCAATTCAACTGTAGCTGCTATAAAGCATTTTATCGCATAAAAAGTAGTTCTTTAAGTTGATGTAACTTTTATATTCATGAAGCGATTTAAATAAAACTAACACTAAATAGTAAGTAAAGCTTACTAGAATGTATTAGTGAAAGTTACACACAAATCGTTTTAGCCGTTTCTGAGATTATCGTGCATAAACGCACAGACAAACAGACAAAAATTTTAAAAATCATTGTTTTGAGTTCTACTTGCGCTGCCCCAATAATAGTTTTTCTCAAATATCTTCCATGAACAGACAACGATACATTTTTATTATATCTATAGACATAGATTGGTGCCAGCACCGGTGGGAGTGAATTAGTCGCGAGCGCCCGGACACAGCGATCACGGCTTGCATTATAAAATAAAAAAGGTTGTTGATTTATGACTCTAATCGCTTAACAACATATTCGAACCGAATCGTTACTTCCTTCCCCCAATTACAAAGTATTTAAAAGAATCGAACATGATCGATCGAGTGATAACCTCCGCCCACGGGCATTGCCCGCCATACGCCCGTAGGGTTGCAGATGCGTTGACATCTTATAATAAAGTGCGCCCCGGCTACCTTGTTCACCAGACGAAACGCAGAAGTATGACACTTTCACTTCACGCTGGTCTTCGGTGAGGTTGCGGTACTCACCCGGACGGACTTGCCCATTCGTGCAACAGCCGAAGCTGTATCGTGGCCCTACCACAGTAGTATTCGACGGGACTTAAGAAGTTTTCACTCCAAAAATGTAAAAAGTCCTCACCATTAGTGTCAATTTCATGCATTAAATTTTCTGAGTCCGCATAAACTGCATTGGCCAAATAAAAGCTCGCACATAAAAGTTTCAACATTTTAACCGCCACGGAAGCAAACTTGGAAGGGAATTGGAGGTTTGTTGTTTTATTGTTTCCTTATCGACCGACACATCGATTGGGTTCGACGGTTGTAAAGTTTATTGCGAAATTTAAATAAAATTATAATCATGATGAAATTTAAGTCAAAATATTCTTACGTTACACTCTATTGTAATACTGTACTGTACTTGCGTCTCGGGAACTTTGTATGAAGTTCCTTGAAGCGGCTTGAGAGTGGTTTGATAGAAATCGTCACGTAAGGAAGAAGCGTTATGCCTTCTCCATTCAACTTTTAGCGACTCTCTCTTTGGCTCTTTCTGAAGCACTTATTAATCGAGAAAATTGAGACGAGAGTCATGTGGCTCAATGATTATTGTACAATTTATAGTTCAAGTTTTTATATCTATTTTCATTAAGTATATATTTTTACCAAAATATGAAATTAAAGTTTTCAATCTTGTAAGATTGGAGTCCACCAAAACTCAAGCGTATCTTTCGACCGGTAAGAGAAGCCTTTTCACTTTTGCCTCAACTTTCCAGATTGTGACCACGGAATGTCTTCAGTTGCTGGAAGTACCTAGAGATTTCCAAACAACCTAAACTTTGGCTGGTTCATTGAATCCAAAACTAAAAAAAATTAATAACGCAAGCCGGCAATTCAGCAGGCCTAAAGGCTTCTTACGCAGTATTTGTCTTAAAACTGTAACTACTTCAAGAATTCATCTGCTCAATCATCTATCGGTTCTGCGAGCAATGTGACCATAGGGTTGTCGAAAAAATATTGATATATGGATATTTTTTATTAAATATATCTATATTTTGATCCTACATATACAGCGTGCCGTTACCATCGCGACAATAAATGAACACACGTCTAACGATACGTGTTAATAATCATAAAAAAATATTAACGTTAAACAAAATCCATAATTAAAAAAAAATATTTTTCAAACAAACTAATTAAGTAAAAAAGAAACAAAATTAGTAACATCCTATACAACTCGCGCCACAGCGTCGTATTACAAGCCTCTCCTTCTAACAGTATGTTTTGTCTCTTTTAAATTCATTCAACCTATTTATATGCTTTGTGACCCTTACAAATGAACTTTACGTTACGCTTTTATAGGTAAGGGTGTTCTAAAATTCTTTGTTTTGGAAAATTTAATAACTCTGTAAATATTGATGTTTAAAGAATTTAAATCTTTAATACAACTTTAAAAAGTTATCCCCTATATGTGTGTTCATTTATTGTTGCGATGGTAACGACACGCTGTATACAAAATTTAGTATCCAAATCGATATTTTTATTCAAATTTAATTCTGGTGAATATTAACAGATTGAAAGCTTTAGATAGATAGAATATGTAGAAAAAGTACGAAAAGATTGTCGCCGCTGCTGTGGGAATTGAACCCACGTCTTCGGCATTCGCGGCCTGACGCTTTAGCCACTAAGCTAAACGGTTGATTGCCACACCGACAAAAATCTTAAAGTCTTTTATCTACATTCTTTTTTTTAGCATTTGAAGCAATGCTTGGCGCATCAATTGTTATATCCTTTCCAGCATACAAATAATTCCGAATATCGTTTTACAACGATAATTCGAACGAGAGATGTCGCCATTGCTTTTTTTTTAGAAATTTAATTTAATTTTTATAGCGCTAATCTCTGCACTTAAGATTGAACATTAAAATATGTAGAAAAAGTACGAAAAGATTGTCGCCACTGTAGGAATCGAACCTTGTCCGACATATTTTAATGTTCAATCTTAAGTGCAGAGATTAACACTGTAAAAACTTAAATTTCTAGATTCAAAGCTAAAAATGGGTGCTATACTTATGTACGTGCGTGAGAAGTTATACTTCTTTGGCATCATTAAAAAATAATGAATTGCATGCAAATACTTAATTACAATAAAATAATAAAAATACTGGAAAAGGATAGAAATTAATAATTAAAATAATAAAATTATGAAAGCGCCATCTACATTCTTTATTGATAACTATAACGGGCGAATCTGTAAAAATAACCGGTTTAACGGGCAGCTTCAAAGGTGTTTTAAAATTTCATACTCATCATTTTTTCATAACGCGCCTAAAGAAGTATAACTTCAAAATTGAATATTGTCTATGAGTAGTATTGTTGCGGATGCAGTGTTGGATTTCATGCTATAGTTATGGTATTTATATGTATAATATCATACTTCGTACTTTATACTATCCAAAGGTACAACATAGTGTAGAGGTTTTATAAATCAATAATATTGATCTAAATATTAAGCTAATTTATAAATTGCATCTGAAATATTAGTGTTATCAAAGTAACAAAAAATTATTTGCGTTCTTTTATTTTGGATTATTCTAAAAATGCATTATGCATCATTTCTTAAAATCGTTCTCAGTAATTGATTACTGTCAAAACATAAATGGGACAAGAAAATTTAATGGCAAGGCAACCCTCATATTGTCATAACCTCATAACCTAAAAATGGGTTATGTTTCTAAACTTACAAATAAAATAATAGAGTAGTTAATATCAGAAATATGAGTGTTTTAATCAAATATGCAAAACCGGGTAGTCTCGGAACGGTGTTCAATGTGCAGGTGTTATGGCGATTAAACTCGACATCGGCAGAAACTGCTAAGAAAGATGAGGAAGAATTTAGAGTACTCGATTTATTTAAGAAAAGGGATAAACAAAAAAAGAGATCAGCCCGAAGAACTGATATACAACCAGACAGAGCTGATAGGATGGCAACGGATCAGGTGAGAGTATAAAATACTACGATTATGAAGTTGTTAATTTCCCAAGTACACAATTCAATAGATAGGCAACCCAACGATGAATTTTTTAATGATTCTTCTTGATTTTTAACACTTTATTGACCGCCATCTAATTTCTACAAAACATCTTAAAATAGCGTTTTTTTTTAAATAGTCTCTTGTACCCTCTTGTATTAACTGATGTTAACACTTTCAGTCCCGAGACTATTTAACTTCATTGAACGCAGAACCGGTGGGATAGCCGGAACCCACGGGTTTGAGTAGTACCTACCACAGTGGGTAGGGCATGCATGAGTGTCGCCTACGGGCTAAGGAGGGTTTTTAAACATGTTGTGTGCAATGATGACTTTTTTTCTTACTCTTGATAGTTATGAAGAGTAAGAATAAAAGTCAGAATGTTATTAGGTATTGTAACTACAATACAATAGTATGGAAATGTGTCAGCTTTATTACTAACCATAATTCTTTTTAATGTACTTAAAATTTTAGGTTATTAATTATGACAAACGGGCATATGTAAAATGGGACCAATTCACTCAAAAACATAAAAGGCCCAACTAAATGTAAACTGCAAAAATAAACAGCTTCATCAGGAATAGAGAAATGCTGGTGTCAATCTCGTCAAATTTAGCTTTTCTGCAAACTCTGCTCAATGAAATCTATTTGTTTGAAGTAATTTTACTAGTGGTTATTAAAAGTAAAAAAGTAACCTATGTAATTATGCCCCACAGCTGGGTAAAGGCCTCCTTTAAACAGAGCATTATAGGGCATAAGCCACCGTATGACCCCACTGCAGAGTGGCAGACATCATATATTTATTTTGAAAAAAAATTCCTACTATATTTCCCAACACTACTGAGCACTTGATAAGTGAGCACTGAAAATTAACATTTTCATTGTTTCCAGCATAGGTATTCAAATTGAGGTTGCTTGAGTATATCTATTTATTTTATTTAGTATAACCCACATGACAAAAAGTATTAGTTACAAGTATAAGATGAACAAATTTACCTAAAAAGTAAAAATAAATTGAACTAGAGAACCGCCCAGGCTTCGCACAGGTGCAATGTATTATATACGTATAAACCTTGTTCTTGAATCACTCTATCTATTAAAAAAACTATATCAAGATCCGTTGCGTAGTGTTAAAGATCTAAGCATACATAGGGACAGACAGGCAGCGGGACGCCTTGTTTTATACTATGTAGTGATTAAAAGTGAGCGCCTGGACTGCTCAGTGTGTTATCATGGCTTGTGATTTATTTATTTATCAGAAATAAATAAGATGTTCTTTGTTATAAAACATGTATTTGTGAAGACTTTTTGACATAGGAGCTTAACATTAAGCAATTCTAAAGATAAATTCTTAAATTTTTTCCATGTATTCCAACAATTCCAAATAGTGTGGAAAATCTTAAATTTAGATTTTAAAGACTCCGTGGCGCAGGTGCCAAGGTTGGTTTTGGCGTCGGGGGTCGTGGGTTCGATTCCTACACGGGACCACTATTTGTGTGACCCACTTGGTTTCGCATCCAGCGTTTAACGCGTAAAATTTATGTTTTTTATGTGTCCTAAATTCAGGGCAATGTTTTTTTATAAATAACGAAAAAATAATGAATTGTATCATTCTATGTCCACATAATGCAATACAATGATATTGTCTTGTTTGTGTTTCAATAAACTGTACACAGATATTCACATTAATCTATAGCTGTGGTATCATTTATTTATAGTCTCATATATTTATTATATTTTGATTTACCAAAATGAAAAACGGCAGTAATAATATGTAAAGGATTTACAAAATTTGTTTTAAGCTAACAGTTGACATGCTTATAGGTAACCACAGTTTTTTTCCTTCAGTTTTCTACAAATTTTAAATTTCATCCAAAGTGCAAAGAATATTTATATATATGTATATATATATATATATATATATATACATATATATATATATATATATATATATGTATATATATATAATTCTTCTTTGCATGTGTATGTGACTGAACTCCTAGATTCACAATTAGGTGCACTACAAAATGTTTTTAAATTATTTTATTTATGTATAATTTGTTGTCGGATTTAAAACGTGTACAGGAAAACGTTTCTCGGGCAGTATCACTATAAAAAATGCGTTATTTAAAATTACTTACAGAATTGGGGCAACGTGTGGCCCGGCCCGAAGAGCTTCCACCCGTCGTCTGTGCCACTCCCGCTGCGCCAGGGCTACGTGCCCAAGGGCCAGGCGCCCCCAGGCAAAAAGGCCAACGCCGAGCTGATTAAGATACCCAACTTCCTGCACCTCACGCCGCCCGCCATAAAAACTCAGTGCGAGGCGATCAAGCAGTTCTGCACCGAGTGGCCCAAAGCGCTGAACTCGGAGGAGTCTATAGAGAACTATTACCCTTTGGAGGTGATCACGTCCGACTACTGTCACGCCAGCCCCTCGATCCGCAACCCTTTGTCGAGGATTGTCAATCTGAGAGTGAAACTGTCCACTCTTAATCTGGATAAGCACGCCAGAGACAAGTTTCTCAGGCTGGTAGGTGACAGGTACGACGAGAAGACCGACCTGGTGACCTTCATAGCGGACCGCTGCCCGATGCGCAAGCAGAACCTGGACTACGCGAACTACCTGCTGACCGCCTGCTACCACGAGTCGTGGAGCGTCGAGGACTGGGAGCGGGAGAAGAGCGAGGAGGACATGGAGTACTACGATTGGGATAACAACGCATCAAAGAGGAGCCTAATCGACTGGTACATGAAGTGCAACGGCGAGGAAGCGTCTTTAACCGATGAAGAGTACAAAAGTTTTGATATATCCAAGGTGCCGAATGCCGATGCTTACAAAGAGGCGGTCTCCAGCCTGATGAACGACGGCGAAAGCGACGCGACCCTCAAGAAGTACGGCGCGGCGGTCAGGAAACTGCTAGGGTTGCCAGATAAGGGGGCTGCGTGATGTTGATAGTGTTTAAATAAACGATAGTTCGTACACGAGTGTTGTCTTTATTGGAAAATCCTTTAATAATGACGTCAAGTAGTCTGCTGATGAGCTCAGAAACGGATTTCGCTTGAGACCAGGTCGGGAGCGTTGCTTTTTAGCAGCGAAGCGAAATTAGCAGTTACGATTAAAAAATACTTTTTTTTTATTTTGAACTGGCCAGCACTTGACTGCCATCCCACCTGATGGTAAGTGGTGATGCAGCCTTTGATGGTAAGCGCGCTAGCTCAATAAAAACCTATTCACTCTTGCCTTGAAGACGCCTAAAAAAACTATTTTTACATAAAATAAATTTTGATGATTAATAAATAACAAAGGGTTAATAAATTAACAAAGGGTTGTAAATGTTGAGTAATCAGGAGTGTTATAACTGGAGCTATTTACTTTTATTTCAATTGATGTAAAAGTAACAAATGTGATACGTTTTACTTCAATCAGTTATTACGACATCTACATAGATAACATTTAATTATTGGTTGATTCATTGATATTCACACAAAAGGAAATTTAATAAGATAGCAGTTAAAACTTGACTTGAAACAATATTATTATTTATTTAACACAAAGCCAAAGTACAATTCATGCAAAGTGAAAGACCAAAGTGTGCTGAAGGACAATGTCGCTGTACCCTAATCATGGGCTAGAACTGGCTGTTGCTTTTGGCTCCTTTGGCACCGAATGTGAGTTGTCCTTCCTAACAGACCGAGAAAAAATCTCTTCATGTTTTACGCGTCTCACATGGCGTAGAAGGGACTTCTACGCCGAAGTTGAGCTGAAACGAGATCTCGCAAGTCTCAGCAACTCTAGTTCGTGGTTCTAATGATATTCGCACTAGTTAGAACATGTGAGGTGTTTTTTAAAATATGTAGAAAAAAGGGACCGAAAACAGAAAAGTTTCTCGCCACGCCACGTCTTCGTAATTCGCGCCCTAAATAGATATAACAATGGATGCGCCAAGCATTGCTTCAAATGCTAAAAAACAACGTAGATTAAGGACATTGAGAATTTCGCCGGTGTGGCAATTAATCGTTTAGTTTAGTGGCTAGAGCATCAGGGCGCGAATTTAGAAGACGTGGGTTCGATTCCCACAGCGCAGCGGAAAACTTCTTTTCTCTTCAAATTATAATCTTAAGTGCAGAGATTAGCATTATAAAAATTTAAATGTAGGGTTTTAGTCGGGTAGAGTCCCACATAACGTTAACATGACAGGAAACATTTTTGGCGATGAAATTTATTTATATATGCTCTTCTCCCTCGGCGCCTCCGGCTTCCTATGAATCAGCAACCCTATTTTTTTCTGATTAGGGAGAACCTCCTTGCCCTCGAAGGTTTCCCTTATTTTTTACACTTATTATGGATTAAATCCACAATATTAGGGTAATTTCTTTAGAATGAAAAAATGTAAAGGGGGGTTGCAATTTTTTTGCTTTTAAGGGGGCGTAATACTTCTCCCCACTCAATTTGACGGACGTCAATGGAAAGTCGAACCTTAACAACACTTATGATACAACAAACGAACGTGCGTGCACGAACATTGTAGATACGTCTTTCTGGTAGTAGAGTTTTTTGGCAATCAATTAGTAAGTGTAGTGCTTCCATATTGAATAAAGATATTGACTTGACTTGATCAGGGCCGTCCAGGTACCACGGCCTCACAGATGATCGACGTAAATTCGAAGTGTCATAATTTCTAAGCGTTTGGTCTGGTGACTGAGGTAGCCAGGCCCCACATCATGTGCAACCCTCCGGATGTTGCAGGTGTCCATGGGCCGCGGTTATCACTTATCATCAGGTAAACCGCTACCTCACTTGCTACCTTATCACATAAAAAACATTCAGATTTCATTCACAACAACAAACAGATGTGCTCAGTTTACTGAGAATCGTTAAACTAATGAACAAAACGATAGCTAGATATTATTCGGAATCTCGATTTGAGTTTTCATAAACTTTAATTACAATCAGGCTTCCATTGGGGGATATATCGATGTTTATAAAAATAAGAATATCAGCCTCGATATATCGAAATTTTGTTTAGGACCCGTTATCCAAAAAAAACGGGAAAAAGTAACGGATTCAGTGCCAGATTCGAATTTGAAAAATTATCGTTTTTGATATTGAATATTTTATATTGATATATCGGCTAAAAATATCGATATATGGATATTTTTTCGACATCCCTACTTCTGTTCGAAGTTACGCAACCGAACAGCCCGACATTGTCATTTAGTGAATCGAAGGAAGGCACTTTTCACTCGCGTACATATGTACGTTACGTTGAATGCCTAATTTAGAGCAGTACGCGTCTCACCACCATCGAACCAATACCATACCAATTATTTATACCGCGAATTCTAACTATCCAACCAGTAATTAGTGCTTTATACCATTATACTATATATTTGTTAATAAAGTATTTACCAGACTATAAACTCTCTCTATACAACCTTCTTCAACTTTCACTTCATGGTAGGTTGCTAATGAAGAGGCATGTTATAATTAAGTAATAAGGATAGTTAGGTAATTATAATCACCAATCCAATGTACGTCGTTTACAAGACTAAGATGCATAGGACCACAGATGCATACAGGACCAATATTTCTTGGACTACCCAATATATCTTGGCACTTCCCAATATTTCTTGGCAGGTTTGTCCGGACAAGACTGACCGTCCGTGCAACGGAAAAGGGCTCTGCATTATAGTGAAATGTTCTAGATGGTATTCTCAACCGACTAAGACCGCGTCCGCTTTAAAAATTGTCTATGATTTCTGTAGTTTTCTTTATTTATTTATTGGTCACACTTCCCTGGAAGAGGCTGCCCCCAAAACTTCATGTTCTCGTGACATCGTCTATGGTTCTAAGACAATTTTTAACTGACTTCAAAAAGGTTATCGATTCGGATGTTTATATTATCTATTTTTTATTTTAAGAACTTGGCACTTACTTTAACATAACATTAATGTGTTGTAAGGATATTTTACAAACATAAATTTAAAAGTGGACAAACACCCTGATGCGAAACAACTGTCTGTGGTTTACACAAATAGTCCCGTGTCCGTGGTCATCTTGACCATTCAAACTTGGAACAAAGTGAGGGGTAGTGTTCTCTTGACATCGTCAATGGTTCTAAGGGGGACGAATGAAACGACTCTGTGGTTTTTTTTTATTATTAATTTATTTATCAATATAATATGTATATAATGTATAACTTACAGCCTTAAATGGCGACGGTCGGGCGTCGCTGGAGCGCTATACACACGTTCGTAACATTTACAATTAAACACGCCAGATGGCGCGGCGCTGCGACCGACGCCGACAAGCTTAGAAAGAAAACTCATCGCCTCAACGTCGTTTGTTTTTATTCACCTCCATATTAATCTATACCAAAGGATACATCTAGGTTTACTGACTACAACTTACTACGCGCTCTATATTACAACAACCAATTTTTTATAGACGTTTTTTCTTTTTCGTGTTTTTTTTTAAACTCCTCATTCCCATCTCACGCTCAACGAAATCGAAATAGGAGAAATGTTAACAGGCCAAAAAAAAAACATAATTTCCTCCCACCGCGGCGCGGACTGAACGGCACCGAGCTTGAGCGAGACGGAGTGCTGATACTATCAAGGTTAGAGCGAGACGGAGTATTGTATTGACTGCCTCGCGATTAGAGCGAGACGGGTGCTAAAACGTCTTATACTTGGATGCGCTCAGTACACGCCGCAGGGGAATAAGAAAATGCGAACTGACACACCATCATCTCTTATATCACTTACGAAATAATAGCAAGATATTTTTTTTTGTAATATTTTTCAATTTATACAGTAAGTCTACATTTTACGTTCCCTTTAGCACATCGTCGTCTCCTTTGGCGTACTTTCGAAAAAAAAAAAACACAGATTGTAACAACTGACGAATTAACTTAAAAAGAGAAAAAAACTTAACAATAACTCTTTCGTGGGGGTCCGCGACGCCGCGCGCGAACAGAGCTCTCGCCGGGCGGCCGAACGTTGCAAGGCCTTTGCCTTTTCCTAATTAAGAGAACAAGGAATTTCGTACCTCGCTCGAATTCATCGGAGCCGCAACATCATAGAATATTAAAAATCATATCAATAACGTCGTAAAATCAACATTTTATTAAAACCACATCGCTACGTTACATTTCTTTATTTAAATTAAAATCGATAAAACAATTTCACTCCATTTCGTGATCATAATCAAAGCGAGCGCAGACAGACTGGCGAGAAATAAAATCGCCATTCGGATACGACTTAGTCGAGTTTGCTGTTTGTCGTTTAAAAGGAATTTTGTGAGTCCAGCTTGTTTCAATAAATGACGTTCGGCGCGAGACATGCGAAAGCACGCGGCGTCGCCCGCAACCCCCGATCGCTTCGATGTCACAACGCAGCGAGACAACTCGCTCACGGCCCGAACAAATTCACGATATCCCAAACGGGACGGTCCAAATTTCAATCACTGCAGGCTCACTAACGGAGACGGGAATCGACAGACGATGTGAGCGTATTGTGAACTGGTTTTTATACATCGATCCGTGGAAATATGGAAACTTACATTGACGTATGAAATTTGGAGTATAATAACTAACACGTATCCGGTTAGAAGGACCAAAAAAAGAGACCAGACCGTTCCACGAGGAAATTCTCGCCAGCGAAATGTTTTCAAACGATATAAAACCTTTCAGTACATTATGATACATCAATTGCGTTTTCAAACACCGTGCGTGGTTTACCATATCCCCTATATAATTTCCAGCAATATACAGAATACGTTAGGAGCAAATTACAAAATAACGAGCCATGATGCCATTATCGATTGCGTCGCGATTCCCGTACCGTTGCGATGTCTAGAAACGTTAGTAAATCAATAAAGCCGACGTCGTTATATCCTTTAAAGACAATAATAGGAACTATTTCACGCGCAGAGTGATTGAAGCGACCTTTGCGATGTCGAGAGACGTCCTAAAACTACCAGTTACGAAATAGGGGCGGCGCGTCGCGGCGGGCGCTCTCGCCGTGAACGGCCCATGAAACCGAACGGGGTAGACGACAGAGACGGAGAGAGAGCGCCTCTCGCTCTACCGTCGTCGTTCACCGCCGAGAGCGCGCACCGGGGCGGCGCCGTACGATTAAAAAAAAAAGAAAGCTTCCTTAAACGCTAGGAGAAAAAAAAACCCGACCATACCGACAGCACACACGCGCGGGTACCTCGTCTCGCAACAGCAGCAACATCATCATCAATTTTTTTTTTCAGTTTTCATTTATAATCAATAATAATGATAATAGATAATTATAATATAAATCGATAACATTACCAGTGGTCACTATAGCTATTGTTGTATTAGTCGTTACGTGCAATGTACGGCTTAGTTGCGGGTAGGGGCAGGTAGGAGGGAAGGGGAGGGGGGCGCCCCCTCACCTACGCCCTACACCGCGCGTCCAAACAGAACCTTGAGCAAGTTAGCCGTTACCGAGCTGTAAAGTGGCAATTGTCGAGCGGCCGCGTTTAACGCGAACCAATGTCCCGTCCGCCCAAACCGTATGACTTGGCCCGCCATCTTGCGGTTGCGTGACGTGAAAAGATGTGGCCGTTTAGGGCTCGGCTCATTTCGGGAGACCCCATCGGAGAAAAGACGGCATGATTGGAGGTGGAATTTCATACACACATTTAGATTGTTTTAAACGCATCCAGAGATTTCACGTGTCCGTGGACATCAACCTAAAGGCAGGACTATATCAGTCCCTCTCGTTGAATTTAAAATTATTTCGAACGAGAAGAGAGAGGGTATTGAAATTGATGTCTAGAGGGAACAAAATAGAAAAACAGCCATTGTATAAAATAATTCGCATTCCAATCATGAAGATAATAACCAAGCGATGATTTCATACGAATAATTATATCGTCACTTATTTCGTAAGCAAGAGTTTTATGGGCTTCCTGGACGAGACGGAGCTCGCGCCGAATACGGCCGCGCGATAATCGCGCTTCGAATAAAACATCAAAAAGAGAACGCGCAGCGACGGCGCGGGGCAAAATGGGCCCTATTGCGGCGCCAATAGGGCCCATTTTCACGCAACCCCGCGCCGGCGAGCGATTTGTACGAGTGGCAGTTTGCGTGAGGATCCGCTTCTTAATGCGGAACCGAGTGTACGATTAGCGTAAAACAAAAACACGTGAATGGGTGGGTGGGGAAGGTGTGAGGAGGAGGGGTGGGGTTGGGGGGGGGGGTGGTGGCCTCGCCCACCGTAACTACGAACTATTTGCCACGCGTCGCTAACAGTCTTACCGTCGGCCCGCCACTACCGCGGCGGGCCCCCAACGAACACTCTGTACATAAGTTACACAATTTCGAACCTAAACGCCACGGCGGCAAGGTTCGATTTCGACCGCCATCTCGGCGAACAGCGGAAGCGGCCGAGCGAATTTCGACCTTAAGCCGACGCCGCAAGCGCCACGCGACGCAGCACCGGCCGCGAGAGAGGGAGGGAGATACGAGCTCCCCGCGAGCCGGAGGGAGAGGGAAACAGCCGCTGCACTCCTCTCGCGCGAACTGATTACATCCGAATGCGAGTGGCAGGTGACGCGGCGCGGTTGCAACTAACCGAATTTTTTTTTTACACGTCAAAATATTTATACATATCATATCATGTTATTTTTTATATATTTATGAATACGCGTTACATACAGACATACGTTTAGGGCGGTTATGTATACACTTACACTAGATTCTAATGTCATAAAGTTAAGTTTTATACGGTAGCTGGCGGGGTGCGGTGTTGTTGCCGTCGGGGCGGGCTGAAACAAAGTGTTTTGTGCGAATTTATAATACTGTCATAGGAGATTTAAAATGGAGTACACTAAAATGTCTTCAGAATATTCAATAACAAAATCTATTGCTCTATCTAACTGATACGGGCTCACATAAGAACGAAGTGAAGCCGAAGTGTATTCTCTTATGCGTTTTGTCAGCCGAGTGGGGTATCCGGGGCCCACTTTCTAAAGGCGTCGTATCTGGTACCTCGCAGGCGGTTTACGTTTTGTAGCATGGGTTGAACACATTTTACCTTAAGAGTAGTGTACCTGCCTCTTGCGCCATTAGGCACACCCAATTATTTCATATTAAAGTGTTTTTCCAGTGTCTGGGTGTTTATATATGTAAAACATGTATTTATTTACAAAAGAAAAGTATGTTTAAGTATGTCTATCAGTTTTCTATTACCCATAGAGAACGTTTTGTACAAATGTATCCGATAATATTTATTTCCATTCACACTCCCTACCTCTGTTCAGGGGGCCTTTGCCCAGCAGTGGGACTCTTACCTTACTACATACATAGACAATCGGTACTCACTTACGCCCGACGTGATGAGTCGACCGCAGCGCCGCAGCTTTCCTTTGGGGCTCAGGCAAGGGGGCGGGGGTTGAGGGGGGGGGGGGGGGGGGGTGTAGAAGTACTAAGTAGGGTGTGGGGTTGTGGGGGTTACACGCATCGGGTGTATTCGGGGTCCGATTATTAGTCTATATGTATTAACGTGAAATGCATTAGCGCTAGGTTTAAGTGGCACGGTGCGTTCGCTTCGGGCGGCGTCAGTGCGTGTCGGCGGCGAGCGGCGCCTCCTGCTTGCCGGACGCGGCTGGAACAGACAAAGTCGAAGTGAAAGTCAAAGTGAAAGCGGAAGCGAAAGTCGAAGTGGAAGCGAGCAACGTGGATTTTGAACGGACGAGATTGTCATACTATAGGCTAGGGCGAGGTAGGTGCTCGGTGAAGTAACAGGATGTCGGGAGAAGGTGAATTGATGAGAAAACAAGTTTTATGATTCCGTTGCGGTGGAGCCTTAAAATTAAACTTAGCCAGTAGTGGGACTTAAATAGTCCATATTGTCACTGGACTTTAGTTTTGGTTAGAGAATCAGTCTGGCAAATACAATCACAAACAACCCTTAGCATTCATACGAACTAATTAAACGTAAATAAATTGCAGTTCAATAAAATGTAAAAATTTTGTAAGTGTTAACTTCTGCGTTTCATCTGGTGAGTGAGGTGGCCGAGCCCCACTTTATTAAAAGGTGCCAACGCATCTGCAATCCTACGGCTGTTACAAATCTCAATGGGCGGCGGTTATGACTTAACATCAGGTAAACCGTTGTTACAACTTGTTTGTCACCTTCTTATATAAAAAAAAAAAATTAAACATTCACATATAAGTCAACGGTTATCAATGTGGTGATGAGGTACTGTGTACGGTGTTCTAAGGTGGTGGTGTAGGGTCGTGGCGTCGGCTGGTGGTGTAGAGCGGTGTTAAAGGTGGTGTAAGGTGGCGATCTAAGGCGGTGGTGTAGGGTGGTGGACAGTGAGTATACTCACGCCTGGGCCTGGCCGCTGCCACAGCGGCGACCACGCTCTGGGAGCCGCATGAGCCTGCACGGCCCCGGCTCGGCGCACCGCGGCTGGAACGAAACACAATGCTTTAGACTCCGCAGTTGCCGGTGTTGGCTTCGGCGCCGGTGGCAGTGGGTTCGATCGCACACGGCACATATATTTGTGTAAAACAAAAAATAGTAAGGTATCAGCCTATACAAGGCCTCCTCTGTACAGAGGGTGTATTTCTATATTTGTGTATCTGTATATTTGTGTGACCCACATACTAATGTTAGAGAACCACACCAGCAATGAGGACAGAAAGTATATACATACCCTATAAAATGGGTAATACCTTGTAAAATGTATATTTGTTATTAATTTGTATAGATTCCTTTAATTTAATTAACATTTAAGCGAGCAGTGTCCCTTAAAAATTTTGCAGTGCCTGGAAAAAGCATCTAAGCTGCTGTATACTCCTTTATTGTAACACCTGTTAACATAATGTATACTTAGATGGCAAATAAATGATTGATTGATTGATCTGGGTGATTGTCCAAGTGATTTTTTTTTAAATCCTCCCAACACAGGATAAAGTTGCCCTACAAGGACAATATTATAAAAAATAAGCGCACACTAAGTAGGGCCACTTATATTTCTGCGTTTCGTCTGTTGAGTGGGGTGACCGGGGCCAGCTTTATTGAAAGATGGCATTTGTAACAACTGCAAAGCAATATGTAATGTAAATGACCATCGGCGGCGGTTATCATTTAACATTAGATGAGCCAGCTCGCTTGCTAACCTCTCATTTAAAATACCAGACACCTGGCGATCCCTACTCAGGCACACACTTTCATGTAGGCCGCACACATGCGCGCCTCTCGTACGCAAACATCGCACCTAGGTGACCCGTACAACGGCTCTGTAGTCCCGGGCTCATAGAATGGGGCTAAGGTATCCCCTGCCTGTCGTAAAAGGCGACTAAAAGGGGACACGGATGGGTAGCAGCACGAAGTGGTCTCGTGCTGCTGCAAGAAGGTGAAGGAATCGGATATGTGTCCTTCTCCGAGGCGTGCTCAGACGTAGTGACACCACGGGAGATCCCGGAGTCCCTCCAAATATAAATGGCCACCGAGGGGGTTTTAGTGGGTAAGAAACCCACATAACCCTGTCATGTTAGGTGACAGGGTATCTTTCGAAGATTTCCCCCCGATACAAAAAAAAAGTTGACCCGTACTAGAATATTTGTCTTATTAATTTGTCTTATTAATCATCTAAAATTAAGTTTTAGGACATTTTCCACTCGCTCATGAACAGTTACCATAAATACTTACACGACCTAAAGTTCAAGTGCTCAAACTTGCGCATGCTCTCTGATGGCATTTTTTAACCATTTTTTAACATAAATATTTCACTGAATTATTTTCTCATATCCATCAAGATTAAATATAACCTATTTTCTACTAGACAATAGATGGCTACTATAAGTACTAATACGGTTTAGAGTGAAAGTATTCACACTATAGTTTTCCAATCTTCTCCGGCGAAACGGAGTCAATTACGTGGGGAGCACACTCACCTGTAGCCCGCCGCCGGCTGGGCGTGGTGCGCCTGGTGGTAGTGGGCGTGGGCGTGGGGCTGGGCCTGCGCGTGCGGCTGGGCGTGGGCGTGGGCGCGGTCGCTCTCGGAGACGGAGCGCGTGCGGTCGTAGGGGCGGGCGTGCGGGCGGCCAGGGGCGCACCCGCCCCTGCCGGCCAGAAGCTCGTTCAGCTGCGGCTGCAATCATTACCACATATTAATTGAGGAGCGTCAGAACAAAAACCGACAAATCACATATATTTTCGGGACAACGTTGCGTTGACAACCTTTTGAAAATCGGGCTCCGGCTACCTCACTCACCAGACGAAACGCGAAACTATTTATCATACTTCCACTTTACGCCGGCCTTCTGTGAGGTCGTGGTACTTACCCGGACGGGCCCGCCCATTCGTGCTGCGTGGCCCTACCACCGTAGAATTGACTATAAGTATTATTTTGAACGTGTCTGTACCTCGAGAACGCGGAAGTCCTCGATGCTCTGGAACTTCTCGAGGAAGCCCTGCAGCTTGGGCTCCACCTGCAGCGCCGCGGCGTGCTTGTAGTACTTCAGGAACGCCCAGAACTTCTCCAGGCCGTACAGCTGGCCTGGGATGGGGAGATCGGTGGTCAAACAGGTGTAAATTGGAAAAAGAAATAATCATATCTTTGTTTTTGAACTAAAACTTGGGGAGCAAGCCGGTGAATGCGTGACGAGAGCGTTACGAAAGTGTGATGTTACGCGAACGGTGATTTCATGATCATTTCGTAATTTCATTACGTTCTTGAACAATTTTTTAAATTAATAATTTGTTATGTAAATTCATACGCATGGAGATACAGATTATATATAGATAAGAGCTCAAGAATTTTTACTTCGGTTAAAAGAAAAACGACCATGCTTTAGACCAGGGGTGAGCAACCTTTTTAATCAATAGGGCCAATTTAAATTTAAATACCGCACATAATAATTTACGAAACTTTATTTATAATAAATATTAGAATAAAAACATATAAAATTAAAAAAAGTAAAGATTTCATATACAAATTTTAATGCAAGGTAAAAACAAACAAGTAAAAAACAGAAAAACGAACAAAAAAAATATTTCGGTTCAGTATGTACTACCATTTTATTATAATTAATTTTATAACAATATATTGATGGGAGAAATTCGATAAAATAAATTCAATTTTAGAAATGCTTGGCGGGCCGTATAAACATGTTTAAGGGGCCGCAAGCGGCCCGCGGGCCGCGCGTTGCTCATCCTTGGTTTAGACCACATGTCTAAAGCATGTTCGTTTTTCTTTTTTTTCTTATTAAAAATTTTTGCTATTAACCTTATTTTGTTATTAACCTTAACCTGCGTTATAAGGGCATTTTCATACACATATCATTTTGATCACTCCTTGAGTTGGCTTACACAGCTATTTGTGTCTAAATAGTAATCTCGCATTTCAAAACTACCACCTGCAATCAATTAGACCAGTTCAGAGAATAAGCAAAAATTACTGTTGCCTCTCTTCTCTATTTCCCAATAGGTTTTGTAAGACAATTAACAAGCATGTAATTATCTAATCTAGGCGATTTGCAAGTTCGGAGCTAGTATGCATAATCCGTTTATGTCAATCCGTCACTTGAAATTGTTTAAGATTCTTATCTTTACATCATGATCTTTCCTAGTCTCAATCTCGCTGTCGTCACAATCTCCCCTCCCCCCTTCCTTCGATCACTGACGTCACCATCTTCCGCACTCCGAAGAGAAAGCTGATTTACCGTTCTCGTAGTCGGCGATGGTCTCCTGCTGGAAGTGCTGGTACAGCTCCGGCCTGAACTTGCGCTCGAGGCCGTACGAGTAGAAGCGGAACAGGCACTCCAGCCCGTAACGGAAGCCGGCGGCAGCGTCCTCGTTCGCCAGCGTCCTGAAATTGCACAGCGGAAGCCGTTTAGAACACAAAAAAAGACCAATAAACGAAAAAAGTAAAACAACAGCCTATAAATGTCCCACTGCTGGGCAAAAGACTCCTCTGTGCAGAGGGTTTGGATTAGCACATAGTCCACCACACGAACCCACAGCAGATTGGCACACGTTACAAATCTTTCTATCTTCGAAATAGAGTTTCCTTAGGATGTTTTCCTTCATCGCTGAGCATGTGATATAGCAACACATAAATTGTAATTAAGAATTTCACTTGTACTGGCTTTGGGAATTGAACTCAGGTTGCTGAGTATATTGAAAGCAGCTACTGCTGGGCATAGGCCTCATCTCAACCTATACTTGTCCCCCTGAACATGTATAAGTTGATAATTTGCTTTACTTTAGTATTTCAAGGACATTTGCATTGACTAGTTACAAATACATTAATGTAGTGTTGAGGGATGAAATAAAAAATTGCGATAAGCCACGCCAACCGCCATTCGGTTACCGGCTAACGACGACATTCGCTCTTTTCATTTCACTCTTTTCATTCATTCTTTCGACATTTTCACGAAGTTAATACGAATTTTACGACGACACGATGCCGAAAGGAGTACGACGAAACAGTACGGAAGACAGCTTCGAAGATGCGGTACGACCATCGATCGCTGCCGGTCAAACTACGTTGCAAATGACGGCCGAGTTGATTCCAACATTCAGCGGCCAAGATAAAACGTATTAAATAATTACGAGTTTGCTTGAATCGCATTTTTTATTTCATTGATGATAAATAACGCATTAGCGTTATCCTACATAATAATATATAATTATCACACATAATAGATATGTAGTCTTAAACAAATAAATGGACTATATAATATACTTAAATAATTTCTCAGTTCCAACGCACCTGAACTCGTTGTACATGGTCCTGTTGAAGTGGTCCCGTAGGAAGAACGACCAGAATCTGAACAGCGTGTTCATCTCCTGCGACTGACCGATGCCCAGCTTCTTGCGCTCTGAAAGATAATCACAAACATAATTATCCTCTATACAATATCATTTCACAAAGGTATTCACTGTCGGTGTGCTATAACTTCCATAATTCTTGATTAAATTTAATGGTTCAAGTTCAACATAGGCTTTAATATATCTATTTCTTTTTAAATAGTTTGAATGTGGTAGGGTCACGCAACAGTCTTCGAGTCGTCTGTTACACGAATGGGCAGGTCCGTCCGGGTAAGTAGCACAAACTCACAGAAGACCGGCGTGAAATAGAAGTGTTATACTTCTGCGTTTCGTCTGGTGAGTGAGGTAACCAGGGCCAATTTTATTAAAAGGTGGCAACGCATATGCAACCCTACGGGTGTTGCAAATGTCCGTGGGCGGCGATTATCACTTAACATCAGGCGAAACGCCAGCTCGCTAACCACCTTTTTATATAAAAAAAATTTTTTTGCCCCCTGCCACACCCCCGCTCAATAAAGGATTTTACCACGTAAAAAAATGGGTGTGTGTATTTATGTACGCGCGTGAGAAGTTATACTTCTTTGGCATCATTAAAATTTTAATTGCATGCAAATAATTAATTACAATAAAATAATAAAACGACTGGATAAAGACTGGAAAAAGGGACATAAATTATAAAAATAAGAAAAATTGTGAAAGCGCCATCTACATTCTTTTTTGAGAGCTGTAACGGGCGAATGTGTTTGAGCATATAATGTGACTGAGAATATTGGGAATATGGTATATATAAAAAAGAAGCGGTTTAGCGGGCAGCTTCAAAGGTGTTACTTTTCTATTATAGTGATGCGCGCGCACCTTAAAATTTCACCATCATAATTATTTCTTAACCCGCCTAAAGATGTATAACTTCAAACATTTTTAGTCGGTATCCGTTACTGAACGGGACACGTTACTGAACGGGACACCCCATTACGGTGGCAGGGGATCCATTGCAAGGATTTTTCCCGCTAATAAAAAAAAACAAGGGCGGCGGCACCTTTGAGGCAGCGCGAGTGGTACTTGTGGTAGGCCTGCTGCGTGAAGTGGTTCTCGCGCAGCAGCCCGTGGCTGGGGTGGTGGAAGGCGGGCAGCGCCTGCGGCACCGAGCCGCACGACGAGCCCAGCGTCGGCGACGTGCCCAGCGACGACCTGCGGCATACTCTCGGTGATCTCGCGCGCTCTCAACTGATCTCGCGACTCGGTCGTCGCCAACGTTGCCGTGCGTTCGGATCCGCACACTTCCCAACGACGTGCGACAATCTCGATAGTCTCGCGCTAAGCGAAACTCAACGCTCGGTCACGTTGCCAAAATTGCCGTGGGTTCGATCCCCAGGCGGTGCACAGACGAGCCCAGCGACGATCTTCACTTCCCAAGTTCGTGCGACAATCTCGATGTTCTCGCTGGCGCGATAAGCTAATCTCAATGCTCGGTCTCGTTGCCAAAATTGCCGTGGGTTCGAACCCTACGTGCCCGACGACAACTGCACGTCCCGCAGTCGAGAGACAATCTCGACGATCTCGCTCGCTAATCTACTCTCACTGCTCAGACGCCGCTAAGGTCAGTGGATCACGTGGCCAAAATTGCCGCGGGTTCGATTCCCAAATGGTGCACGCGTAGGTGCGCGTCATAAATATAGTCATAATCATAGTTTTTCTTTATTGTGAAATCTTCCCGGTTTATGAGTAGTTTTCGTTTGAAATCGACAAAAAGATGCCAATTAAACCCGCTTAGCATTGGCTTGTCTAACATGGCAACAGCTAATTACGCCGTAGAATAACTACTATGCGATATAGCATCATCTGCTGTCACCTGTCATTTATTTATCACCAATCAACCCCATTATCCTTAGCATTCAAAGAAACATTACACAGCGTTAAAACAAACAAGCCGTTGCATTATAGAACATTTATAATATATTGATGACAGTTTTTTTCAATTTATTAGACATCTACAACACCTGACCGGTTGCAGATGCGTTGCCAACATTCAAAAGTGGACCCCGGTTGGCTCACACACCAGACGAAACGCGAAAGTATTGCGCTTCCACTTCACGCCGGTCTTCTGTGAGGATGTGGTACTTCTCGGACGGGCCTGCCCATTCGTGAAGATCCGCTTGTATCCAAGAAGATCCGCCAGCGAGGCGGACGTACCCGGTGCTGTGCGTGCGCGCGCGGTGCTCGCGGATGTCCATGATCCAGCCCACATGGTGCTCCACTGGCGGGTTGAGGCTGTGCCTCGTCTTGTGTTTGCGGCTGCTTCTGCGGACGGACCAAGGCACGTTTATTACAGAGAGAAAATAAGCAATTGATTTTAGGCATTGTCAGGTTGTGGAAGGATGGGTCGATCGACGAAGGGTATTGGTAGATATTTAGTAACTAAACTCGACTTGTAACTAACTCTAAAACTAACTAAATCTCGATTATCGTTAGATACCTCTTAAAATATTATGACAATCGTATATATATTACTAGCTGACCCGGCAAACTTTGTTTTGCCATATAAATTAATTGTAGGGTAGAAAAAATTTTTGGGGTGGACCACCCTTAACATTTATTATATATTATATTTAACAATTATTATCTGGCTGATATGCACACAAAATTTCACGAAAATCGGTCGAGCTGTTTCGGAGGTGTTCAATTACAAACACCGTGACACGAGAATTTTATATATTAGATAGGTACAGTTACTTGTGGAGGATTGCCATACAATCTAATGATAAACTGATACCTACACAATGTACAGTAATGGTTAAACAATCCATCTATTTAAAAATTTTAAGGACAAAAGGCACTGGCATAGTTTAAAGAAAAAAAAAAATGTTTGTATGTTTTTTGTACAGTACCCTAAAGTAAGCAGATTAACTCGTCAAAGTTTAGGTTATAGATGGTTAAAATTCAAAGAATAACTTTTATTCATGAATTGTATTCCCTTATTTTCAGTTACTTGAATTTGAACAGACATAATAAACTACTCTTACAGGTAATTTCATTGCAGTAGTCATCATAGAAGGTTGAATAAAGGATAATTTCCACCGACTGCTTTTTTTATAAATGAAATTTGATGATTTAGTACCTACAATAACCATTAGATATGTCAAATATGTACAGTTCTTATTAAACCGTTGTATAGCCTCTCAGCAGTTCGTCATTGCACATATGGGCAAATAGAAAGCAGAAGTATAAATCTTTCATTTCATGCTGGTCTTCTGAGAGGGCGTGGTACTTCCCTGGATGAGCCTGCCCATCCGTGCAACATAAGCTGCGTAGCCCTGTCACGTAGTGCTTCTCTGGACGATACTTCCCATTCTTGCAACAGCCGGACGAGCCTGCCCATTGGTGCAACAGCAGAGGCTGCCTCATGGCCTTGCCACGGACAAACATATTCGCATTTGCCACAGACTCACATGACATCTGTGGCGTGAGGGTCCTTGCTGGCGGCGTAGAAGCGCGCCGTGCGCCGTGGCCGCTTCTTCTCCGGCTGCTCTTGTGCCTGCTCCATCTGCTAGAACGAGACAGAGAAACACATGAAGCTGCTCGATATACAACGTCTTTGTAAACTTTTAGAGTGTTGAACCAAAGTCGAGCATGAAGTCTGAACAATTTTTTTTTAACACTGGCTTTGTCTTATTTCATAATTATAGACTGGGTTGTTTTTTTTTTTTTTTTAATTGGGGTGGCGACGGGTTACCGGCTGGTGCCGGTCGATGGAAAGTGGGGTGGCGATGGTGTTACCGGCTGGTGCCGGCCCGTGGGAAGTGGGGTGGCGACGGGTTACCGGCTGGTGCCTGGGCGGCGGCGGCGGCGGCGGCTCCGTGGGGTTCGCGTGCCGCTCGTTCGGCTGCGTCGCCTCGAACTGCGAGCGGCTGATCAGCGACACAGTGCGGTACTGGCTGCCGCTGCCGCACGACTGCAATACGAACACAAAAACATCGGCCACTTGCATCATACGCCCACAAAAGTATGTGCGTACTTATGTACTCACGTAAGAACTTATACTTCTTTAGCGTAAAGACATTGAATGAAATTTATAAGGGTTTATTTAAAACATGGGCTTATAAATGTTGCGAGGTCCAGTAATAAAGCGCTTGATATTGATATTTTCTCAAACAAATATTTTAAATTAAAAAAATATGTACATGAAGCCCTTAATTGACTTAATTTTTTTATATTTGGTTATGTTTAGGTTTATATTTTTTTTTGTGTTGATGCTGCAAACTTAATTGTAGTTACTATTCGCTGAGTTTTTATCGTTTTATTTAATACCATTTTCTCACCAATAGTTTTAAGTAAGTTCTTGTGTTAATTGTCTAAATCTAGTGTCCATCTTGTTGTGTAACAACAATAAATAAATAAAGTAACTTGAATTATTTGTAAATGTCAAAAAAGTTTTTACTGTTTGCCAAGATTAAATTTAATTAAGGTTCTCGAGTGGCGACAACGAAACCGGAAGATGCAGCGTTGGAAGGCCTCCCTCTAGGTGGACAGACGACATCATAAGAGTCGCGGGATGATATAGATAAGACCGTTAGATGCAAATGGCAAAGTGTCATTCGTTGTGACGTTCTAAGGGGTGGCCTATGTTCAACAGTGGACGTCTTGTGGCTGATGATGATGAAGATTAAATTGGTTAGCAAGCACCATGTTGCATTTCGAGGGAAACATCGTATTGAATTTCCCAAGACGCATTGTTATAAAGGGAGGCTTTTCTAAGTGTATACAAATAAATAATGTTATATAAAAAATGATAAATATTTAAAATCACTCGTAATTAATTAAATACATTCATTTAAACTTATCTCAAAATGTGCGTGATTTATGGGCAACTCATTTATTTTACGCGCGATCATTCATAACTAACACGCACATTTAAAAGTATACGACGCATTTATGAATGACTCAATTGGATTCGAACTGGAATAAGATTGATAACTCACCGACATATATTCGGAATCATTCCACAGGTCCTCCTCATAGCGTTTTAGACCGTCAGTGATCACCTGAGGAGATGGAAAATACGATAAATCACCAATTATAGCGTAATAATGTTGTAAATTGCGCCACACAGACGCAAGTTACAATGTCTGCTAGATCTGGCTGCAAGCAAATGCTGTGGCGCTAATTTCGGTGATAGATTTTTTTTACGGTCAGCAGTTTATTTGCGTGCGCAACGTCAGTTCAGATGTCATTGTCACTCGTTTCATCTATTTCCTTGTGCTTGGGAATAAACACTGGCGTGATGCAGCCCCCCACAGTTCGTTCTCTATTTCAGTTTTACCGACGCGAAAGTTTTCCTTTTAAGTATCCTTTATAGAATTGACGCCGTAACATAGTCGCCCCCGTGCCGCCATTTAAATCCCTCCGCTGCGATACAACACCCCCTTTTACCAATTTCAGTTCTCTCCATTGCGAAATCGACCCCCCCCCCCCCCCCCCCCTGCTCGTGGTCCTGCTCGATGTAACCAACCCCCCTCACGATTCCCCCTTCCCCCATCCCCCCAAATTTTATTACATCAGGTGCAAGAAAGTCTAGCACCTAGTCTAGGTAGAGGTCCTCCGTGACGTAGACCACTCCTCCGTTTCAGTCCCCCACCTTCCCCGCGCACCTGCGTGACGTGAACCCCTCGCCCACTTCAATACCCCTCTCCCTTCCTCCCCTGCCCAGCGCACCTGCTCTATGCAATGATCTGCTTTATGCAACCACCTCCTCCCCCACGCGTCTTTACCTCCCCTCCTATTTTATTACCCCAGGTGCACAATAGTCTACCACCTGTTACAGGTCCCGTGTGACATAAAACCCTCCCCCATTTCAGTCCTCCCCGCCTCGCGCACCTGCTCATCAATCCCACCCACCAATTCTGTTAACCCAGGTGCACAATAGTCTACCACCTGTTACAGGTCCTGCGTGACGTGTACCCCTCCCCCCCCCCCTTCCCCCCCACCTGCTCGAGGTCCTGCGTGATCTTGGTGCGCGTGGTGAAGTCGCCCTGGCGGTCGTGGCCGTCGTGCCTCGGCTGGCGCGCGCCCGCCTGCGTCACGATCAGCAGCCGGCCCACGTCGCGGTCGGTGAACTCCGCGTCCGACTCCTCGTCGGACCTGCGACGACCGCAACGGACGCTACAGTAGCCGACGGCCATTTACGCGTCACCTCATCGCACAGTTAATGACGGCTATTTAGACGTCAGCTCGCTCGTTGTCGAACATCAACGATGCTATAATGCCCGACCGGCTGTTTGCATGTCAGCTCGATCGTTACACGAAAAACTTTTGGCTTTTGACATTTGCCACCAACGTAGGAATGTCAGCTCAAATACTACAATACGTGACCGGCTATTTACATGATAGCATACTCGTTAGACGAAAAACATTTTTATATGACAAAGTGGCAAACGAGCCGCGATTCATCCGCTGTTAAGTAAAAAACTGTAGGGTAGGGCGGGCCACCCGCGAGATGGGGCGAAGACCTGACCAAAGTCGCGGGACTTCGCTGGTTGCGGGCCGCTTCGAACCGATCGAAGTGTAAATCCCTAGAGGAAGCCTATGTTCAGTGGACGCTTACAGGCTGAAATGATGATGATGAAGTAATAAATTCGTGCCACGCCTATGGACATTTGCAACACCTGCAGGGTTGCGGATGCGTTGCCACCTTTTAATAAAATGGACTCCGGCTACCTTACTCGCCAGACGAAACGCAGTGTAAGTGTATAACATTTCTACTCCACGCCGGTCCTCTGTGAGGTCGTGGTACTTCCCCGGACCGGCCTGCCCATTCGTTCGACAGCCGTGGTTGTGTGGCTATGTTCTGTGCACCCACCTCTGTTCCGTACAACCACCACGCATCCGTGAACCCCCCCCCCCCCCCCCCATTTTTTTCCTTACAAGGCCACCGCACTTCTAACACCACCGAGTCTTTGATTTCGTCATGTACAGTCTGAGAACGGACGCGTGCTTAGCAACGCGCGCTTTCAAGGTCATCAAGAAACTGTGGTACATTTAAAAAAAATGAAAAATCGCTCGACGAAACGTATGTCACAAGTTGACGAGCGGATGATTTTGTTCCCTGGACTCCTTCGGGTGCACCCACCAGGCGTCCGTGAAGGTGTTGTGCCTGGGCGGCGGCAGGTCCAGCTCCTCGTCCAGCTGGAAGTGGAGCTCCTCGCGCTGCGGCTCGTCTTCCTGGGCGGCGGCGGCGGGCGTGGCGGCCGGCGCGGGGGGTGGCGCCCTCTCGCGGGAGTTGCCCTTCGTGCGCCTCTTCACCTGCGGAACATTAGAACACGATTGAACTATCAGGAACATTAGAACACGATTGAATTATCAGGAACATTAGAACACGATTGAGTTATCATCCTTCTGCCTTTTTGAAGTGAAAATTTCTTTCAGCGCGGTACGGACAACTAGACGTTCGGCGAGGCTCCACCCTTATGCTGTCGACGTTCCCAAAACAAGAACAAAGCGATTTGCCTCATCATTCATCATCCGTACAGCTAAGGAATGGAACAACCTGCCGGCGTCCGTCTTTCCGTCCGATTACATCGTAGGCGTCTTCAAGAGTGAATAGGTCTTTACTGAGTTAGCGCGCTTGCCCTCAATGGCTGCGTCGCCACTTATCATCAAGTGGGATGGCAGTCAAGTGCTGGTCAGTTCGAAATAAAAAAAAAAAAACGCATTTTTTCGACGAGATAAAATCCCTGGAATCGCGACACCGTTACGGGACGCAGCTTTAGTGGGTGCTTAATTGGATTTTTGAATAGAGAATTTGATTTTACCATGTACAAACAACACAATATTAGCACAACGAGTTATAAAAGTGCATTTTATTTTTAGATTGTAAATGCTGTATCTTATGTCGGTAATTCTATGAATAAATAAATAAATAAATAAATTAGGTTCGGTTCAGCTCCCACATAGTTCCACGTTAAGGTAACTATTACAGGGACTTCCATTTTTTTCTTCTTATTTTCGAGTAAAAATAGCTGATTAAGGCAAACTAACTAATACACCTCTGAAGAAAGAAATATATAATAAATATGTAAAATTTAGAAAAATACTTTATTCTCATCCAAACACTTTATTTTTCCCTACTTGAATGTGATACGTTATTTTTTCCAAAAAAAAAAAAACCGTTGGCAGCCCGGCTCTAGCTCGTAAGCCCTAAAGGTGCGAGTGGGACGAACATATCCGCTCACCTCGGTCCAAACGTCGGCGCTCCTGTCGGAGGCAGGGCTGCCGGAGCCGGAGCCCCGCTTGCTCTCGGGCTGCGTCGACTGCCCGACGGGGGCTTCCTCTGCGGATAAATTGTTTTTTTAATCAAAATCGCCACTTCATGTACCGGCGGTAGTTCCGAACCGTTACGAACTTTCAAGAAGGGAGCATACATAATCTTTCCTTAAAGGCCGGCAACGCATTTGTAAGCCCTCGGGTGTTGCAGGTGTTCATGGGAGGTAATTCTAAGCGCTGACAGTGTTTAGCGGGGGGGGTATAACGTCGTGAGGAAACCGGCATATTTTAGAAATAATGTTAATAAAATATGCCCATAATAATAACAAATAAATATCCCGACATAATAATAAAAACTATAGGACACATTTTTACACAGCATTCTCTAGTACCAAACTAAGCAACACCTGTATACTATGGGTACTAGGTAAGCGATTAACATACATTTCTTCTTATCATCACTACATAGTATTAAAAAAGGTCTTCCTTCTATTTGTCTGTCCCTATATATGCTTAGATCTTTAAAACTACGCAACGGATTTTGATGCGGTTTTTTTAAACTAAATACGGATATTCAAGAGGAAGGTTTATATGAACATATCATGCATAATATAGTAGAGAAACAACTGATAATTTTAGAGGTTTCTAATGCGATATATTTTCCCAGTAGCGGGGATCGAACCCACACCCTCTGGCTTAAAAGACTGGTCACTGTCCACTGCGCCAATCGGGCTGGTTGAGGCTTGTAGTGCTGAAAATGGACGTATCCTCCGTAAAAAAAAATCGAGATGTGTGGGATGGTCGATGGAGTCCCACGCGTTCCCAGCGCTGGGCCCACCTGCGCGCCTCGCCTGCGGCACGAACTCGGGCACGTCCGGGTTGAGGTTATCGCGGGGCGCAGCCCTGGCGCTCCGGAACATCCTAAACGAGGAGCAGACAAGATATTATATTAAAATGTGTAGAAAAAAAATGAATGCTTGTAACCTTTACACACGGTTAATGTAAAACAAAAAAAAGCCTTTAAAATAAATAGTTATTAAGAATTTGTTACTGATTAATACATTAATTATAATTTAAATTAAATTATCTTAATATAAAAAAAAAACGAGTGTGGTTTAGGCCACACAACTGAAGTAAAACTTTTTTATTTATTTATTTATTTATTGCACATCCATTAAGTAACAAAAAGGTGTTAGGGTAATTAGTAAAATAGTTCTTTATGGACCCTGTTTACAGGGCATAGTAAAAAACAAATCATAAATTCGGAGAGAGCAAGATGTATCACTTAGGTAATTTAATGGGGTACTTGTATAATGAGTTGGTATTTTGAGTGGCTATTTATTTTTATAAGTAACATTTATTAGTTTTAATTTATATATTAATTATGAGTAATTTGTTTAATATATTTATAATGTGAGATCATTATGTGTTATTTATATCTATAATATCCAAGGTATCTCCAAAATATTCTTTTATGTCATAATATGGCTTGGTAAGTAACAATTCGTTTAATTTTTTTAGGAAATTTTTATCGTTTTTTTCGTCTTTTAATATTTGCGGTAGTTTGTTATATATCTTGATGGTCATTACATAGGGACTCGTTGAGTATAATTGTAGTGTAGAAGTGGGTTGCATTAGTATGTCTTTATGTCGTCAGTTGTATTGTACAGGAATTTCACTGCGCTTTTGATAAAGCCAAGGATTTTTTCGAACAAATTTACATATTTCATATATATACAAACTTGGTAAAGTAAGTATATTTAGCTTTTTAAAGTGGGGTTTACAGCTATCTGTTTGATTTATATTAACTAGAATTTTTATAAGCTTTTTTTGTAGAGTAAAAATTGCAGGAGCACCTGTGCTATTCCCCCAGAGAATCAATCCGTAGTTAAGCCATGCAAAAGATTTAGTTTCATCTATTTTTTTTTGTGAAAAAGTGGCAAACGAGCTGGCAGTTCACCTGATGTTAAGTGATAACCGCCGCCCACGGACATTTGCAACACCGATTGCAGATGTGTTGCCACCTTTTAATAAAGTGGGCCCCGGCTACCTCACTCAGCAGACGAAAAGCAGAAGTGTATACACGTACACAGCTCCGTAACGTACACAGCTCCAAAATGAGGGTAGGTATAAAAAAAGTAAAAGCGTCAAGCCAAAACGGGGGAACCCCCTGACCTAGGCAAAGGCGGAGGGGGCACGGCGCGCAAAAGCCCCGACACAGGCGCGACCAGCGGGCCCCCCATTGTCGCCAAAGGGAAGATCCCCACCATCTGTTTCTTGCGCCTGTCGAAAAAAAAAAACGAGTGTGCTTTAGACCACACGACTGAAGAAAAACTTCTTTCGCTTTATATGTAATCTGTATCTCCATCTGTATGAATTTACAATTTCACTTTCATAAACTGTATATTGTTCAATACGTTAATAGAATATTTAATGTTAATAGAATATTTAATGTATTGAACAAAATACAATTTTTGAAAGTGAAATTGTAAATTCATACAGATGGAGAGAGATGTTCAATAACGAAATTAAATTACGAAATAATCAAGAAATCACCGTTCGCGTAACATCACACTTCGTAGCGCCGATCACACTTTTCGTAACGCACTCGTAACGCATTCACCAGCTTAGTCCCCAAGTCAAGCGTGCGTAAAGAAGTTATACTTCAAAAACATTTTGAAGTAGATTTCACAGAACCCATCACATACCCGTCTAACCATTTTTCTTCCCAAGAATATATTACACGTTTCTTAGTATTTGATTTTAAAGATACATCGTTAACACAAACGAGCGAACATAAACACTGTCTGCATAGTGTCATATTAATGGAGTCTATAGACTGGACTCGGTGGCGCTTTGCTTGGCAATTGGCTTCGGTACCCTGGGATCGTGGGTTCGATTCCGACGCGGGACAACTATGTGTGATTCACAGACATTTTTATCGGCACTGGGGACTAGTGAAGAACTCCAACCAAGACCATTAATAACTCCAATGTTACCCCCATCTAGATCGGATGGTCAGGAGAACGATACAGCTGATGAATATTTCATACCTTACACTGCAAGAAAAACATTTATACTTGCAGTAGCAGAGGTATTGAAGTTATAATTCTAAGGCCCAATAGGCTCGAGCCTTGGGCGGCCAAATATTAAGGGCGGCCAATCGTGACAGAAAATTCACTGATGATAACAAGATATATGATGGACTCTGAGAAAGGGGCGGTTGGAACTTACTACATGGGCTGGGACGATGCGCGACACACCAAGTTGTTGTTACCATGGCAACCAATAATAACTTTTTGACATTTAACTATAACTCCCAAGCTATTTAATTAAGCCGTATCTATTGCATTTAATGCCTTTTTCACAAACAAATAGTACTGGCACAGGGGATGCAATTTTTATTTATATTTTTATTATAAAAAGTATAACTTCCTACACATTATGTTGGAACTTCTATTGAGGCTTTAACATCATCGGCCTGTTACGATCATCTGTTGGATTGGCCTTCCACCACATTCCTACGCTTCTGAAGTAATAGAAGTGTAATTTTTAGAGATTATTACCAACTACGCCGCAGTTGAGATCGACGGACGAAATTAATAAAGTGCTATTTAATTTTATATATTTATGTATAGTTATAACTTAAATTATTGATTGAAACAACGTTGGAGGTCCACGTGGAATAAATTAATTTCAAATTCGCTTGAAGTTCGGGCCATTTAATGAAATAACCAAGCAATGATGTCATCTTTAGACGAAAGAAAAAGTTCGACATATTATTAATTCGAGCAATTATTAAAATATTTACTGTCGATAAAATAGTTACATAAATAAACCCCACAAATTTATCACACCGACGGGTGGGGAGGATTAATTCTTTCTATTAGCAGTCTGCGTTTACTTATTTACCTTTTTTAACCCAGCCACCAATTTTTAAACGTCGATAAAACATGCAATAATCGAATTGCAATAAGGCGCACGGATTGAACTTGTGGCAACACATATGAGCCGCAGAGCACAGTTTAAACACTTGGGGATCGGTTGTGTTGCTATAATATATCCGTGTGCTGGAAGCAGTTGTGTAGTGTCTACACAATGGCATTTCAGAGGCATCACGGTAGAGAATAAAGGAGGGACAAGGAATTGGGGGGGGGGGGGGGGGGGGGGGGGGGGGAGGGAGAGAGAGAGAGAGAGAGAAGAACGAGAGATAAAATTGCAGTTAGATATATGAATATTTTCTATCATGGCAAAATTAAGTACATGGGAACTGTCACCTTGTCCATTCTTGAAGCTTGATCAATATTTCAAAATTTTTGATATAAAATTTTCAAATTAATAATAACTTTCGTTCTATTTATTTAGTTTCGGGTACTTTTAAAACGTTTTAACCAGAACTTTTACTATCGTACGTACTGGACTATTTTTATTATAAGTACACATAAAAGTGTATGAACCTCACATGTACAGTGAACGAATTAAGATTATTGTCGAATATCGAATATTTGGCTTAACACTAACAGACATGATTTATTTTTTTGACGTTTCTAACCGAATAACGCGTGTTTTTTGTCTCAATATCACTGTTAACCTAAGATACCGCGTGGTTTGCGTCTTATAAACATATGTGGTGACTCTTTTTAACCATAAATCGAACGGTACAGCGAAATTAAAAATGTAATTAACGACTGTATTAGAGTTAACTTGATCACTTAAAACTTGACAACAATGCAGAATCTTACTTGGGAGGATTTCCTTGATGTTAACAAATATGGCAACATTCGACGCTCTTATAAAATATAATTAAGTAATAAAATAAACTCGACAAAGCACTAAAGTAATTTTATTAAAACTCAGTAACCTATTTAAAGATTATATAAATGTTATTTATTAATATCCTATGTATATAGGAACCTTGCAGCACATAGGGGAGTAAGCGAGTAAATTTCTTAACTACTATGTAATTTTTACGTTGATTTTTATAAATTTATACAACAAGATATATATTATACATATAAACATTTGTAAAGTAAATAAAAGTAGTAATTAAGCAGATAACATTACTTTTTCTCGCCCGGTTTCTCCTCAGTGTTCTCAGACTGCAGCGGTGGATCCTCATTAGACTCTGTTTGTTTCTTCTCCTTTCCATCTGCCTTCTCATTTTCCTTCTCGTCCCTGTTCTCCTTCTCTATATTATCCGACTTCACTTCTTTTCCTTCTGCCTCTCCGACTTCCTCCCGTTTGGCTCCCACAATCTGCTCGTCCACTTTCACTTCGTTGGCCACTGGCGCCGTCTGCGATAGAAGCTTGAATATATTTCTAGATAAACACCGACACATTATAATAATTTATATATATATAGATAAATATATAAAGAAAATACACCAAATCAAACGTAGGCGACATACCTCTTCCTTAACGATGGCCTCTTTGGGGCATTCGGTATCTTTTTTCTCATCAGTTTCGATTTTCTCCTGCTTCTCTTCTATGCTGGGCGCCTCGTCTATCTTCTGTGCTTCGTTATTGAGCTCCGCTTTCTTCTCCACCTGAGCCGCCTCTTCTTTAGCTGCGTCGCTCTGCTCGCTATCGGTTGCGGCGGCTTCGGTACCCTTATCGCCGCTTCCCGCCACCCTGTCGGTCTTGTCGTTAGCGTCAGGCTTGTTAGCCGCGTCAGGCTTGTCGGCTGCGTCAGACTTGTCGGCCGCGTCAGGCTTGTCGGCCGCGTCAGACTTTTCAGCGGCGTCAGTCTTGTCGGCCGCGTCAGTCTTGTCTGCCGCGTCGGGCCCGTCGGTCGTCTTGCTGCTCGAAGATTTGTCTGCCCTGTCACCGTCCTCGGAGCTGGTGCTGGAGGTGATGTCCAGTATGGGCCATTTGGTCGGCTCGAAGGCGGTTCGGACCTGCGGTGATAATGTTCACTGTTGTTATAGGTTTAAGTGTCATGTCGGTATCAGTCTACAGATTTTAGTACGCCATGCTAGGTGCCGTGATAGCAGTGTCCGGGCGCTCGCCTTTAATTCAATATTTAATTGAATGCTCGAGTAGAGCAACCTGAGTTCGATCCCCGGTGCCGGCACCAATGAAATTGTTAATTTTAAGTGCCGAATTATCACGTGCTCAGCGGTGAAGGAAAACATCGTGAAGAAACTATAATAGTACTAAAATAGTCTTTTTACATTAATACGAACCAATTTGTTATGGAAAAGAAATCACTGTAAAGTGGGGGAGTTATTACTTTTGCGTTTCGTCTGCCGAGTGCGGTAAACGGGGCCGTAATTCTTAAACATGGTAACGCATCTCTGCCGCACCTAACGACTTGTAGTGCACGGGCGGCGGCATTTCCACCTCACACCGGTGGTCTCTCATCTTCTGTGAGGTGGTGGGCCTTTTTTTTTTTTTATAGAGAAAAGGGGCAAACGAGCAGGAGGCTCACCTGATGGTAAGTGATTACCGCCGCCCATGAACACCTGCAACACCCGAGGGCTCACAAATGCGTTGCCGGCCTTTTAAGAAAGAGTACGCTCTCTTTTTGAAGGTTCCCAGGTCATAACGGTTCGGAAAGACCGCCGGCGGCAGTTGGTTCCACAGAGTGGTTGTGCGAGGCAAGAAATGCCTTAAAAATCGCGCTGTTGTGGAACGTTGGACATCGAGGTGGTGTGGATGAATTTTTTGGTTCTGGCGCGATGTCCGAAGGTGGAATTCAGCCGCCGGGATCAATCCAAACAATTCCTCAGAACACTCCCCGTGATCAATGCGGTAGAAGATGCAGAGTAATCCAACATCTCTACGCAGAGCCAGAGGATCAAGCCGATCGGAAAGACTTTGATCGTCGATAACCCTAGCCGCCCTACGTTGAATGCGGTCAAATGGAAGAAGCTGGTAATAGGGGGCTCCCGCCCAGAGGTGAGAACAGTACTCCATGTGGGGCCGAATTTGCGCCTTATAGAGGTTTAGGCGTTGGGCAGCCGTGAAGTACCGTCTCACCTTGCTGAGCACACCAAGCTTCTTTGAGGCCAATTTGGCCTTACCTTCCAATTGACCGCGGAACTGGACGTTGCTCGAGATTTAGACGCCAAGCATTCCGATACTAGCTGTGGCAGGTAGGGGAGTGTTCTCGAAATGAGGAGTCACGACAAATGGGGACTTTTTAGCGGTTAACGCGCAAACTTGTGTCTTTTTGGGGTTGAATTGGACTAGGTTTAGTCGACCCCAGTCTGAGACTTTGGTTAACAAAGTCTCGACCTCAGACACAAGCTTGTTCCGACTCTCGTAGACGTTTTCCCGAGAAATGTTAGCTCGGCCAGTGTACGAGACATCCACAGTGCTATCGTCTGCATAACAATGGACGTTGCTGATTTGCAACATGCCATTGTTATGCAGAAGAAACAGAGTAGGAGACAGTACGCAGCCTTGTGGAACACCAGCATTGACAAATTTAGGATCGGAGCATGCACCGTCGACGACGACCTTGATGCTCCGATCTGCCAAAAAGTTGGTGATCAAATTGCATAATTTCTCGGGAAGCCCATAGGAAGGCAGCTTCGAAAGAAACGCTTTGTGCCATACCCGATCAAAGGCCTTCGTTATGGCTTCTGTCCATCGATGAGTAAGGTAGACCAGAAGATCACCGGCTGAGCGACCCCGACGAAAGCCATACTGGCGGTCGCTAATCAGCCGGTGCTCCTCTAGGTACCGCAGAAGCTGGCCGTTGATAACGGACTCCATTATCTTGGAGAACAAGGAGGTTATGGCTATTGGCCTGTAATTGGACGGATCAGAGCGGTTGCCTTTTTTAGGGATCGGGTGCACTAACGCGGCCTTCCATGATTTCGGGACTACGCCTAAAGTATAGGAGTGCCGGAAGAGACGCGTTAAAACCGGCGCCAACTCTGGAGCACGTCTGTAACACAATCGGAGGGATGCCATCGGGCCCACTCGACTTGTGAATGTCCAAGGAAAGAAGTGCTTTGCGAACTGCACTTTGCCGGAATTTTACCTCCGGCATCGTAACGTCGCACTGGAGGATTGATGGTGGTGAGTTTCCTCGGTCATCCAAAGTCGAGTTGGACGCAAAGAGAGAGCCCAGAAGATCGGCTTTCTCCTTCGCGGCATGGGCCAACGAATCATCCTCCGTGTGCAGGGGTGGAAAAGATGGCTTACAGAAATTCCCTAAGACAGCTTTGGCGAGAGACCAAAAACTTGACGCGACTGCCCATTCGTGCAACCTGCTGTTGCGTAACGAAAAGAAAAAAGAAGCGTGGCCCCACCGCAGTTTGAAAAGAGAGGGCGAGCAACATTTCGTAGCCCCACCACAGTTGGAAAAGCTTTTGGGTTTCGTGGACCCACCACAGTTGAAAAAGAGGGGCCGAGCATCATTTGGCACCAGGACAGTTGGAGAAGCAGGCGTCGAATACTTTTTTTTTAAACATTTTTAGCCCTCACTTTAGGACAACATTATCACGCGTCGTAAGGAAGTTTTACGAACGCGGACAAACAGCCTAGACGTGAAACGAACATCTGTTCGCCGCACAAACAGTTTAACAGTACAAGCTTCCGCAGCCGCTGCAATCAATAAATCACCCTGAATCCGCCGACGATCTGCAGCTTGTCCGAGTCGCAGATGGCCTCGAGCACCAGCTGCACGTCCGCCGTGAGCGAGCGCACGCGGTGGAATGACGCGATCAGCGACACCGGGATAGTGCCGTCGGCCGCCATCTTGCGGCGCAGGAAGAAGTCGCGCGCCAGGTTGTCCGGGCTGAAGTAGTACTCGCTGGTGGTGGGGGGAGGTGATGATTAGACATTTTTGATTTTACTATTTTGTGGTTATCTGTAAAGTCAAAAGTACTTAGATGGAATTTTAAAGTTTTCAACCGCTGCTAGATTCTGATGGTGAATATGAATTAGACATATGTTAAAATATGTAGAAAAAGTACGAAAACATTGTCGCCGCTGTGGGAATAGAACCCACATCTCCGGCATTCGCGGCCGGACTGACGCTTTGGCCACTAAGCTAAACGGTTGATTGCCACACCGACGAAAATCTTAACGTCTTTTTATCTACATTGTTTTTTAGCATTTGAATCAATGCTTGGCGCATCCATTGTTATATCCTTTCCAGCATACAAACAAGAGATATGTTTGTATTATTTTCTGATTAGTTTCATTTTTAGTCTCAAGTCAAAACGAAACATACTTAGAGTTTAAAATTTTTCGAGCGCTGTTAAATTGTGATTGTGAATATGGTTTAGACATTTGATTGTACAATTCTGTGGTTAGTTTTATTTTAATTTTTAGTCTCTTAAAGTCAAAACGCACTTAAAGTGCTTAGATAGACTCTAAAAGACTCTTTTTTTAGTGCTAGTCTCTGAAGTCACGATGAAACAAAGTAGGTTAAACGCCAAGGAGCGGGCGCTGTGTTATTATAAAAAAAACGATATATAAAGTAATGAACTGCTGATATTCGTAATTTAAATAGAATAGTACTCTTATTATCGTACTATGGTGTGCCTGATAAGGAATCCATGGGAGTAAAGTAGTTAGGTAGAGGTAGTGATTTTATGTAACTATCGATGGGCCATATATTAAGCTAAGCATAGCTTTAAATATGATTCCAGTGGACGTAGGTTCGATTACCCGTAGCAGCGAAAAACTTTTGGTCCATTTGTCTACAAATTTTAATGTTTCAGGTTCGATTCCAACCACTGGAAAAATATTGTGTGATGAACATAGTTTTTTCTAGTGTGTGGGTGTTTATATATGTATGTATTACATGTATTTATTCACAAAAAAAAGTATATTTAAGTATGTTTATCAGTAATCTAGTACCAACATACAAGCTTTGCTTAGTTTGGGACTAGATGACGGCGTGTAAAATCGTCCCTAATAATTATCTATTTATTTATTAGAAGAAGGAATTAAGGGATATCGGCGTGCTAACTCACATCTGCTTCTTGATCAGGTCCTTTAGGGTGGCGTGGTCGAGTCCCAGGCCGTAGGGGGGCGCCGCGTTGTAGTAGAACGGCTGGCCCAGCGGAGCCACGTGCAGCGCGCCGTAGTGCAGCATCAGACCCTGCGCGAGGCCCGCCTGAGCTACGCGCAGCTGGGGGCGGGAGGGTGGAGGGGGGCGGTTTGGGGGGGGGGGCTCGCTACGCGCCGCCTACGCTACACCGCTACGAGATACGCTCGCTACGAGGCTACGACCGACCGCGTCTGTCTTTTCAACCGACCGAAAAAAAGCGGTTCACAATTTGGTCGTGTTTTGTATGTTTCTTGCCTCGGGGTTCCGTCATTTGTGAAGCGATTTTAAAAATTCTCTTTGCATTGGGATCGCTTTATCACTGTCATGCGGTCCCATATAATTATTAATAATTTAATTGAAATTGGACCTTCGATACCGGTGACATAGTGGGAAGGGAACGTAGTGAGCGATTTTTTGTCATTATCTATGGTCTATTTAATTGGACTGATTTAGCAATCGAGTTGTGGTGATCGATAATTGCCAAATACGGACACTAGAATCATCACAAACGTAAGCGTCTCCAGAGAAATATACTATTTCAACGCTAGAGTCGAGAAAAGTCTTCTTTGTAATATCCGTGACCTACCAATTTATCTTACGACTATATATCGGAATTCTCGTCTTCAGAGAAATGTATTATTTCTGCTTTAAATTCGAGAAAAGTCTCTTTTGTAATATACATGTTCTAGCTATTTATCTTACGACTATACAGCGTGTCGTTACCATCGCGACAATAAATGAACACACGTCTAACGCTACTTGCCAATAATCATAAAAAAATATTAATGTTAAACAAAATCCATAATTAAAAAAAATATTTTTCAAACAAACTAATTAAGTAAAAAAGAAACAAAATTTTTAACATCCTATACAACTCGCGCCACAGCGTCGCATTACAAGCCTCTCCTTCTAACAGTATGCTTTGTCTCTTTTAAATTCATTCAACCCATTCATATGCTTTGTGACCTTTAGAAATGAACTTTACGTTACGCTTTTATAGGTAAGGGTGTTCTAAAATTCTTTGTTTTGGAAAATTTAATAACTCTGTAAATATCGATGTTTAAAGAATTTAAATGTTTAATACAACTTTAAAAAGTTATCCCCTATACGCGTGTTCATTTATTGTCGCGATGGTAACGACACGCTGTATATTGTCCTATAGATTTGAACTACAATACAATCGATCAAACAGTCACAGGTGACGGTCAAACATTCTTCCTTCTACGCGGGTGACGGTCAAACATTGTGTCGGTACATTATTGTTAAACTCGCGAGCAGATCCCGTTGCGTAGTACATAGAGGGCGCGCATACGCATGCTTATGAAATGACACCATTTACATCAGGGATTCCCATTGTGGACCCCTTGGGGTCGATATCGGTATTCCAGGGGTCCACATAAACGTAAACTGATTTTGGGAGTCGACGGAGTCTAAAAATCGATCTATTTAATTAAGAAAATTTCTTATTTTAAACTTTCAAGATTCTGTATTAGTAACTTGTACCAACTTTTTATAAGAATGACTAATATCTTTTAGTGCTTAAAATTTAATAGTAAAATGTGTGGAAAAAAGTTAGGATTTCTAAAGTAATTTGACCTCAGATCCTCCCTGTACTGAGGAATCAATTCATTTTGTAAAAAGAGTATATTGCCCAAAATAGTCTGGGAATCCTTGATTTATATTAAAATATACCATGATATACATAAAGCGAAACTCATTAGTAACCACCCATAATAAAAGACCAATAAATGATCCCTGAACCACAATGTAATGAATGTAATTATTAAAAAAAAATGTTAGTTTTGAATTATTTTGAGCACCATATGAGAACGGATACAATAACATATAATAGATATTAAAATAAAAAATCTCATACTACTATATTACTGAGAGATTATTTAAATCCCAACTTAAGGTACGTACGTACTTACTACGTAAGTACTACGCAGTTAATATAATTATGCATATATAAAAATAATAAACATATATAAATACCGAAAACTTTTATATATATATATATATATATATATAAATACCGAAAACTTTTATATATATATATATATAATTAGATACGTATATACAAGGTGTTAGGGACTAATATTATAACACATGGGATGTACCCCACACCGATGGCACTCAAAAGTATGGTCCGTATGGTCCACCAAAGCTCTGGGATAGTACGGGATGGCCCTAACTTCGGTATATCCAACCCTTCCCCATCGCTTGGCAAGAGTGGTGATACCACGAGCATAGCACACTCAGGCTGCGTGCTTGCCCGTTATTTAAGCCAGACCTGATTCACTCGACACTTAAATAGTGCGCATTAAAAAAAAAATACAATTTAAATTTCGAAAGCACGAGAATTACATAAGGCGATCGTGAATAAAGTCCGGCAATAGTAAAAAAGGGCACAATTTCAAAATAAAAAGGAAAAGAAGTTTAATTAATACAAATATAATGATAAAATTCAAGGATTCAGATATTGATCTTTTAAAGTGACGACTAAAAGGTGCGATTTTAAAGATCGCACGAAATTCCTATGGTCCTTCGAGCCGGATACAGATCGGGTGAAATCTAATGAAGTATATCATACACTGAAATTGAATACCATTCGTGCATTCTTACCAACAAATCCAACAACGACAAGAATATAGACCTAACAATCCCCGCTCCTATTGGTGACTGAGTAAAGTGTATTCCACAGAATGCACTCAATCTCAAGAACCCTTTTGTATTGTCACATATATACTTTCTTCTTTTAAAAACATTGCCCTCACTTTAGGATAACATTATCCTGTATTGTGAAGGACGTTTTTATAAACATAAATTTCATGTGGACAAACACCCAGATGCGAAACAACTATCTGTGGTTCGCACAAATAGTTGTCCCGTGTGGGAATTGAACCCACGACCCCCGATGCCGAAGCCAATACCTTGGCAACTGCGCCACGGAGTCATCGAATATACTTTAACAGAAGTCAATTTCAGGGTCCAGGTTCGGATCTCGAGGCACAACTTACCTGAGGCAGATCGCGCTGTGCGAAGTCGTGGTGGTAGAGGGCGTGGTGCGGCGGCAGCGGGACGGCGGAGGCCGGGCGAGGCGTAGCCCTACGGCCCCCTCGGCCTCTGGCGGCGCCTCTGCCCCTGCCTCCGAATCGACCGCGAGCGTCCTCTCCGTTCAGAGACACTGTGTCTATAAGCAATATGACGTTTCTCAAACTTGTCTCTCGTAAACATTGGACACCTTTGAAGAGACATTTGCATTCGGCTTCGGCTTCATCTCTCTCGCACACTTGTACGACTGAAAAACGTCACATACGTAGCGCCTAATGCCTGTGACGTTTAAGTACTGTAAGTGCTATAGCTGAAGATCGACGTTCAAAACGCCGGCGGTAATGCCAAATATTGAGACCGTCTCCAATTGAGTTGGCCAGCGTTGAGAGACGCCAGCATCTACCTCGGTTTCTCTTCACGCCCGGGATGGCTAAGTAGAGAATGCCAATAGACAGAAACTCCGCCTTCTGTAACGCCTTTTGGTGTTTTTTCTTAAAAAAAAAATAATGTTGAAAATATGATTTTTACCTTGTGACATTGCTATTGTTTTAGTTGCTCTGTGACTGCATAGACAAAACTCCCTCTCTGTGTAATTGGTCAAGATGGAGTAGTTGTGATTTGAAGATGATTAGGTTGATTATTGTAATTAAGTAGTATCATGTGAAACCTAGTATAAAGTGTTAAATGATGTAATTTAAACAGAATAAACCAATCATGAAAGCAGAGCTGCATATTTATTTCGATCCACGGAAACACATTTTCTAACAATAACCACTATATCCTTTTAATTATAACAATAAGATAAACAGAAAATAACAATAGATAAACAAAGACTAGCAGCTGTCAGGCATTCGTTGTAAATTGGAGTTCGAAAACGAAAAATAAGTCGGATACCGTAAATTGCCTGCCAGTGCAAGTGTAGTTCAGAAAAGAGGTCCGTCGAAATAAAACCTCTTTCCGAGCTATTAAGGCGCGGCTTGTCCCCGAAAGAGGAAAATGAATATTCTAGAACTGCCGCGACTCACCGTTGTCCTGGCGGGGAGCGTGCGGCGGCCCGTGCTTCCCCGGCCTGGCCGCCTTGACATCGATGTCCAGGGGCACCCACTTGTGCTTGCCCGACTTGTTGCCGGCCTTGCCAGGTCCTGAAACGCGACCGTCGACGGTCAGATCTTCGATGGGAAGTCTCCTTCTTCTTGCTTCCCTTTCTAGCGTCCCATCAGATTCAGTATCGTGTTGCGTCGCCGAAAGTACCGGGCAATATAAACAGTAAATAGCTAAGGTCCATCCGGGTGAGTACCACAATCTCACACAAGACCGGCGTAAATTGGAAGTTTTAACCTTCTGCGTTTCGTCTCCTGACTGATATAGCCCACTTTATTGAAAGGTGGCAACGCGTCTTCAAACCTACGGGTGTCGCGAATGCCAATGGGCGGCGGTTGTCACATCGGGTGAACCGCCAACACTTGCCACCTTCTCACATAAAAAAAAATTATTGGCTTCGACGCCAGAGGTCGTGAGGGTTCGCTCTCGAAGGTGGTTGACGTCGTATATAACTAGCAACGATTCACACGATGTTCCACTCTACCTAGGTGGGATAAGGGCAGGTGGATAATTAGGTACGAACGTCTACTTTCCATCACCGATTCAAACTAAGACCCGCCCAGAAGGGAACCGAAAACAGTGCGACGAACTACATATAACGTGATCCCTTGTCTTTGACAGTAAATTTTTATTCAGTAGTACATTTTATATTGCAAAATTTTACCGTATAACTTATATACATCTTATAGGACAGTCGACATTTATCTTGACTGATGACAAATAATACACAATTAATTAAAAAGAAGTAAAAAAGACAAAAGTCGTGCGCTGGCGCTATCGCCATTAAAATATACGGACGTAGAAATATTTTTATGTTTTATTTACACCGAAAAGCGGTTTTACAGGCCGTTCAATTTTATTATAAGTAAACTTTTGTTTTCTGGTCTTTTATATTTTTAATACAACTGCCAGTCTCTTCACTTAAAATTTGAAGATAAAAGTGACGCAAGATTTTTCGCTATCACAGCCACTAAGCTGAGCGTTAGGTATCCTCACCGTGCGAAAATCTTGGCTTGGCTACATTGTTTTTTTTCATAAGAGAAGAAGTAATTCGCCAGTGTCGCGTACGTCATTTACGTAGGGTGTTGCACTTTCCTTTTTAGTATGTCGTTCCAGCGGACTCTTAGTTACCATCAGATGGATAAAATTTTCTTAGAATCAACGGAACAATCACTTTACCCGCATTGCGTAACCCGCGATCTCGATGGGCGAGAGACAGCGGGCCTAAAATGTGGGACTGAACAGTGGGTAATCGTATACAAACGCGAGATAGATCTGACACTACAGCACCGTAACAGAGGCGCTCAAATTACGCCAATTGGTGAATTTAGATTGCAATTCTATACACTGCTATCTCTTTCCATATCATACGTTCTATATTATCTGTCACATTCCCTTGACTATATGTCATATAATGTTAGGCGGTGACAGCTGATGGAGGAGACAGTGGAAGGAAAATACATGTTATATCGAACCCACTTAGTGTGGGACGAGGGCAGGAGAAAGAAAAAGATCTAGAACAACAATAACAATAATATGGAGCTTTAGCTAGTGCAGATAAATTGCTCTAAAACCATGGAAGTAATTATAATTCAAGGTGGGATATTAGTACAAGCACATATATAGGTAGATCACATTTAAATATCCAAAAATGTCTAAGTAATTTCTTTATATTCCACCGGTCTTAGCCCGGGCGAAATTCAAAATGACCTTAGAGTTGTTTAAGCGTTAATGTATGTGTATGTTTAGTGTTATAGACAGCGTCCTACCTGCCGTCTGGCCGTATTTATGTGTGTGTGTGTGATTATTTTTCAAAGACGGCGTCCTGTAACCGCCGCCTTGGCCGTGCGTATGTGTGTGATTACTGTTCGAGGGCGACGTCCCACCTGCCGCCTTGACCGTGCCTATGTGTGTGTGATTATTGCTCAAAGATGGCGTCCCACCTGCCGCCTTGGCTCTCTCCGGGTGCTTGTCCTGTTGCCTGTCATTGTGCCCCTGGTGGTTGTGCTGCGGCGGCTCCACCCTGTCCGCCCTCCCGTGGTGCTCCTCGGGGGGCTTGCTCTCCTGGTCCTGGAACGTCACACGGGGATTTCACCATCGCCACCAGCCTCGGCAAACGATCGAAGGAACATGAGATTCAGGATAGTGTTGCATCACCAAAACCGGTCGTGTAAGTCACAAGTTTTTTTTTAATGATAAGATGGCAAGCGAGCTGGCGGTTCACCTGATGGTAAGTGATAACCGCCGCCCATGGACATTTGCAACACCCATAAGGTAGCAACGGCATTGCCACCCTTCAATGAAGTAGGCCCCGGCCACCTCACTCGCCAGACGAAACGCAGAAGCAAGCGAATACTTTTACTTTACGCCGGTCTTCTGCGAGGTCCTGGTACTTCCCCGGACGGACCTGTCCATTCGTGCATCTGCGAGCTGATGCGTGGCCCCATCACTGCAGAAACTAACAGTAGTAACATGGTATGCCAACTTTTCACATTTCACTTGACCATCTGGCGCACCGCTGACACAGTTGCCTAGCATTTGAAATAGAACCAAAAAAAACTCACGCCTATTACTATGCCCGTATATTTGACGTCACATGTTATAGCGCGACAGAAATCACGTGTTCTTAATCGCCACTAAATCATGAACTCGTTCAGCAATAACCGGTCCCAATTTAGAGATAACGATAGATACAGTTCCATCTGCTAATGGAACTTCCGCGTGTAATGCTCCGTATTCACGAGACTCACGATTGACGTCGCGTCTTTCAGCGATCTTACTCAAGTTGTAACTCGCCCGTGGGGATGCCATCGTTAACAACGAGGGAAGGTTCACCGATTCCATGATACTACTCTTTCTTTAATTTTCTACGTGCATTTAAGTTATGCGCATGCATAGGTGGCGGTGATCACTGTTGATTGGTGAGAAGTAAAAAAAAAACCAGTAAAGTAACAGCCTATACATGTCCCGCGGCTGGGCAAAGGCCTCCTCTGTACAGAGGGTGTCAGGCCATAGTCCACCACGCGGTCCCACTGCGGATTGCAAAACTTAACATATCTTCGAAATAATCTTGTTGTCATAAATTCGAAAACATTTACTCAGTAAAATTCTTATACAAATGATCGCGTTATAAGGCAGTATTTAAAATTAATAATTTCATTCGAGCAACCCGAATTCAAACTCGGGTTACTCGAGTATATTGTGGTAAAAGCGAGCGCCCGGACACTGAGCTATCTCGGCTCTAAGTGGTTGAGTTAGCAAAATTTAAGGGGGTGTCCCCCAGGGAGCACCTCTTTCACCGGAAGAAACGCGAACTGCGATACTTTCCCAGATAGGGCTGCCCATTGGCAACAGCAGGAGCTACCGTATAGTCCTGCCACAGAAATGACCTCAGGTGCTTACCGCATTTCCGTTGTGATGCGTCGAGTCGGCGTCGTGCGGGGGCGGCGTGGAGTGGCAGCGGGCGCCACCTGTGGCAGCGCCCAGGGTCGGCCAGTCGCCGATGTCCGTGAAGTCTGAAGCCTGGGGGAAGATGAAACGTGCGTTGGTCAAAATGGCACAGTTTCGAGACTGAGGAGATCATCTGATCTGGTCACGACCCTCTGCGTCTATCAGAAGTAGATGTCCTAGATTTTTTTTATGTGAAGAGTTGCCAAACGAGCAGACGGTTCACCTGATGTTAAGTAAATACCGACGCCCATGGACATCAGCTACACCCGAGGGCTCCAGATGTGTTGACAAACATTTGAAAATTGGGCTTCGACCACTTCACTCACCAGAAGAAAACGCGAAAGTATTATACTTTCACTTTACGCCTGTCTTCTGTGAGGTCGTGGTTTCACCCGGACGAGCCTGCCCATTCGTGCAACAGGCGAGGCTACTGCGTGGCCCCAAACCCCCTAACACCGTAGTCCTAGATCCATATGTAGAGATGCCTTTTTTTCATAGAAACATATTTTCTAGTCAGACAATATAATATGTTGTTAAGTGTTAGATAGAGACCTTGAAAAATGCTAACTTAACAGTTGACAATCACAACCCTTGTGTTGTTAACCTTTTGGGAGAGTGCTCCTTTGTCCAGCTCCCAGACAAAAGACCAAAGTTCAAACACTTCTACTTCGCCGGTCTTCCATGTGCGGTACACATGTGCGTGGACACTGTTGGTTGTGTGAAGTTTAATTCACGTTCCTTGGTAACAATCCCCATTTTGAGTGCATAAAATTAACTGGTACCGGATTTACGGTATAATTGACTTCTGCTGGACTTATTGCAGGTCATATTTTCCAGGAGATAGCGAGATATATTGAGACCGCTCGTCAATAGTAGAATAATCGCTACTCTACACCTGCGTCTCGTTCTCGATCTTCGCCCAGCTGCGCCTAGACCTGGACTTCCTGCGGGTTGCGACCCCGGCCGTCATCCTCGCTCGGCTTGGAGCACTCAAACTTTACACTTTGCACTTTAGTCTTGCTGCACTTCCCTTGCGCTCAGTGGCACATCTCGCGTCACGTTTCACACCATATTTGTTCGGGTTTGATGGTTATTTTCAATAGTTCTCAAAGCCTAAAAGAAACGGACACTTAGAGCTGACCTTTCGATACGAATAAGGATGATTTTACGAAAGCGATAGTTTGTGTGTGCGTGTGGTCGTTTGCTTACACGCCGCGACGGCTTAGCGGGTTGGGATGAAATTTAAAACGACGATAGCCTACGGGAAATTATTGAAATTTAGCTAATTCGCGGACTACAAGATTGACCGGGAAAGCTGGAAGAGACTTGTGTTACTCTTCGGCGAAATGATTATCACGAGGCAGAACCTAGTAATGGCAAGACGCGCACGATCAAGTAATTCTTAACGATCTCTTTATTTACGTGGTTACTGCGCTTTAAATGTAGATATTTAAAAGATTTTATCGCGTTTATTTTGTTTCCGAATTCACCGACCCGCGTCTTCCATGACACTACCCGTCTGTGCTGCGGCCGCAGACGCTGTGATGTGTTGATAACGTCACGAATGTAAATTTGAAAATCGAACGCGAAGAGATCAACAGAACTGCGATATTTATTTTAACGAACAACCGGCCAGTCCTCTTCTGGGTCGCACTCGGCGATAATTAAACTGTTCGCGCAGCTAGACGACACACACCTGGCCGCGATCGCGTGTAAAAGAAAAAAAAAAAGACTACATTAAAACGCCTGTTTCGGCGGTCCGGTCCGGCATGCATAATCCATGAAAGCGAAAACTTAGCAATTAGCAATTCTTACGATATAGATATAATGGAGGGATCGGGCCGTGTCGGCTAATCGAATGCAAACGGCGTTGACATTTCGAAACGCGGAAGCGTAGGCGTCGGACCGGTCGGCGGCCGCGCAACGGCCTTCGGTGCGGACCGATGGCGGAGGACGTTGGGTCGATTTGTCCGGTCTGGTGATGAATACGGCATTGCTCGGAGAACCGGTGGCCGTTGGGGCAAGTGGAGACCACGTGACGGCAAGCGCAGCGTAGGAAGGCCTCCCACAAGGTGGACGACGGACGACCTGGTAAAAACGCGTTGAATGCAAGCCGCTACCGACCGGTCAAAGTGGAAGTCAATGGGGGAGGCCTATGTCCAGCAGTGGACGTCCTATGGCTGATATGGTGATGGGCTCTATCACGGGCGACAGATCTATACAGCTTAGCCCCGCCGAGAGGTCAGCGCCTCTCGGCGCGGTCGCGAAAGACAGCGAGCATCGCGCGTTGGTCGCGATCGTGCAAGCCCTGTGTGGATCTCCCAGGTGTAATGCACACAATCGTACGGAATCCCGGACCGAAACACCAGTGTAGGCGGATAAGGTTTTGTGTTTCAACGGACAGGGCCCGTGGAGACTGATTTTTTTGAGCGACAAACGAGCAGGCGGTTCACCTGACGTTAATTGATAACCGCCGCCCATGGACATTTTTGTGATACCCGTAAGGTTTCAGATGCGTTGCCGCCCATTAATAAAGTCGGCCCCGGCCGCCAGACGAAAGGCAGAAGTGTTGCACTTTACGCCGGTCTTCTGTGAGGTCGTGGTACTTGCCCGGACGGACCGGCCCATTCGTGCAACAGCGAAGACCGTTGCGTGGCCCTGCCACTGTTAAAAACGCGCGGACAAAGGCAGTGGGTCGGCCAGTGGCGGGGCCGGTTTCGCGCGACGCGCCGCGGCGATATCTTGTTGCCACGTTGCCACAGATGCCACGCTCTGCGGTCGCTCTCGCAACCGCGGTGTCACCGACACCGGTGTGCTCGGTTTCCACACCGGCCGTGACGGGCGGCCGTCTAAGTCATAGCCGCCGGTCGACGTATTAGACGGAATCGGTAAGAAAGGCGAGCATGGCAGTTTTGCAGGCAAGTGGACGACGCAAAATCAGATGGGTGATCTGTACGTTTGCCACATTGGAAAGGTCCGTTGCATGCTTTGTTACTTGCTGTACGCTTTACGAGAGATGCGAAACTCTTTACAACAAAAGGTTGGAAGCCAGCTGCAAGTCTACTGGCCAATACTGGATAGACGTGTGGTTGATTATGGAGGGGGAGGGGGGGTTTTGCTCTCCGTTGTATAATACTATGGATCCTTCAAAGGGATACTGTCAGGAAGGCACTCTATAGGCCTCCCCTATAGGCCTCCACGCAGCACAATCCTGAGCCACCGGCATCCATCGACTTCCCGCATATTTGCACAGGTCGCCATTCCATTAAATAGGCCCATTCTATGCTGGGATTCTATTCTAATGATATTAAGAAATTCATTTTATAAAGAAAAACAAGTACACTTTTATTAACAACTAGATACCCGCGCCGGCTTCGCACTGGTGCAATGTAGAAATTGAATTTCTGGACTAATCTACTATAATATGCATGTATACTACACATAAACCTTCCGCTTGAATCGCTCTATCTATTGATGAAAACCGCGTCGAAATCCGTTGCGTAGGTAGTTTAAAACATCTAAGCGTACAAACATCGGGGGCGACTTTGTTTTGAAAACTAATTTGAGGATATATCCCTGACGTATGTTCGGATTACAAGATCCAATATCAATGAACTTAATATGGAACCTCACGTGAATAAAATTGAACCCAATGCAAAAATTCTTTTTTTAAATCTTTATATACATAATATACAACAAGCACATGGCCCGCGATGTCGTCCGCGATTAATGCGGCTAATTTGAATGATATAAATTTCTCTGTAAAGACCGTATCGGTCCACCTTTCAAATGAAAAGAAATAGTAAAAGATCAGAATTAAAAAAAAATTAATTGGGGCATCCATTACTTGGCAGTTTTTATAAATAATGGTACGGAACCCTCCGTGCGAGTCCGACTCGGACTTGCCGGTTTTTTTACTTTTTAATTAATAGCTTATGGCCGAGCTTTATTTACACCAATAAAACCTTACCATTAATACGGCACTGAACTTTTACGTATTTCAACTACGCATAAAAGTTTAGTGTAAGGTCTCACATATACAATGGACCTGTATTATAAGAACGGGGGGAGAAAACATTGCCAAAATTATAAGCTAAAGTTAAATTAGAAATAATATTATATGGTTGTTAAGTATTCTCTCAATTTTCTAATTTACCGAGCAATTTTTTTAAATTTTATCTTTCATAAGAACCTTCTCCTGATAATATCAAACTAAACAAAAAAAAAGTGAAATCGGTCCAGCCGTTCACGCGTGATGGCGTGACCAAGGGAAACCTGGATTTATTTTTATATTTTATACATATATTACATAATGATTAATGTCGAATACGACCACCGGACTACTGTTAGTCCGGAAAAAAAATTAAATAGAAAATAATATGACGATAATATTTCAAAGCCTCTTGTGCACGTACGCGCAGACATAAAAGCCGTACACAAACTAAAATTACATCGTCGACGTAAACACAAATGTTCATAAAATGAAAACTACTGGGGGCAAACTATGTTTAATTTTTATGGGACCAAATGGCAACTATTCCGCATCAAACTAAAGAAGAATCACGTAAACCGGATCATAAATCTCAGAGTAGTCGTTGTACATACATTAAAAACATATACCAATCGAATTGAGAACCTTCTCCCTTCTAAAGTCGGTTAAAAAATTTAAAAAAACTTGAACCTTTCGATATACGAGAAGACATGAATACGTACGTCTAATTAACCCAAGGCCAATAAAATTTCGAATGTCAATTACATTACATTTCTCGTCTCCAAAAATTTTCCGCTACTCACGAATTCTTTTGATGCAAATAATGATACAAAAAAAAATGTCCCGCTGAGTTTCCTTCGCCGGTTCTTCTCGGGTCTTTTTTTTCTGAACCGGTAATAGTGTTTTGACAATCAATAAGTGTAATGCGTCCATATTGAATAGAGATATTTGAATTTGAAATCGAATAAACAGGGTCGGCAGATGCCAGTCCCGTGAGCGTACAAGTGACTACGTACGCACATACGGGAAATGGCCTCGTGGGATCCAAATCCTCGACCCCTCGTGGCCGACGACAGCCTATTCACTGACACACCCAGGTCCACATGCGCGCACCTCCAGACCGTAAGCATAACATTAATTGCAATTAAAATCCGCGAACTTAAAATCTACCCGGGACTTCGCGACGAAAGAACGACTAACACTCTATATTCAAACATATTCCAAAAGCGAAAGAAAAATGGTAGTAAATATCACCGCGGCGAGGTAACCGTGCGCCGCTTGAACAGCGCAGTTAGCTCAAACTGCGATGTTGAAATAACAGTTAATAAAAACAACGCACGCGTGCGCAAACCGAAACTTCGATACTGTCCACCGGCACGACTAAAAACTCTTTACAACCACTGGTTTAGAAAAAAAGTAAAAAAACGAGAAACGGACACCGCTTCGCCGAATTTTGATAAAAAAAAAAAGAAAAAGAAAAGAAATATAGCACGCGCACGTCGCACAAACGCTCACAGTACACCAAGGTCAATCCCGGGATAGCTTTAATCTTATATCGCAACGTTGAAAAATGGTTCCTTTTGTTACACAATTATCGTTGTTTCACAGCACTGTCACCCCGCGACGACAATTCAGTATATTCGTTGTTATTTTCTTTATTTTGCTCAGCCGAACGCAGCGTTCAACGCAACGCGAGCAACATAACCTCAAAGTCGGGCGCTCGGCGCATGCGTCCGTCGAAGTCGACGCGTGGTTCACACGTTGCTAGCGGCGTATGGGGCGAGCACGCTTCGTGCGATATTTACGGGACCGCACGGACAACTAAGAAAGTATGTGGGTTTTAATTACGCGACGAATTCGAAGCGACGGTTTTATTTATTCAGATAGTTCCAGTGAATAAATTTTAGCATGTTACTTTCATTAACATATTGATAGCAATAGCAATGTCAACTATTTCAATTAGCATGAAACCGCGAGATTATTACTATTAAATGGAATAACTTACAAAACTACTTTATTAAGAGAGAGTGCCACGCGGCTGCCGACGTGTCCGAAAACGACTTCCACGCATCACAGTCACCCAAGCTGTAGCCCTCTCGCTCGCACACAACCACTACCAAGGTCGAGTTTCTCGCGCGGCCCGCGAACGCGATGTGGCCTTCCAATATAATAAATAATTCACAATTTAACTTTATGTAATTATATAGATACCACCTGATATTTCGTTACGTATGCGTACGCTCTTTCACTTTCGCACCAGATAAAGGAAAGTCAAGGTTTTCTCAATCTTATTATGTTATGATAAAAATGATAAATGTTCGCCAACACTTGTGACACAGTATTGCTTAATAACACACGATTTACCGAATTCTTTTTCCTCGCATTATATCTTCTCGACTGTTAACGAAGCAGGATTCGGCTACAATCGAGTATATTTCTCAAATGCCATTTACCTTATCGCATGCTAATAAACGCTTGGACAAAGTTTTAAACGTTTGAAACTTGTTGTGAAGGAATGTATCAATCCATATTCACGGTTTATTTATTCAAATAGATATATTTCTCTTGGGAAAAATACCTGTATTTATATTTTCTTGTGATCAGTTTACGACAAAACGAATCACAAACAATGCTCTTAAATCATTACAAAGTAATGCTCTTAAAGCCGCACTCAGAAACGAGGCAAAAGTGCTATCATCATATCAGCCTGTTCCAGTCTACTACTAAAGCTAAACATAGAGTTCCCCCACAGACAGCCACGAAGAAAGATCCTGAGCGACCTGTATCTATTCGACTCCCGCACATTTGCAGTCACTCTATCTAGCCGTATCTAATAATGACTTAATTAACGAATTATTATTAATTATTTCGTTTGCAAATAGGAGTCTTAGTGATGACAAAGTTAGAAAATGAATTAAAGCTGATTCTAATCAGAATAAGGCGTTAAAAGGAAATATAACTCTGTTTATTGCACACCTTTCGATTGAGGACACTGTGACAACGAGCTATTTTTAATGGAACACAGATAACTTTTGACCAGAAAGGTGATACAAACAAAGTGCCGCGATGTCGCTAAATGTGAGCAGAGTGGGCGGCCAAAGTTGCACGCAGTCACAAGATGGCCCTGTTTATATTACACGAATATATAAAAGGAAAACAAACAAACTCATCAATAGCAACCGCATAACGCATAACGCGCGAGCGAAGCAGAATTCAATTACGATTTGGTAATGTGTGAATAAAATGCAATTTACGAGTTAATTTTGATTCCGCTCGAGCGTGGAAGAGGGACGGTCGCTTTACACGGTGCACAGCGAAACGAAAACGACAAATAACCAACGCACACGCCGATTGGAAATACAGAAGAATTCCACTCGAAACGGACGATAAATGCGATAAGGGCGTAGCATACGGTCGCGAGCCGATAATGACATGGCTCACGAGATGGTTAGCGCGAGCGGTATTCACTCGAGAAATAAAACACTTATTCACCTTACATAATGAGCCTAAACGATGCAAACGTTGAGCTCGTCTATTGGCAGAAACTCAACACTATCGCTTTCAAACTATACGGACTATACGACCTACAAATCAAACTATATGGACTGTACGATATATGTCCAATTATTAAGCAATAAAACGAGATTTGCGTAACAAAATATACCAGTTTCCGAGTGCAGTAAATCAAAAAGTGTACGTCCTCGAACACGCGTACGTTCCCGGGCAAGAGAAAGTGTCTACATTTAATATTAAATGATCTATATTTAAAATCAAACATCACTATATTCGCGTCGATAATTATGTACACGAATCGTGACGTTTTCCCCCGATTTGTGCTGGCGTAAACTTGACAAATGTCCGTAAAT